ACTCTTCAAGACGCTCTTCCGCATTAGGGTCATCTCCTATTTTCCTCTCTTGAAATACATATTCAGGTTGCTCTCAGGCACCGTGACTAGCTGCATAATACAATACCTGCAAAAACCAGCAGATTAGAAAAAGCCTTATCCCCCTAAGAAAAAAAAAATCAGAAAATTTGAGGGTTTGTCTGGATCATACTCATTACGCCCTTTTCCCAAATCGCATATGGAGAAGGCGCAGTTATACAAAAGTCCGTCTTTTTCAAATATCTTCCCACCTCTCTCCTGTAGGTTTGTGTCCTTGTAGACTCCTCTTTTGCCATACATTTTTAGCTGAAAACATCAAACACAAATCAGATTCTCCAAATCATCCCATTTGAAACTAGCATTAATTAGATGTGCTAATTAATAAACACCTCGGCTGCTAAGGATTCAATTGCTTCCTCGCTTGGATCTTGCTTATCCCATGGGATTCCTTTCCCTTCCACTGAAAGATCACTGACAACATCATAAGCTTCGAGTGGCTGAGCTTCTTGTTTCTCCACGCTATCTATCAACCACGCTTCGCTCACAACTGGTATACCTTGTTCCCTTGAGTCACAAGTAACAACACCAGAGTTGAAGATTTAAAATACACAAAATATACAAGCTCTGTTACAAACCTCTAAACACTTACATTGCTTCCACCAGTTTTGAGGAACCACCTCGTTCTCTTTCAGCTGGAGAAACCACCAAACATGTTACACCTTGAACAGTATTAGACACTTTCCCACCGTGTCTCTCAATCTTCTTCTTCCAATATTGCTGCAACAACAGGGAGAGGGAAAATAACCCTCTTAAGCGTGTATAGCAAGGAACCATAATAAAGATCACAACAAAGTTAAAGTGAAACTACGTTACATGCGTTCTCGTGAGACGTCCCATGAGAGAGATCATCACTCCCGTGAAGGGTTTATCAGCAGAGGTCAACTCTCTTTTTGGCCGACTTTTCGGGTCCTGATGTTTCTTGATTAACTATTGCCATATCATTTAATAGTAAGAAATTAAGAACATAAAAATGAAAAGCAGAGTCTTGATGGATTGGATCCTTGAATATGGGAACTTACATCAGATATAGCAGAGTTCATGATGGAATCAGGGAGTTTAATTGGCTCGTCTTTTCTAGGGGGATTCTTCGTGCTGAAGACGCAACTACACCATTCACTAATCTCACCTCCACAGATAAATCTTTTCTCGTTGTCACAAATCAAAGTTCCCCGGCATAAAGGACATTTAGCCAAAGCCCCATAAAACATTAAATCTTGGCTGCTCAAGACCAAAAAAAAAAAAAGTTAAAACTTCGGAATACGAAAATCGTTACAGATAAAATAAAAACTTGTCTTAACTTCTAACGATCTATCATAACACTAACCATTGAGCTAGTAACGTTTCTTCCGGAGCAGAACAATCCTGACCGTTGGTTTCAAGAACTTCTTTAATCTGATCAACGGACAGATTCTCCTCAACCGCTTTGCAAAACTCATTATACTCTGACGCAGCATCTCCGGCGCCGTTGACTGAACGACCGTTATCGTTTTCCGGCTTTGCCTTCTTATGAGACTGTCCAGTTTCTGGAAGCTTCCCTTCCGCCTTGTGCTTCCGCAAATTTCCCTTCTGAAGAAAAAAAAATAATGGAGTAAATTAAATTGATTCAAATACACATAAACACAAATTAAAAGATCATTTGACGTTGAAATTTACCTTCTGTTCGTCTCCAGACATGTGCGCGTGAGATCTCGTCTCATGCACCTTCATCGAGCAAAATCTTTTTAACTGTTTGATTCTAAGAAATACGAAAAGCTTTGTTTTCGAGTGTTTGCAGAAATTCCCTTCTTTGGTTTTCAGACGCAAAAAGATAATATAGAAGACGATATGTTTTTTTGTATTAACGGTGCAGTGAGAAACTGAGGATGCTACTCTGTCTTCTCTGAAGACAAACAAGTGTTCTCGAGCATGTTCAGGTTTTGCCACGTGTCGAAATGGGTTCTCTTTCTGTGGACAGGTGGTTTTGGTCTCCAGTTATTTCTTTGTTTTATCTCTTTTAATCTCTGCATGTTGCCATCTTCGATCTTTCTAAATGTTACATCGTGTCGCTGTTACTATGGCGACTCGTTTCATTCTTTTTCTGTATTTCACTTCGGTAAGGATGATTCCTGTTCATATAAAAGCCTAATTAAATAGAAAACAGAGAAACATTAAAATAGCTCATTGGAGTTTTATTATATGCAAAAGAGGAGAAAACGTAAAGGAAAAACCACGAACTAAAAGATTTCGATAGATTATTTTATAAATTAAAGAAGGAGAATTGCTTTGTTGAACCCTTAAAAAAAATTTACATCAATGCTCATAAGAACATTTATAAATTGATATTGGATCATAAAGTTGAGTTTGTATTTGTTTGTGTATATTTTAATATGTGTAACCATCGCTGGAGCTTTCTCAGCACTGGGTTTACAGAACAATGTGCTACATTATATGGTTCGGACGTAATTAAACGAACAAGATTAAAGTTTCATTTCTCCTATGCAAGAGTTCATTACAGAGTTGGCCTGACTATTGGTCAAGCATGTATTAAGGCCGAAACTGGTTAAGCATGTGTCAGGGCCTTCAATTAATGTGTTAAACACTTTAGACCATTATTTTTTAGCAAAAACGCTAAGAGTTTTATTGGTATTTGTCCATCTCAATAGAAAGAAGGTAACACGTTTAGATCTTTGTCAAGCTTTTAGGATGTTTTTCAAAATGTTATTAGTAAGTCCGAGATTTTTTGTATGTTGGAGGCCTAAATGTTCAGGACCGGCTTTGATTAGTTAACTCCAAATTTTAATTTATAAATATGAACTGACAATAGAAAAATTTTCTACACTGCGGCAAAAAAACGGTTATTTACATATTTTCCTGAACAAAAAAGAATGATAGCTTAACAAAATTTTATTGACATGTGCTTTAGAGTACCATTAGAAAATAGAAACAATTACATAATAAGACACTTTCTGAGTTTAGAATTACAGAAAAAGTTACTTTGTGCTATTGAGGCACTTTCAACATACAAGATAACATTTCTATCCTTCATGACATATGACGACAATTTCTTTAATTTTTTAGTTCTGCTCTGGAAAAGTTTCTCCCATGGTTTTCTCTTTCTGCAGTAAGAACAAAAAAAACCTAGAAATCAAATCTTCTAATTCCCGATCAAAGATTAGTATAAATCAAAACTGACTTTCTAGAGATTTCAAATTCCCCAACACAGACATCAAGAAGGTGTGATAATATGGAAGGATGATGGCAGTTGGAGATGACGAAGGGAAGACGATATGTAAAAGAGATTTCTTTTTTGTTTTTCATTTAAATAAGAAAACTTAAAATCATTTATGAAGTTTGAAACAACTTTCGTCTATTAGGTCTTTGCTCTCTTATCCTAAAATCTTTCCCCTTTCTTGCTCCAAAACGTTTCCAAAATCTTAATAAGATTCCTGCTTGGACACACTTAATTCCTTTTTTTCTGGGTATTTCAATTTCAAATTCTTTCTCAATATACCTCTCGATTCCAGCAAATCCCAAATGTGTTCATTCATTTGTTCGTTTTACCTCCTGATCCAGCAAAGCTTTGATTATGTTTTGGTAATTTCTTGCTTTGTGACAACTTGAAGAAGGAAAAAATTTCAGTTTGCGTATATTTTGTTTCTAATTCACCATCCATATCCACCAATCCAGCATCCACCATCTCTATATCCACATGTTCGGGTATATAGGTTCATAGCATTTCATATGCTTGAATACTTTTCCAAACCAGTTGCATCTTATTATTTAGTATCTTACACCTGAAATTATGTCCAAAGGTGCCATTCTTAAACATTTATAACCAACTTCCTAAACACCTAATCCACCTATTCAATCTTCAATGTACACAAATTATATCTACATATGTCCACCTCGCCATATCCACAAACATTCTGTCATGTCTTCGTCCATAAACAAGAACTATATCAATGCATGAACATCACATTCTACTAAAAATGTACGCACTCCATATCTACCACTTCATCATCCACCATCTGTATATCCACATATTCAGGTATATAGGATAATTGCATCTTATTATTTAGTATCTTTACTCCTGAAATTATGTCCAAAGCTGCTTTCTTAAACATTTGTAACTAACTTACTAAATTCATAATCCACCTATTCAATCCTCAATAAACAAAAATCATATCAACATATGTCCACCTCGCCATATCCACAAATTACATATACAGACGCAAGACACGCTTTGTAAGTTTTTTATTTCCAGTTTTAATTTTAACTGATTTCACTTTCCAGTTTTTCTTCTATTTTTTTTTAAATATCATCAATTTTAAAGAAATTAATAACACACTACAGTACAGCATTTTTGTTACTAATTGTCTAATCATGTTTAATTTTATATTAAAGTATAAGATTCATTTTATAAATAGAATCTTTTTCCATATGGTAAATTTTATATCTGGAATCGTTAAATAGTTGGCATATCTTTTTTTTCGCTAAAAACTTTAATTTTTTTGTAAACAGATTTGCTACAACTAGCTGGCATATCTTACTATTATTTTTGTACTTATTTAATTTTTAACTTATGGATTTTTGTTTACACTTGGCGTAATTCAATTAATATTATACATTTCAATCACCTTACCGCGATTTTACGAGTTGTAATAGTGCGATTTATCGACTCCAGTACGTGTTCCACTCCATACAATGTAAAATTCATTAGAAAAAGTAAAATATGAAAAAGAAAAGGAGATTGCGATTATATAAGACAGCAACTACGCATGTCAACGTCACAATAATGCGTGCTATAGACTACCTTCCTCCTATTGTCTGCTACGTCAACAAGTGGATTCCAATCTGACGGTGATTGTGTCTCTTCTCATTCTCACTCATCTTTCTCTCTTTTACTAATTTCGTAATAAACTCGTAATTTCTCCACAAAAAACCAAAAAAGAGAAATGAGAGGGCTCTGTTAATGATGGGGTTTCTACTATAAAGATGAGATCTATAAGTTTCACCTAAAACCAATCTTAGAGGCTTAAAACCATCCTTCCCAAGGTCTCTCTCTCTCTCTCACCTCTCGTATATTTCTACTTCATTATTCATAATTTTTAATCAAGTTAAAGATTGAGAATCTAATGTAGATTATGGTTCAGAATCTTTAGAACTAATGCATTTCTTAAACTAAAAGCCTTCTTTTGTTTCAGGTGTATATAACAAAAATGATACTTTCAGTGATCGTTGCGATCCTCGTCTGCCTTGTAGGCTACATTTACCGATCATTGAAGCCTCCACCACCGCGGATCTGCGGCGTTCCTCACGGTCCTCCGGTTACTTCTCCAAGAATCAAGCTCAGTGACGGAAGATATCTTGCTTATAGAGAGTCAGGCGTGGATAGAGCCAATGCTAACTACAAGATCATCGTCGTTCATGGCTTCAACAGCTCAAAAGACATGGAGTTTCCAATCTCTAAGGTACACTCTGTTTTTCTACTTTTAACTTCTCTTCTCAGTTCTCTCGCACATGTCACACATTCCCATTTTGCACCATTTTAGAACTCTAGTTTATTAGAATTTAGGTCTCTCTTTACATGTCATGAACTCATGATATGATACCATGATTCTCTTCTTTTGTTTCCTCAGTTGATTCCATTTTTTTGGTCTTTTAAGCGAATTTTTTCAGTGCGACTTAAAAAAAAAACATTACATATGTAAACAAACACAAAAATCATTCTCTTAGGAAGAAAATAAGTTTTATTCTCTTAGGATGTGACCTTCTTTTTTTTTTCAGAAAAGAACATTTTAAATGTAAACGCAAACTCAAAATTGACCTTTACCTTAGAGTGGCAATAAACAGTTGTTTTCTTTTATCTTTTTTTTATTTGATGTTGCAGGATCTTATTGAGGAGCTTGGGATATACTTTCTGTTTTTCGATAGAGCAGGATATGGAGAAAGTGATCCACACCCATCACGCACAGTCAAGAGCCAAGCATATGACATTCAAGAACTCGCTGATAAACTCAAGATCGGACCAAAGTTCTACGTTCTCGGTGTATCACTCGGTGCTTACTCGGTTTATAGCTGCCTCAAATACATTCCCCACAGGTAAAAAGTCCGAAACTATCTTCTGTTTTTACACTTTAATTATGTCTTTAATTAATTATTTTTCTTTTGGGGTTCATAGATTAGCTGGAGCAGTCTTAGTGGTTCCATTTGTGAGCTATTGGTGGACTAAAGTGCCTAAAGAACTTTTGAGTAAAGCGCTCGAGCTAATGCCAAAGAAAGACCAGTGGACGTTTAGAGTGGCTCATTATGTTCCATGGATGTTGTATTGGTGGTTGACCCAAAAATTGTTTCCGTCTTCAAGTATGATCTCTGGGAACAATGCCTTATACAGCGACAAAGATTTAGTCTTCATAAAAAAGAAGTTGGAGAATCCAAACTCTCACATGGTAAAACTCTGAAACCCTTTTTTGCAAGGTTTTGACAATAAAAGAGGTAATTGGAAATTGTGGTGTGACTGTCAAAGTAATACTGAAAGGGGGTCAAATTTAGATCAGGAATACGTTCATTGGTCAAACTACAATTTTGGAAAAAAATATTCATGGGACAAAACTAAAATAGATGAAATTTTTATTGGGAGAAATTAAGACAAGGAGGAGTTCATGGCCATGTTGGTTTTCTGTAATATGGATATCTAGGGGTTAAAATAAAAGTTATCAGAAGCTCATGTGCCAGATTGGGAATAAGGTTTTATTTAAAAGTTATTACAGTTTGACCCTGCATTTTACTTTGATGATCTATTCCGACCCCAGGAAAAAGTCAGGCAACAAGGGGACCATGAATCTCTTCACAGGGACATGATAGCTGGATTTGCGACATGGGAATTTGACCCGACTGAATTGGAAAATCCGTTTGCGGAAGGTGGAGGATCAGTGCACATGTGGCAAGCCACCGAAGACAGAATAATTCCTCGCGAAATTAATCAATATATCACAGATAAGCTTGCATGGATTAAGTACCACGAGGTCCCAGGTTATGGACATATTATAAACGCTGAAGAGGAGATATGTGAAAACATTATAAAGGCGCTTCTTGTCTAGTGATGATCATCATTTATCTACACAAGATGTGTTAACGTTCTACACTAATGTTAAAGGGCTTATTTGGCTTACTAAAGAGATTTATTTGATGAGTTAAAAAAATTGTTATTGTCAAAAGTTTGAAAAGTCGTATTAATGTAAGGTCAAATTCTTATCACCCGATAAAGATAAGGTTATGTTAATGGTTGATTTCTTTTTTTTTTCCTTTGAATTTCAGATTTTTCTTGTCAGATTCAATCGTTTTATTAATCTTTGTCGCTTGGCATATGTTAGAATTGCTAGGAAATAGATCATAATAGTGTGACTTTTGTTTTCAACAACATAAAAGCGATGATTTATATAACTTTTTTTTTTGTTTTAAATGATTTATAACAACTTGTTCTCTTTACCAACAACAAAAAGAAACAACATACACATGTCATCTTCAGCATCTAGAATACTTGATATCAATATTGATAGTAATCTTGCGTCTTTATCTCCTATTGGTGGAAGAATAATACAAGCACAATGAGCTTTACGGATATTTATCTTGGTTGGTAGTTCAACCTTTACCCGAAATGGTATTTTAGTTCTTGTATCTAGCTAGTTACGTTCGTTTATTGGCTATACACATTAATTTTTGGTGTTGAACTCATAAAGTCATATGTGTCAGTCTATGTTTCATTCACTTACTTCAAACAAATTTTACACACACCATATCGGTAGCAGAGTGAATCCAAGTTACTCGAGTGAGGATTATTTTTATTTGCTTACCCTAAAGGTATCAATTTTTATGCTTGGCACTAATCTACGATGGTTGCACTTGTTCAGAGAACACTACAGAAATTATCAGATTTACAACCAATTTTTCTATTACAGAATGGTAAAAAACGGTTATACAGTTTTTTTTTTTTCAGATCAAAGGTCACACAATATTTATTACAGCGGTTTTGTAATAAAATGCTTCAGTCACGAATATGTCATCACTATTTAAGATGGACCACACAGGGATTGCTATTTGGAACATATTTTTGAGAAGTTTATGATTTTTCGCCACAATAGATCTCCGTATATTTGATAAGTCTATGATTTCCAGGTAGACAGAAGCTAATCATATTTAGTTAGTTTTTTTTTTTTTCTGTCAGGCTTTGAATCTTTGATCAAATGTTACAGAATGTACATAAAACTAAATCAAACTAAACCAAAATCCTGTTGAAATAAACTTCACTGAATCTAAGTTTCAATTCTGGTTCGATAAAAGACATCACAAAATCATATAAAACTAGAGAATTACTAATTTGTCTCGCAAAACTCACCCTCTGTTTCTAATAGCGGTGGAAAGCGGTCAGGCACCGGTTTAATGAAAATCTAATTTATCGCCCCAGAAAAGAAAAAGTAAACCGAACCGAAATGACACACCGGTCAAAGATGATGGCGTCATCTTCATAAGCACACGGAATCTGTAAATAAATGTTAAATGGACGTAGGAAAATCACCCAAATAGAAGCGCGACTAAAAGGGATTTTTTTTTTTTTTTTTTGGTTCCTTCTGATCTAACCACAAGCTTGACCTCGTTGAAAATTTTCGGGTGAGGAATCTCAAAGCTTTGCTCCTGTCCGAACTACGCTTGGATATTGGAGTTTCGTAGCTGAAGTCCGTGTTTTGGTTCTTCTCCGTGATTCTAGGGTTTCCCAATTTCTCGCCGGGATTCGACGGCGGCTTCGAGTGAATTTTGGGGTTTTTTTGGTTATTCGTCTTAATTCATGGCTTGGGATTAGATGCAAAGGTGAGATTATTCGAATCTTTCGCATCAATTCTCGAGAATGTGGTTTTTTGGGACTTCCGTTCATTGACAATTTACTGGTTTTTAAAAGTTATTCAGCTGTTTGTGTTTTTCGGTGTTCTATGAAGAGATTTCGTTACTAAGAGTAAGAAAGTAGACTGCTTCAGTGCTCCTATATGATTTCCTTATATCGCTCGCCTCTATGATGCATAAGATTGATATTACTGTATTTCAGGATTTACGTGAATCAGATGTTTGTTGGACTTAGTTGATGGAAAGTTTGTATTTTGGGCTAATTGCCTCCTTATGGGGAAGAAATAACAGAAATGTTTCTAATTGCGTTTGCAGGTTTGAGCGGCTTTTAGAGTGAATCAGGTAGCCAAAGGCATGATGCTAGGATCTGGTAACAATTTGAGCAGGGGTACCGTAGGATTGTCATCTGATACCCCAAATTTGTCCCAAGTCTTAACACTGGAACCGATTAGATTAGGAAATCACAACAACTATACTCGTTCAGGAGAGCTTAGAAGGGTTCTCGGCGTTCCTAGTAGGGCCTCATCAGAAGAGAATTCTTTTGGAATGTCCCATCCCAAACCTTCTCCTCCTGTAGCAACAGAGGAGCTCAAACACTTTAAAGAAAGTGTTCAAGATACTTCCAGAGAGGCTGGGTATGGATTTTGTTTCTTTCATAAGTTATGCCTGATCTGTTACACAGTGATTCTGCTTTTTAAACATTTTTCTGTTTTTTTTTGCTGTGACCATTGTCTAGTTAAAGGTGGATAGAATTTTGCTTAGGAGTTTAAAGTTTCTCTTGGTATTCTTTTTCACAGTATAGTACAGTATCTACTAGAAAGAAGACTTTGCTTAATTGCTATTCTTTATTGAGCTTTACTAAAATCTGAGTTTCCTTGTAGGGATCTAGCAAAGAAACTAAGTGAATCCATATTCAAGCTGGACAAATATGCAGAGACATTAAGTTCAAAGAAACGCCGGAGAAGTGATATACCCATTGGTGAGAGAATGGACGCAGCAAACTTTGAGAAGTTTAGAAATCAGGTTCCTAGAACACAAGATAGTATGGCTCAAAGATCAGAGGAAAGAAAAAAGATGCTTGGGTTGAACAAGCGTGCTCGTACCCCAGTCGGAGATGTGCGGGTTTGTATCTAAATCTTACTTTAGATCTATATGATGCTTATATGTAAAGAAGATTGTTTATTATCCTTGGCATTTTCCCATTCTGTTCATCTATCACTCCATGTTTCCCGATTTCTGAAATCTTTATAGAAGACATGGGATTTGAATATTTTACTTGTTTGTTAATTAGTGTGTTCCTAGAGCCTTTCTCACATGCCACTGTTGTTTAATGGCTTTCGGTTGTTATTGCTTTCAGGGAGATGGTAGAGTTTCTACTCTTGCAAGGCAGCAGGTTATCGAAAGGGGCTCTGATTCACCTCCAAGCGTTTCTGGAGAAACAGTGCGAATAGAGGAGAAGATACGCAGATTGCCTATTGGTGGTGAAGGATGGGAGACAAGAATGAAAAGGAAACGGTCTGTTGCAACTCTAGGCAACAGAGTTATGAACCCTGATCAACGAGTCATGCAGCCTAAGCCGACAGCTGACTCTAAGTTGCGTTCTTGTGACACCCAAAATTTCAGGTATGCTTTGATGATATAAGATTAATAAACCTAGTAGTTATCTCTGTTGGTTAGTTTAAGTGAAACTTAAAGGAATTCAGACATCTAGTCCAAGGGCCAAAAGTGGGCCTAAAAGAGAGGAATGTTGCGTTTGTTTACTGAGTCGTTGTTGTAGGTTTCATGATGTGCTAGTGGGGGAACCTACTCTGCTATCTAATTGATTTATGATATTCTTCATGTATATATTGTCAGTGGGTTTCATAATTTATTGCCAGAAATTGTCAAGTAGGTCACTTGAATTTTTTGTTCCACTAGATCTTGCTTTAGCAGCAAATTCTTATTTTGCTGAATACCGTGGAATTTTCATCATTCCATGCAACATACTGTTGTATATATAGTTTTCTGGATTGATCCCTCTTGCATAACTTTCCTTCTCAAAGATAATATAACGTGGCCCATTTGTTGCAGATTGAAATCTTCCACCGGGGTGAGTGGGATTAACAGACTTGAGTCTTCATTTGAGCCAGACAGTCCAGGCATGGGTGCATTTTCCAGGAATGAGTTGGAGTCCGTTTCCCTTGCAAGGGATCGGTCAGTACTTGCTGAGCAGAGGCTTATGGCCAAGGGAAACAATAAGTGAGAAGATACCTCAAGCTTTTTTTTTTAATAGATTGTGCTTATTCTTGACAGCAATTGTTTGTGACTGATAATGCATTATTATGCTTATCCAGGAGAACCTTACAGGATGATATCCCCACAAATAGCTCTAGTGCAATATTGAAAGGAAAGATTTCTAGGGCTCCAAGAACAGCAGCCCTTATGGGTGTTGATTCTTCATCCAAAGTTGATCCCCCATCTGGAGTGTTACAAGGTTAGAGGCAGTTTAAATGTTGTCTAAATACACTATCTGTAATGTTTATGAGAAATAATCTAAAGCGTCAATTGTCATCACTCATCAGGTTCATCTGCACATGCAATGGCCCAATGGGTTGGCCAGAGACCTAAAAATTCTCGGACCAGAAGAACAAATGTAGTGTCGCCTGTGATGAAGCATGCTGAAAGCAAGATCTCAGCTCAAGGTTTTGCGACATCTGATTTTAGTCCGAGAGCATCCCCTGGAACCACCGGTTCACTTTCAGTTGTTGATGGTAGCCCTTTAAAAATAAAAAGGGAGCTGAAGAATGCTTCATCACCATATGGGTTATCTGAAAGTGAAGACTCAGGAGCGGGAGACAACAAAATAAGAGAGCGTGCTCTTGCGAGTGGTGACTTGTTCACAACTCCTAAAACAGGGTCGCTTTTACTTCCTGTAAGGAAGAATAAGATTCAAACTAGTCATAAAGGAGGTGGTGCATGGAAGCAAGGAAAGAGTGAAAGTGTTTCATCGTTGACAACTCCTGGCTTTCATCCTATCATGGTTAAGTCGGAGAATTTTCCAGTAGAGAAGCCTCTGCACAATGTCAAGATTGCGTCAGATAAGAACAGAAGGTGATTCAAGCATAATTCAGTTCTTTTTTTTTTTTAATTGTCCCTTCAACCTTGAAAGTGTTATATCATATAATCTTAAAATACCTGAGACCAATTGCTCTACCTCTATCTCTCTGGACAGCAAATATGGGCGTCCACCAGCGAAAAAGGTGAAAGATCGTAAACCTTCTACTCGGCTTGCCTCAAACTCAAATTCTACTCCTTCAGATATTACAGGTAGATATTTTCTTTTGGCATTTGGACTTCCAATCTTATACCAAATTTACGGTTATCGGATTGTATTATCAAACTATTTGCTGGGATGTGATACTTATATCCTGAACAGGATTTACCTTGAATATTTGACGTTTGGTAATAGCTCTTGCTCATTTATTTTCATTTGTACATAGGGAGGTAATTATATATAAGGTAGAATAGTGGTGGTAGTTGGATGTAATCTCTGCATATAAGCTGTATAACCTCGTGCTTATGATGGTGCTTATTATAGTGGATTTTTGGCGTTTCAGGTGAATCTGATGATGATCGTGAAGATATATTTGCAGCAGCCAATTCAGCCCGGAAGGCAGCAAGTACTCACCCTTCCATATGTCTCGTCTTTCAAGTTCTATTGCCACAAATGTCCTTCTAACTGCAAATATCGTTTTGTAGATCTTGCTTGTTCTGGTAAGTTTTGGAAGAAGATGGACCACATCTTTGCTGCCGTCAATGCAGATGACATGCAAAACATAAAGGATCAGGTAATATTATTGTATATGTGACTTCTCTGTAGGATGCCGACTCAAACTCTCGTTAACTTGTTTTTATCAAAAAAACAGCTGAATTTTGCAGAGGAACTCGATGAATCTCTGTCAGAGGCAATCTTAGATGGATATAACATCATGGTAAGTTGCATTGTAGACTTCTCCGGCAATGTCTAGTTTTATACTCTCTTTTTTTTTTTTTAATCTGAATGTAGCATGAATGAAAGAGACTTGTCTCTGTCTCAGGGTGTCAAATTGCCCAAAGCACCACATCGCTCTGGTGAGGGAATTGTTGACTATTCAGGTCCAGCCTCATCACGTATATCTGATCTTTCATTTGAGAGATTGGACATGAGAAAGTTGAATGAAAGTACTCCGTTGTATAAGAGGGTACTTTCTGCTTTAATTGAGGAAGATGATGGAGAAGAAGTTGTACAATTCAATGGAGGGAAGAATCTGTCGTCTCTTCATTACGCTAGTGATGATTCTCACTGTGGTTCATGTACCTATATTGACACCGAGTTCAGAGAGAGAGACAGAATGGAATTTGAAGTAGAGTCAAGCGGGGATTTTCAGACCCCCAAGAGTTGTTTGTTTGACAGATTTTCCAGTGAGAGGAGTGTTGTGTCTAACCCTTTCAGAAATGGTAGCATGTCTTTATCTGTCCATAGCAATGAGCAGTGGATTGGGGATGATGATCTTTCACATTCGGATGCTGCCCTTGGCGGTGAGACATATTCAAATAGTCTGGGTCAATTGCAAGCTAGGGAAGTAAACATTCCCAACTTCCCAGTATCTGACACGCAGTATCAGCTTATGTCTTTGGATGAGCGACTTCTTCTGGAACTGCAGAGCATTGGTGTGTTTCCTGAGGCAATGGTAGGTTTTATCTCCAGTCAGTTAATCTGTCATGAACTTGAGCTAAAGGATACAGCGTGTTAGTCTAGCTTTTCCACTTATTACCATTTTTTCTTTTATCACAGCCTGATCTGGCTGAAGAAACTATGAGCACAGATGTTATGGAGTTGAAGGAAGGCATTTATCAGCAGGTGAACGCAAAACAAATCTTTCATGCTTTACTTCGTTTGTGTCACTAGGAGGAGTTATTGTCCGGTTTCTGTTAAAAAAAATTTGACGGGTAGTAACCATTCTCATATTCGATATCTTTGACCAATAATAGATCCAAAACAAGAAGAAAAAGCTGGAGAAGCTCAACATTACCATCCAGAAAGGGAAAGATATTGAGAAAAGGTTGGCTTTGGCTTTTTCAGATATCATTATTTTTCAACTTACACCGTTATTTTTGCTAAAAACTTCAAGTTTACATGCAGGAAAATTGAGCACCTTGCTATGGACCATCTTGTGGAAACAGCTCACAGGAAAAGAATGGTAATAAATTAGTGAATGCCTACACTTTATCAAAATCAACCTGGATGAATGATTTTGGGATGAGATATGTATGGGGTTATAATTGATGTTACTCTGAAAACAGGCATGCCGTGGAAGTAAAGCACTGAAAATCCAAAAGGTCACAAGACAAGTGGCGCTGGCTTTCATCAGACGGACTGTTGCCAGGTGTCGCAAGTTCGAAGAAACTGGGCTTAGCTGTTTTGCCGATCCTGCACTTCAAGACATCTTGTTTACATCTCCCAGCAACGATGCAAAATCATCAGAAAATGGCGGCTCTGGAACAGCCAGTAATACGCTCAATGAACCTTCTAATCATCAGGCTGAGGGCAAGGGTTCCGGTACGCAGAAAAGTCCATAATTTCTCTTGTCAAAGGTTAATACTTCAAACCCTTTTTGTCGGAGATTCTGAGCTAGTTTTGTTTTGTAGGTGCAGTGTCTAGTACAAAGAGGAGAGAAGCATTGATAGATGATGTTATTGGATGCGCTTCGTCCAAAGTCACAACGAGCATAGATAGCGCGGTTCTTAGTGGAGGAGGGGCTGGAGGTAAGAGAAGCGAGAGAGAAGATGGTTTCAGGAACAAGAACAAACCGAAACCCAAAGAGAAGAACAACAACATCAATGAAAACCAATCAAGATCGGCAGCAACAACTCACCCGACAGGTCCAGCAAGCAGAGGCACCTCGAACCGAGGAGGTGCCTCTGGAGATGGTGCAGTTGATGAGGAAGCTCCTATCGATTTCTCGAAACTAGCGTTCCATGATCTTGAGGAAATAGATGAGCAGGCAGACATTGGAAACTGGTTCGAGGGTCTTCAGGATATCGATACAGCAGGGCTTGATGAGGTTCCTATGGATGATCTCTCGTTTATGTTTGGATGAAGGAGGAAAACATCTGACAGGTGAAATTGGTCTGACGCATACCCACAAGTATTAATTTCTTATGGATTTGTTTCTTATCTTTTTGTATATAAAGATTTGTAGTGAATTAGTGTTTCTCTGCCTTGACGGCTAAGTATTAAACATTGAGTTAAGCTATATATAAAAATATGTATTTCCATTTGAAAATTATGGCATGTATAGATCAACCCAGAAAAATCAAAATCATAAACTAAATTTTAACTTAACCAACAATTGTACCTTACAATTTGGTATAAGCATAGTTTAATCAATTTATTTGGGCTGTATTAGGCTCTCAGTGTGGGCCTAAATGGCCAAATTATTGGGCTTTAATTAGGGTTTTCCTCCTCTTCCCCGTACTACTCTCTTCCTCATATTTCTGGTTCATATAAGTTTACACACGATCCCTTCCCTCGCCGTCCTTTCTCTGTTCCCGACTTCCACAGGTATTCTTCATGTTTCCCTCGCTTTCACTTTGTTTTCTTCTTCATGTGCCGGCGACTTATTCCCTCGCAGTTTCTCTTAATCGAATCTGAAAAAATTCTATACTTTTCGTTGCAGGAGGCAAGAGTATTTGAGGGAGTGCCAAAATGAGGTTTGTATTCTCGAATCGACCTTATTTTTCTATGTAATCTTATAGCTGTCTACTAAGAACTTCATAGCTCTGAATCCATTGTTGATGCCTTAAAGCTTAATAAGATGTAAAAAAAACTGGAATAATAGTAGATATCGTAGGTGAAAATGATTCTTTACACAAAAGTTTTGGCCTTTTGTTTTCTTGGAAATTATCACTTCCACGAAGAAATCAAGTGTTAGGCTGTTGAATTTGAAAGTAGTCTCTCTCATTTTGGGTATTACATAAACGTTGAAGTTTCGATTTTTGAAATGGTGCAGTAAGCTCCAGAGTGAAGCCCTGAGAGAGGCGATATCCGCCATTGTCACTCACTGCAAGGAGACAAAGCCGCGCAAGTTCACTGAGACTATCGAGCTCCAGATTGGTCTTAAGAACTATGACCCACAAAAAGACAAGAGGTTTAGCGGATCCGTTAAATTGCCTCACATTCCCAGGCCAAAGATGAAGATTTGCATGCTCGGAGACGCCCAGCACGTTGAAGAGGTTAGCTTTTTTCTGCCTTTTTCTCTTACCACAATCGAATACATGTCCTCGTGTAATCCGGTCGTGTGTTTTCTTTGATAATTTTATGGTTAGTCGTATATAAGTATAACTTGGGCTTTGTTCTGCATTAGGCTGAAAAGATTGGATTAGACTCTATGGATGTCGAAGCTCTTAAGAAGTTGAACAAGAACAAGAAACTTGTTAAGAAGCTCGCCAAGAAATTCCAGGCTTTCCTTGCTTCTGAATCTGTCATTAAGCAGATTCCCCGTCTTCTTGGTCCCGGTCTCAACAAGGCGGGCATGTTTAAGCAATCTAAACTTTCATTAGTTTGCATCTCCATCTGATCCCAAATTTTCTGAATTATTGATTTTGCTGTTATGTTGTTTGACTCTTTTGAACAACGAACAGGAAAGTTCCCAACACTTGTTAGCCACCAAGAGTCTTTGGAATCCAAAGTGAATGAGACAAAGGCAACAGTGAAGTTCCAGCTCAAGAAGGTTCTCTGTATGGGAGTTGCCGTCGGGAACCTTGGCATGGAAGAGAAACAGATCTTTCAGAATGTTCAGATGAGCGTTAACTTCCTCGTTTCACTCTTGAAGAAAAACTGGCAAAATGTAAGTAAAATATTCCATTCTTGATCGTCTTCATACATATATGATAATGGGTCTTTAATCTCGAGTTGTTTTCTTGAAATTATTTGCAGGTGAGGTGCTTGTACTTGAAGAGTACAATGGGTCCACCAAATCGGGTTTTCTAAGAATTTTATCTCAAAGTTTCTCTAAGTTATCATCAGAAAAAGGAAATTTGATTTTCTTTTCTGTCTCATGATTCTTCTTGGGTTAATTCCAGAATCCTTACTTGGTAGGATGAAGATTTTGATTTTGTTGAAAGACCATTTTGTTTCTACTATTGCTATATTATTTCAAGTTTCGCGATTTCATTATCAAGATCGGTTAAGTTTTCGTCTTTAAGTCTTTTGAATCACAGACTGCTCTTAAAGCAATTTACACCAATACGTTTTGGTTATTTTCCTCATTTTTGGTTTTATTTTCTCGAAGTAAGATATACAACAACAGTTAAAAATTATGTTTCACTATAAAACTTCCAACGATTAACCCAACCTTATTATCACAAACTTGGTACAAGACAACTGTTTAAAACTACAAGAAGCCAACAAAAAACATTTTCTTATCACATAAACACACCTTTAATTTGCTATATTTTTTTTCTTGGCTCACATAAACAACAAAACACATGAATTATGGGATGCCAATGATTGGTAAGAAAGGAAAGAAGCTAGCAGGTGGGAAACCAAAGCCTCCTGTCCCCGGAAAATTAACAGTCTTCGAATCTCCGATCACATCTTCAACATTATCTCCAGTTGGTTTGGGGCATGAGAGAGAGAAAGAGAGTGGGTTTGAGGTGGTGAAAACTTTGGAGTTGTGTTTGGACATGACCAATTCGGAGACCAAGTTGTGTCTGTGAGCGTAGAGTTGCTCAGGACCTCCCAAGAGCTTTGCAAGACATTTCATGGAGCGTTTGTTGTCAGCAGTTGGAAGCACTGACCGGAAAGTTCCGTCTGAAGCCGTCATTACGGTTATCGTTTTCTTCTCTCCGTCGCACTTGAGGAGAACCTTAACGCCTGAAACATAAAGCATATAGATTAACTCATAATTAAAAAACAAAATGTACGCTGAAAATATAACAAATTACGAAATCATAAAAACGTTAAGTGAATAATTAAGATGAATGACCTAATTAACATGCCATGATAACTCTCGCTTATTATAACCCGTTCAAGCTAAAAATTAAATTAACAAGAATATGATGATAAGAGTAGTTGATTTTGCAAAATGGTATCATCAGTTTGGAATTTGGATGAGATGCATTAAAACGCAAGTGATATAACTCTAGTAAAAAAAGAGTAGACCTGAGAAGTCGAAATCGTGGTGGCAGTCAAGGCAAGTAACCTTGCTGCTGACAAGAGTAGAAGCTGAGAGCTCGAAGTTGGAGAAGACAGCCAAAACGAAAAGGAATAATGCTGCAACAGCTGCTTGATTCGCCATTGATGAAGCTCAAAATTAAAAACGAAGAGTTTTTATGGATTTGATGGCTTTAGATATCTTCTTGTCTGAGTGAAATATGGGGAACGTATGGAAGCTTTTATATAAAATAAGTTAGTGAAATTGTAATTAAAGGGACCAAAATGCGTTGGTTTTTTGGTGGTTGGGCTTTGCCCAAATAGATATCGTACTATTGCGCCCTTTCTTCTATATAAACGGTTCTTTAATTCATCTGCCTTTACTTTTGCCGTAACTTAAATTCAACCTAAAAAATTTGTTAGATTCAAATGATTTGGTAGGGATTGTGCAATCATATGATCAGTTTGATCTTATCATATCACGAGAAGGTCGACCATGATTGTTGACTATAAATGTATAACCATCGTAAAAACCTCTATATTTGTCATTACAAAAATAAGCTATGATCAATTAGTTGTTGAATTAAGTGACTGGTGGCCTAATAATATTTGAGAATTTCTAAGATTACTAATTTACTATAGTTCAACTCCATTTGAAATAATGATTTATTGGTCCCAAACACCGAGAAAATTATAGGCAAACATCCAGATCTTCTAAAGTGTATATTAAAATATATATATATATATAGCTATTGAAAATCGGGAAAATATTTTATGGTATTAATTAATTAAGTATTAAATATTCATTTATAATTATCTTTTAAAATTTGTTTGACCAAAAAAAAAAATTATCTTTTAAAATTTATAGATCATTAAATTTTCTACATTTTTAATTTATTATTCAAGCATCAAAACTGCATTCCTTTAACCGCACTTACTATATATAGTATACTAATCATACCAACTATATTTATGCGGTATTACGTAATAAATATAGTTCAACCATCTTCACTCGCTAGAGTTTAAAATGATGCTCTAAAATTGGAAAGCCTAGTGGGGAAACATACTCTCCTTACTGTCATTTTAATGAGCCGTGAAGGTTTGCTCAACAATAGCTAACAGTTTCAGTGGTTGCATCATTTATAGTCGACAACTCATTTTCCACTTGTCCATCAAATTTGTGTCAATTCGATTACTTTTGATCTGAACTAGGTGAATATCTGCGTTATGTGGAGTTGTGGACTCAACATAATTACTTATTTCTTTGTAATTTCTGTCTGTGCTTGTTTATTTAACCCCCCACATATATAACGCGGAACAAACATCTAATTTGTTTTAAAAACAGTAAAAGAAGTGTGAGATTCGGCGCAGAGAGCTTGACTTTTGTTTTTGAATAATTCATATATATATATATATATATATATATATTTCTTGAACTAAACGATTACATATAAAAAACAAAGACAATGGATTTTAAATAGACAAAATCCAATATGGGATGATGATAGATTAACCCAAGGTACTATATAGGATACCAGAGTAAACAGATAGCCTTACTCTTTAAATTCCCATCGACTAATTACTTATATTACTAATTATATTATATATAATAATTATATATAATAGGCTTTTAAGTATTTGTTTTGGGAAAGAGTAGGCTTTTAAGTCTTTCATCCATACAATACAGTATCTTTTTACTTGGCTTCGTATAATACTTGCATTTGAAGATTACTTCTTGAGTACGTGTTTAATGAGGCCCGGGATATGTGTATTCATGAAATAATCTTCCCAAGCAATGCATTTTGGGTTGTAGCCGAACATTTTGTCCATCTCTTTGGTTTCATTCTTGTTTCGTAATATTTCCAGGTTTCTATCATCGAATCTGCATTTCATACAATAAATTAAAATGTTAATTAAGGCATGTGAATTAATATAAAAGTAAGGGCAACATTTAGCATATTTTACTGAAACTAAAATTATTAAAACTGAAATATTTTATGTCAGTATTAATGAATATATTACCAACACAAAAAATGGAAGTCACCAAGTAATTTTTTGTCGATGGTCAACAAGTCATTTATAGTTGTTATTTTCTATTTTCCAGCTGAATATTGTTAAGAATTACTTATATCTCTTATATACCTCTTCTGTTTCACAAATAGTTTCATTCTACCATTTTTCACTAAAATTCTATTATACCCTATTACCTTTATCAATACACTGAATAAATTACCCTCTGTAATTAATAAGATGAAATAATATAAAATTGTGAGTTAAATTAAAAATATGTGTTGTAAACATAAAACAATACTATAAAAAAACAAATATAAAGTTTTTAAATGACATATTTTTGTGAAACAGATGGAATATAAATATTGTTTTAAATAAGAGTTACTTATTTCAAATAAAACCTGCATATAACATAACTTTCTAAACATTTACAAGACATTTAGACATACCATTCATTTATGCTTCCAATAATTACAGATAAATACTATAAATCGTACATTTATTATGATTTTTAAAATAATATGCATTTTCTAAAACTTACACTTACCAGCTTATAAAATCTGCAAACATGTGGTCAGATGCCGTTAGACAGAGCTTACAAGCTTATTTGTTTTTATCGGATGCTCCCAAAGGAACCATTTTATTTAATAATAATATTTAATTCTTGTATTTAATTCTTTTTTCTAATTATGTCCGCGCAGCCACCTACGTAGTGTACGGATATATTAAAAGAAATTACGAAATAGATAGGTAGATACCATTAAAAATGGAAGAAAATACAAGTAAAAGCAAGGAAAGTTTGAGGAAACGTGAAAAGTTAGACTTACATGCCCTTGAAGAGTAAATAAGGCTCGTAAAGTTTCACCAGTCTCACGGCCATGTTGAATTGACGGTTCTGATGTTCATATTTATCTCCGAAATGCGATGGGAGAATCATACTAAGCAATCGCAGTAGCTGCATGCAGAAAACAAAAAAAAACAGAGCAAATATAAGATACATGTAATTTGTTTTTTTTTGGTATAAAGATAAGCATTTAAAATTATTGCCCGTCATATAAAATTAAATTGACTAACACTCGTAGAGAAAAGTACATTTGACGTGTAAGTGTACCTGTAAAGGTGATTTGAACCGAAGGCTCATGTAGAGACGAAACCTAGCCATAGTGGATAATACTGTAACGTTTGGGACTATAGGCACACCATTGCGATCGAGCAGAGGGTTTTTCTTGAAATAACGAGTAAAAATTTCGTACATCTGTTTATACATCACCGGGTTCCGCTTAGATGAACCGACATGGTAAACGGTACGACTTCCTGAATCGCGGATATGTTCAGCTGCGATCGCAATCATTGCGTTTACCACCATATCTACCGGTGTCTTGTCATATATAGACATACGTACATCTTCGTGTTAGCATCAAGTTAGTAAATATAGAATTTTGATTTATAGTTTCTTGTAGTGCTAGTGAACTTACCATATCAAATACTGCCTTATGATCAGTGAAAAAACACTTTATCCTTCCTTTTCCGTATGATAGAATCAAACCATCTATGGTCCTACATATATACATATACAAAACCACAAAAGAATAAGAGTCAGAAAAAACAAAATACTTGAATGAACTATAGATAGTAAAAAACAAATTTACGAATGATAAAATTAGGCCAATGAAAATTTTGGTGATAGCTTACTTTAAACCTTCAATCCAACCAGGAAATGGGTCTGAGATAGTGCTTATGATTATTGCGGGACGTATGATTACAATAGGCATACTTTTTCTATATTCTCCAATAAGCATTTCTCCCATTGCTTTGGAAAAGACATAAGGGTTTGGCCATCCATAAAGCTTTGCCCTGATTAAAAAATTATCGATCAATGGAGATTCTATCAATTTTCTTTAAGTTTTGTATTTGCAATTGTACACAGACCTTTCTAATCCGAGATCTTTCATGGCTTCATTAGTTTCTTGTTCTGAGCAACGTTGTTCTCTGAGTTGTTTCAATTTCTGTTCTACCAATTGCATTTCTGCATTGATGTCTACCTTGGCTTTTCCGTTAAGAGTTTCTCCCATAGCAAAAGAATTCTCAAGTATGAGTCCCGATCTTTCCCCACACACATAAGCTATAGAGATGGAAAAAAATTTATACATGAAAATATAGTTATAACGAGTGTCTGTATACCGCCCTCTATTCCACTTCATTATATGTTTTAAAATTTTTTTTTCCACTTATTTAATTCAATTTCATATTTTGTAACTATTTGTATTTGTCAAAAACCTGAGTTGATGATGTTTTATGTAAAATGACAAAACAATATATATAATCTATGTAGGTTCTGCGCATTCACACCAAACATTTTATAATATTGAACGGAGGGAGTATGTGAATATCGATCAATTTGGTTTTTAAAAGTTAAAAAATGATTCACCAGTTGAGACATGGAGAAGCAGTTCTGGTTTAACACACTTCTCAGCAAACTTAAGAACATTGAGTGCTCCAAATGTGTTGATCCGAAGTGCAACATCGTATCTTTTTCACATATAAGCCAACCAAAAGCTAATTAGTATGGGTACGGTCTTCAATAACAATAAATATGTATATGTTTCTCTTCTTTTTTTTTTTTTCAAAATAACAATAGATATGTATAGTACCTCTCGTCGAACCTCGTGCTGGCAGCAGAATGCAAAACAATGTTGACCTCTTGCATCATAACTTGTAAGAGATTAGAGTCACTCACTCCCATATTGTTCAGCGACACGTCGCCCGGAACAGGAACAACTTTTTCTGAGATTAAGGCGTTTAGGGTTTCATCACCAACATTTTTTCTTAACACCCTAAACAAATCTTTCTCAAAAACCTGTTACAAAGTAATATCAGAAAATTTCAATTTCGTATGAATTCGCTAACAAAAAAACTGGTCATACATTTTGGCTTTAAACATACCTCACTGCGTAAGCGTTCTTCAGCGGATTTCTTGTCGATTGCTCGTACAAGGAGGTAAAGCCTCTTCACGTTTGGTTGCAACCTCAGAACTCGCTCCAAGAAAACTATGTTTAGATATTTAAATTATGCATGAACATTATTAATAAACTCATGAATATATTATAATAAATTACATTGAATAGATTTATTGTAGAAAAGTTGCACCTGTATTTACTTAATCGATTCCTCATACCTAGTATATGACTATGAAGAACACTGAACCAAGAATTACCTTTAGCAAGGAACCCGGACACGCCAGTGATGAGCATTGTCTTGTTCTCAAGAAACTGAAGACATTTTGGCTCCATAGTTGAAAACTCAAAAAGCCTAAGCGAAGATCAAATAAGTCAAGTGTTTGCTTGTTGAATATGTTTGATCCTAGCTAGCACTATAACGCGTGTATTTATATATATTGAAGAAAAGGTGTAATTTTTTATATATTCAAAATCAATTATTAAAAAGAAAAAACGAGCCGACAACAAAAAAACGTTATAGCTAGGGCTACCGTTCGACGATAGCACAAACATTTTAAACAAAAAAACTTTTGAGTTGTAGCCATTAAAAACAGTAAGGACGGTTTCTATAATTAATGTATAACACGCGCAATCGCAAGGTCCGCAACCATCCACAAATTGAGTGTTCGTAGACGATTAGTTGTAGGAAAACCATCCACAAATTGTGATGTAGATCAGCATGTGTAACTCATGAAATTTTTCGCCAGATCAGAATCCATAAGTGGACCTGATTTATGTGATTCTAAGCCTCTTGATATAGTTTCCAGTCGAACGTATTAATAGTCCTTTCAAATCGAAATTTCTAACAAAGAAAAAGAAAATTGAAAATCGTTTTCTGAAATAAATTTCAACTAGACAATAAAAATAAATAATAGTCCTTTCACATGGGCATCTCACCTTATTTTAAAAAAAATAATTAATATTTTATTAGTGGATATCTCAAATAGTTGAGAAAGCCACCCAAGAATTTCTCATTTGAAATACTTTTATTGATGTACTTTATATCAAATGAAAGGAGAGATATACTCAATTTCATTCGGCAATAACCTTGAGACAGCTTCACGACGCCGTTCGACTATAAGCTGGCCTCTGCCTCTCTATTTGCCTCCTCGACAGTGATACAAATGTTTCTGTTATTCCGGAAAAGTTTCTATTTTTGTCCCCAAAAATAAAGATGTACGAGTGCCCAAAACACCACCACTCTAATACTTTATTATGCCATATGTGTATTTTAATTACGTTCATGATAATATTGTTTCACAAATGACAGTTGATTTATTTAATAATAATGTATGGATTTTACTAATAACAAATCATTTTTACAAAAAAATTCGATCACCAATAAATTATGCACCATTGACTCTACTTGATTTATCCAATATAAGTGATCCTCATGTGAATCGATAAATTTAGATAACTTCAAGATACCAAGAGAGAAGACCACATCACCACAACTACAAGAGATAGAGAAGTGAACTGAACGAACATAATAAGCAAACATTATGGTCCTTTTCCTAATATATCCGCAATTTCTTTTTTTTTCCATTATTATTCCTTTAATTAACCCTTAAGAACAACTCAAATGCCAAGAAAATATAAAATAATTCACACCCGCACAATACAAATAGAAAGTAACAAAATAAAAAACCAAAATTTATTCATATGCGCCAATCCAATATATATATATACTAGGATTTTAAGTCTTTATTTTGGGAAAGAGTAGGCTTTTAAGTATTCTTTAACCCATACAATACAATATCTTCGCATAATACTTGCATTTGAAGATTACATCTTAAGTACGTGTTTAATGACGCCCGGGATATGTGTACTCATTAAATAATCTTCCCAATCAATGCATTTGGGGTTGTAGCCGAACATTTTGTCCGTCTCTTTGGCTTCATTCTTGAATCGTAATGTTTCCAGGTTTCTATCATCGAATCTGCATTAAACAATATAATTAAAATGTTAATTAAGAAAATGAAAGAAATAAAATCATAAATAAATATATTAAAAGAAGTTACAAAATAGATAGGTAGACACCAATACACCATTAAAAATAGGAAGAAAAATAAATGTAAACACAAGGAAAGTTTGAGCAAACGTGAAAGTTAGACTTACATGCCCTTGAAGAATAGATAAGGCTCGTAGAGTTTCACCAATTTCATGGCCCTCTTGAATTTACGGTTGTGATGTACATATTTATCTCCGAAATGCGATGGGAAAATTATACTAAGTAATCGCAATAGCTAAAGAAAAAAAAAAAGCAAATCTAAGATTATTCATTTAAAATTATAGCCCGTCATATAAATTAACTAATACTCGTAGAGAAAAATAAATGTCACGTGAAAGTGTACCTGTAAAGGTGATTTAAACCGAAGGCTCATGTAGAGACGGAACCTAGCCATAGTGGATAATACTGTAACGGTTGGGACTATAGGCACACCATTGCGACCGAGCAGAGGGCTTTCCTTGAAATAACGAGTAAAAATTTCATAAATTTGTTTATACATTATTGGATTCCGGTAAGACGAGCCGACATGGTAAACAGTATGACTTCCTGAATCACGGAAGTGTTCAGCTGCTGTCGCGATCATTGCGTTTGCCACGATATCGACAGGTATCTTGTTATGGACATAAATTTACGTGTTAATTAGTATCAAGCTAGTAAATATAGAGTCTTAATCTACCTTTGTACAACTCTGGCAATGTGCCTAGTGAACTTACAATATCACATATTGCGTTACGGTCAACGAGAAAACACTTAAGCATTCCCTTTCCGTATGATGTAATCACACTGTCTACGGTTCTTCATATATAAAATAACCACAAAAAAATTTGAGTCAGAAAGAAATTATATACTTGGATGAAGAATAGATAGTAACAATCAAATCGACGATGATAAAATTAATTTGGCCCATAAAATTTTGGTGATAGCTTACTTTAAACCTTCAATCCAACCAGGAAATGGGTCCGAGATAGTGCTTGTGATTATTGTGGGACGTATGATTACAATAGGCATACTTTCTCTATATTGTCCAATAAGCATTTCTCCCATTGCTTTGGAAAAGGCATAAGTGTTTGGCCATCCATAAAGTTTTGCCCTAAATAAAATTATATATATGAACAATTATTGTGCCTGAAGTTACTTCACATTATCGATCAATGGAACCAAGTTTCTAGTTTTTGTATTTGAAATTGTACACAGACCTTTTCAATCCGAAGATCTCTCATGGCTTCATTAATTTCTTCTTCTGAACAACGTTGTTCTCTGAGTTGTTTCAATTTCTGTTCTACCAATTGCATTTCTGCATTGATGTCTACCTTGGCTTTTCCGTTAAGAGTTTCTCCCATAGCAAAAGAATTCTCAAGTATGAGTCCCGATCTTTCCCCACACACATAAGCTATAGAGATGGAAAATATTATACATCAAAATATAATTATTACAGTGTCTGTATACATTTGAGAAAAAAAAATATCGATACCGTCCCCCTATTCCACTTTATTATATGTTTTAGAATTTCTTTTCCACTATATTTAATTTAGTTTGATATTTTGTAACTATTTATATTTTCGCATTGGTTAAAAAACTTTAGTTGATGTTGTTTTATCCTAAAGACAAAACGATATAGTCTATGTAACTCATTAATCTCTGGCATTCACACAAAAATATTTTATAAAATGGAACGGAGGGAGTATATGAATGTTAAAGTTTAAGTGATTCACCGGTTGAGACATGGAGAAGCAATTCTGATTTCACACACTTCTTAGCAAAGTTAAGAACATTGAGTGCTCCAAATGTGTTGATCCCAAGTGCAACATCGTACCTTTTTCAAATACAAGCCAACCAACAGCTAATTAAAAAATGGAGACGGTCTTCAATAACAATAAATATGTATACGTTTCTCTTTTTTTTTCTGCTTCCTTTGCAAAATAAGCTAATGTTTCATAGTACCTGTCGTCAAACCTCGTGGTGGCAGCAGAATGCAAAACAATGTCGACCTCTTGCATCATCGCTTGTAAGAGATTAGAGTCACTCACTCCCATATTGTTCAGGGACACATCGCCCGGAACAGGAACAACTTTTTCCGAGATTAAGGCGTTTAGGGTTTCATTGCCAACGTTCTTTCTTAACACCCTAAACAAATCTTTCTCGAAAACCTGTTACAGAGTAATCAATATCAGAAAATTCAATTTCGTATGAATTCTCTAACGAAAAAAATGGTCGTACATTTTGGCATACGTGTGTTAAATGATGTAAATATACCTCACTGTGTAACCGTTTTTCAGCGGATTTCTTGTCGGATGCTCGTACGAGGAGGTAAAGCCTCTTTACGTTTGGTTGCAACCTCAGAATTCGCTCCAGGAAAACTATGTTTAGATATTTAAATTATTTATGAATATTATTAAATTATTCATAAATATATTATAATATCTTACTTGAATAGATTTATTGTACGAAAGTTGCATCTGCATTTATTTAATCGATTCCTCATACATAGTATATGACTATGAAGAATACTGAACAAAGAATTACCTTTAGCAAGGAACCCCGAAGCGCCAGTGATGAGCATTGTCTTGTTCTCAAGAAACTGAACACATTTCGGCTCCATAGTTGAAAACTCAAAAAGCCTAAGTGAATATCAAATAAGTAAAGTGTTTGCTTGTTGAGAATGTTTGATCCTGCTAGCACTATAACGCGAGTATTTATATATATATATTTAAAGAGAAATTGTAAATTTTTTATATTCAAAATAAATTATTAATAAAGAAAAAAAGACAAGCTAGGCTTACCGTTCGATAGACAAGAGCACAAACATTTGATAAAAAAAACCTTTTAATTTGTAGCCATTTAAAACGGTATGGACGGTTTCTATGATTAATGATAACACGCGCAATCGCAAGGTCTGCAACCATCCACATATATAGTGTTTGTAGACGATTGTAGGAATACCAATCAACCCTTAATTGTGATGTAGATCAGCATGTGTAAAACATGCAAGTCCATAAGTGGACCTGAATTATGTGATTCTAAGCCTCATGAAGTCATGATAGTTTCCAGAGGAACGTATTATTTGTCTATTAAATAAAAATACTAGATGTGATATATGAATATATCCTTCCATATCGAAATTTCTAATAAAGGTAAACAAAATTGAAACTAGTTTTCTGAAATAAATTTGAACTTGACAACAACAAATAATAATAGTGAGAACTGAGAAGTTTTAATTATCAGAAAACCTCAATGTCTCTCAAAAGGGTACTCACTTTATTAAAAAAAAAACTATAATATTTTATTATATGTATATATCAAATAGTTGAGAAACCCACCCAATAATTTTTCATTTTGAAATACTTTTGCTAGAATTGGTGTACTTCATATCGAATGAAAGGAGAGAGATACTCAATTTCATTCGGCAATAACCTAATAATAAGTATTAACTATAAAAAACACCTCATGCTAGGATCGATATATGTAAAATGCCATCTAATGGAAGGAGAGATATACTCGATTTTTCACTATGCAAAAACCTCAAGACAACTCCACGACGCCATTCGAATATAAGTTGGCTTCTCTATCGATCTGCCTCCTCGACGGTGATTCAAGATCTTGTTACGATTTAATCATGTAATTACACATGCATGTTTCTCATTAACGACAGCTTCACCATCAACAACCGAACCAGTACCAAAGCAATTACTCTCTCTATCAAAATATCAATCCCTACCAAACTTTTTATCCAATTAAAAGCACATTTTAAAGATGTATTAGCTTAGCGCCTTTGTCCTAAAAATAGAAAGATGTATTGGTGCCCAAAAAAAAATACCACTACTCTGTTTCAGCGCCTTTCTGCAGTACTTCATGATAATATTGTCTCACAACTCACAAGCGACAGTTGATTTAATTAATAATCATGTAGTGTATAAAAAATGTTTTTATACGTTCATGAAAAATCAGTTTTTCTGAAAAATAAATTCGATCTCCAATAAATTTAAGTATCATTATTGACTCTAAGTTGATTAAACCAGAGCACCTCCAATGGGAGACTTTTCAATTTTTTTTATAGATATTATAAGATTAAAAATAAATTAAAAAACAATTAAAGAACAATTAAAAAATAAGAATCAGTGACCATCTCCAATGATAGAGAGTCTATTTTGAAGTTCTAAATAATTATATATTAATATTTTAATTTAATATATTTATATAATTAAATTTTAATTCTAAATTTTAAATTATCCAATGAAAAAATGATATTTGTAGAGCTTTTAAAGAAGAGGTTCTTAAACTAGAACTTTTAGAACTTTTTCTCTTATATTTTTAATTTTTTCTTTATTTTAAATTATAAAAATTTTATAAGAGTCTTCCATTGAAGATACTCTTAAAACTTTTATTTGAGAATCTCATTTCTTAGAGGTTTTACACTTGTCATCTTTTTATTAATATATTTTTATTTTTAGAATTAAAATTTAATTAAATAATTATACTATATTATAATATTAATATTTCTTTGTTTAGAACCCCACACCATTGGAGATGGTCGATGATCCTCATGCAAAGATACCAGATTACCAGGAGAGAAGCAAACTGAACAAACACAAGTACACGTGAGGTAAGTATGTTCCATTTTCTAATCTCCGCAATTTCTTCATATTTTTTTCTTTCATTATTATGCCTTTAAATAACCCTTAAGAAAAACTCAGATGCCATAACAGTATTAAAATAATTCACACCCGCAATACGAAATAGAAATGAAAAAATGCGAAAACGAAAGATGTCATCACATAATTAAAATTAAAGATTTAGCCAACAAAAAAAAAAAAAAAAACATGATAAAACGGTTCGAATGTTTTATTTTGTGCAAAACAGATTGTTGCAAGAACGACACGATCTTCTGATCTCCCCATTCTGCTCATCTTTAACTCCTACCGATCCCAAATTCACCATAGCCTGACCAAACCTAGCCAAGAAATCGTTGCCCTTGGCTAAATCCGTCACCATCTTTTTCGTCATTCCATCGTTGGCGAGTTCTTGATCAATTTGAAGGATTCCTCTACTAGAATTTATCTGTTTGTAGAAAGATACATCGACAATGTTCGAACTCGAGAAATCCTGATCCAGATTAATAATGCCATCAGTTGAAGATTTCTCAGGACATTTTCCTCTCAACTCTTGAACCAACTTAGGATCCATAGATGGATCAGGTTTGTTCGTATTTTTAAAATTATATAACCGGTCCTTGATAAATGAACAATGCGCTACTCCAATTGTATGTCCACCTATTGAAAAAACAAACACAAAATTAAATAATTATAAGATCATATTTATCATCAAAATTTAGTATGTTATGAAATATTTTTCATACCAAGAAGTAGAACCATATCGTCGACGCTAAGTTTTCTTTTAGCAAACATCGCAGCGGTTTGCGAGACACTCAATTGAGGAGACGGCAAATCCACTGACAACGCCGTAGATTCCCTACCATCAAGTCTTCCTGTTGGTATCTCATATCTTGTTTTCTCTCCGCTTGCCTTCAAATCAAAATTTTAAATTATTTTTCCTCATTTGATTAGGGAAACATGACATATAAAAATGTAGATACAAGAATAGAGTGTATTTACTTACAAGAGTAACAAGATCTCTAGTAGCGAGAGCTATGATATCAGCACAAGAAACGACCCCGTGGCAATCATTTTCGAGCGCGGTTTTAATGTCATCTAGCAACTCATATCCTCGTACACTTAGATTTGGTGTTGCCTTTTTCTCGCTGCTCGTACCATCGAGAAGAAGCGATGCATCACATCCCTACATACATTGTTTTGATACATACAAGATCAATCACTGCTTCCTTTAAGACTCTTTAGAACATTTTTAAACATTTTACGTATATATAATAAGAAGAGTTAATCAACTTACGTTGCTAAAACAATCGTGAAAATAAAGCCGGATCATTGCGGGTGCAACGGATGGGTCCTTGATAAATCCCTCTTTAACAACTTTAAATACGATGTTTTCGACGTTTGGGCAAGTTTCTTTGTAGGATCCGAACTCAAGCTTGCCATAACAACATTGGCTGATGCTAAGCACAGCAAGAAAGACGATCAATGCTGATTTGGTCGAGATCTTCGCGGCCATTTTTTTGTTTTTGTTTTAGATTTCTATATGAATTCCTAGTATGGTGAAGTGTAGAAATATGTTACAACTTTTATAGTGTTCAAGTATATACAAGATGTGAGGCAGGCACGATTCCCCAACGTGCTTTTATGGATATAGTATTTGATTCTGTTCTCTCATATATATAGTCATATCATATAAAGATTTTATAATTTCTGGGCTGGCTTTATTTTAATATTGGGCAGTGCTTTGATCACAAAAAATGAATCGGATAAACATACGCCGTCTGATTCTTTAAGTTCGTTAACAATAACATTTATTTGGTGGTCTGCACTTATGTTGCTATCCTCATCAAATAGATTTATCGGAAAAAAATGTCTATTTAAAAAAATTATGATACCTTGCCCTCAAACTCATTTTAATTGTCAAGTATGCATTTTCAAATTTACAAAAAAAGGGTATGCATATGCAAGCGAATTCACATGTTACTTGAGGAAGAATTATATAAATCTTATTTCTCTGACCTATCAGTTTTCATTTTTCTTTATTACCAAATTATTCTTGCAGTGTAGAAAGTGTTCCCAACTTGCCATTTAGAAGGTTCTATTTAACATACAAGTATCACTAAGAAATATCAACGCACTCGTATGCATAACACGAGTTTGTGATATTTAAACACAGATTATTATTTTTGGTCAATACACAATAAAATTTTTGTTCTTTGCTTTGCAAAATTCAAAAAAGTGTTTCTATAATCCTGGCTTCGTTTTTTTTTTTTTACAAAAGGCTTTCAACTAAATTCCGAAATAAAATATTACAATGATATGGCTTTGAGACCATAGAATTAAATAAAGTTGTTAAAGAAGAGGGAGAAAGCTACAATTAAGTAGAGTTTTAAGCTAAGGAATATCTAGAAAAAACGTTCTAGAAACTCTTAATTAGAAGGACTGCGACCTTTTCGACCATCACGTCTTCTATAACCTCGCCCACCTAGTCACCTACCATGGTCCATTGTATGATCTCTTGTATTTTTTTTTTGAGTAGGTGTATTCCTGGCTTAACTGCTCAATATAGAGACTGTGGATTAAAAATTTAGATGGTATAGTATTTGTGTTACGTGGATACTACTAAGTAGGCACATAACATGGTCTCACATATTAGAAAGACGTGCGAAAATCATTTTAAACAAATTAAATTAGCCTTTAACGAAATCCACATTATTTTAACAGCATCCACATTTTTACTGACAGAATTTTAAACATTATCAAGCTTTGTTGGTCTAACTCGGTACTTAATGTAAACTAAGTCGCCGAAAATTTGTGATTTGTTTAGAATATGATAGTGAGCGCAGAGTTTCACATTTTGTATTTGATTATTTGTATCAAATTTTCATTGCCACTTGCTATATCAAATATAATCAGAAATCCTAACGCATTTCTTCCGATTTATAAATACTTGACAGCTTCCAATACAGTTCAATATCTCATGAGATATAAAATATTAAAATCTTAGTCCTAATTTCACTAGAACAAACAAATTTTGACCAAAAAGAGATGATGGATGGTTACGAACTTCTATGTTCTGATCAAAAATTAAAAGGTTACGAACTTATGAGATTGCCTGATTGGTAATCAGCGTACAGTAAATTAGGATTTATGGAATTACAAAACACGATCGTGATTAACAACAAATTAGTTGTATCATTTTGCAAGTTTTTATTTTTTTTGTTTTCCTATTTTCAATTCCAATATTTTATTTTAATTTCCTGCAATTCCGCTGTTTTTCAGAGTTTACGAGTCATACCCAATAATATGGCAACAGATTTATGATCTAGTAAAATTTAATTAATCCATTAAATTAGGGTTTCAATGAACAATTCCAGTTATTTCCCACCAAATCGACCCTCTAATCCTCGATCCTGAGCTCTGTGGCTTTCGTCTTCAACCCTCAAACCCAAAACCCAGAAGCAGAGGAAGAGAAAGAGAAGGGTAATGATTCCTACGTCCCACATTTCTTCAATCCAAATTTTCTTCATTGCAGTAATCAAACCTTTTCTCTCTCCTTGCATGATTTGAACAAAAAGCAGATTCCTTTATCTGATAGTCTCTTTTTGTTTTCTTTTGTGTGAATCTGAAGCTTCGTTCACCGCCATGACTGAAGTCCTTCACTTTCCTTCATCTCCGAGCGCTTCTTCTCCCTCTTCTTCTTCACCATCTCCATCTACCTCCCATTCCAATGCGACTCTCCTGATTAGCCCTGACCATCGGAGAAGTAACCCAGTTCCTGGATTCGCGCAAGATGTTGACTTTCAAGTCTCAATCGAACAACAACAACAACAACTGCAAGATTTGAGTCGGAGCACAGGTAGAGAGGAAGACGGCGGAAGCAGCGGCGGGGAAGATCAGCTCTCGCTGTTGGCTCTTCTTGTCGCCATTTTCAGGAAATCTCTGGTTTCTTGCAAGACCAATCGGAGGGAGCTCTGTAGCATGGAGATCGGATGGCCCACCAATGTCCGCCACGTGGCGCACGTCACCTTCGATCGCTTCAATGGCTTCTTGGGTTTGCCCGTTGAGTTCGAGCCTGAGGTTCCCAGAAGGGCTCCAAGCGCCAGGTACATTCTCCAATCTCCCATTTTGATTCTTGCAATTAGGTCTTGAAAAAAGTTGGGTTTTTTAGCTCTCTTCTAGAGTTTCATAGGTCTCTATATGATGGTAGAAGCTACAGCGATTAGTGAATATGATGGTTAGGCTCGTCATTTAGTCTTCAGTGCTGAATAAATTCCGATTATCGAATTGCTCGTTCCAGAGAATTGCTTTTACAAGACTGCTCTCTGAACTATGATTGATCATGTTATGTCAAAAATCCAGTCTTATCTTCCATCTCCGGTTGGTCTCGAGTGAGCATCGGTTGTAGATGGATAAAGAATGCTTCTGATCAAGGCTTTCTTGTTTGTATAACCTCTTGTTAGTCTCTCATTGCTTGGTTGTATACAAATTAAGGTCTTTGTGAGAGCTCAATGTTTAGACGCTGCAATAAACAGTTAGTTATTGGCGCAGGCTCATTCCTTTTATTAATCGTTCCAAGATTAGGATGTTTGCCCATGTGAATGCATCTCAAATAGCATCACTTGATTCATTCTAACCACATTAAGCCAGTAGCCCTCGATAGTAACTTGTCTTTTTGATGTCTAAGATACTATCTATTGGTTGAAGTTAAAATTATGATCAAGGTTGCATTGTTCATCTCTTACCTGTCTTGCTATCTCATCACTTTAGTGCAACAGTCTTTGGGGTATCAACCGAATCAATGCAATTATCATATGATTCAAGAGGCAACTGTGTACCAACCATACTCTTGTTGATGCAAAATTGTTTATACGGCCAAGGAGGCTTGCAGGTACATTGCCTCTTCGAGGTTATGTCTAAAGTGAATATCTTCTAATTAAGCTTTCCATGTAATCACTTCTTCATTACATTTTTTCAGGCAGAGGGAATTTTTAGACTCACTGCTGAGAATAGTGAGGAAGAGGCAGTTAGGGAACAGCTAAACCGAGGATTTATACCCGAGCGAATCGATGTTCACTGTTTGGCAGGGCTTATCAAGGTGTGTAATGTATGTTCAAGCACATTTTCTTTCACAAAATTTATATAATAATCGTGGTTTTTTTTTCTTTCTAATCTTCGGTTTCAGGCATGGTTTAGAGAACTCCCTACAAGCGTTCTTGATTCGTTGTCTCCTGAACAAGTCATGCAGTGCCAAACAGAGGAGGAATATGTCGAGCTCGTTAGGCTTCTTCCACCTACAGAAGCGTCTCTGCTTGATTGGGCCATCAATCTAATGGCTGATGTTGTTCAGTACGAACATCTTAACAAGATGAATTCACGTAACATCGCTATGGTATTCGCGCCTAATATGACACAGGTGAGTCAGCAGCAACGTTGTATTTATGAAGATAAATGATTGAACAAATTTGATTGAAGAAAACCTCCTCTCATGTAGATGGATGATCCATTGACGGCGCTGATGTATGCGGTTCAAGTGATGAACTTCCTCAAGATGCTAATCGAAAAAACTCTAAGGGAAAGGCAAGACTCGGTAGTAGAGCAAGCTCATGTGTTCCCTTTAGAACCTTCTGATGAGAGCGGTCACCAAAGCCCTTCACAGTCTTTTGCTTTTAACACCAATGAGCAGAGTGAAGAGACGCAATCAGACTACATTGAAAATGCAGAGAATCAGAGTTTAAGCAGTGAGATATCAGACGAATCAACCTTTGAGAACAATGCTAGGACCGAGCGGTTAAGTGACTCGGGTCACATAGAAACAGATAGAAAAAGTAGGGTGCAGGTGGTGGCTATGGCTCCTCCGGCTCAGTGGCCTGTGGGTGGAACAAAAGGATTGACCAACTTGAGCCGTGTAGGTTCGAGGGTAGAGCGTACTGAAGCTTGGCGGTGAAGAAAAAGTAGCAGAGAAACCCCCCTTGAGGAGACTTGAGCTCTCTATTCATCAAAATCAGATTGTTGGTTGATTTGTTTGTATGTGTTAATGTGGTTCTGTTGGTGTCGTTTCTATTCTTTTTGTCAATGTTCTAATTTGGAAACTGGCTTATTCTGTGTTAAACCGCCCCTCCCAATGCTGCGTAATCAAACTTGTAAACCGTTTTGAACCGGTGTCTCTCTCAGGCCCCTGACAATATGGTGAAGCATGTTCTTTCTTACCTCTCGTATTGGTCTTAATAACTACATATTAATTGAGTATATTATGGAACTAAATCAAACATATAAATATAAACATTTTTTTTATACAAGTCACCAAATTGCAGTATTGATGAGTAGTGAGTAGTGAGTAGTGAACAAAGGAAAAGTTGGGATGATTGGAAATATGGATATAAAATTGGTTCTTGGAAGGACCAAGGGACCATTTAAACTCTCAAGAAAAAGTGCACAAAAGCATATTGTAGAGGGGAATATGTGTATAGTTGAATTCAACATTGTGTAGTCATCCGACCTTTTCTAGTGGGTCAAAAAAAAGTTGCATGCCATTTGCATACTTATTATACACGTATTTGGATACGCCATTTCAAAATGATTTTTTTTTTTAAAAAAAAAACTAAATTATACATACTTTAATAAAATTCTTTTTAAAAAGTTGCAAAATAATAAAATTGGAATAATTTGGTTGTTTTTTACAATGGAAGAAATGATCATATTTTGATAACTTAACAATATAAATTAAAAATGATAGATCTAAGTCTAAATATCCACAAATAAACGGTTCGGTTAATAAAACACATGATGAAGATAAAGTACTACTCAATCTACAACAACAACAAAAAAAAATTTATCAAATATATCAGAGTCTACAATATTTTTCATATCTAAAGTTTGAACTTTATACTGATATAAAGTTCTAATTGGGTTGATCATTGCATTATAATTTTTTCACCTTATATAAATGTGGGTTCATCACCGGTTTGGCTTGATTCTATCGATTTTTGATCTTTATATCATTGGTTGAAAAGGGAAAAAAAAAAGATAACATATCTTTAAAAATCATGCACTATATTGGAATCAAATCTTGAAAGTTGAAACAATGATTTATGTTATGGTTTTAGCTTTTTTGCATGAAAGATTTTGGCTAAAATGCTGATAATGACTTGACCATATACCATATTCTGTTGATTTGAAAACTACATTGGTGTTCATTCAACGTTTCAAACCAATACGATACTTACATTCTAATTTTACTAATTGTTTTCAGCGAAAGCCGGAATGTGTTTCTTTAATCAATTTGTAACTGTGGAGACTAGAGACTAGAGAATTCTTAGTTTAGTAACTAGTAAGTAGTGACATATACAACAAGAATCAGAATAATGAATTAAATCAATGAAGATTGTTCTACTCTAAACAATTTGTAACTGCAGCGACTAGAGACTAGAGAACAGTTAGTAGTAACTAGTAAGTAGTGACATATACAACAAGAATCAGAATAATGGATTAAATCAATAAATATAGTTCTACTCTAAATTATTTGAAGCTTTAGTCTTTTTGAAAGTTTCATAAAACCTTGTTACTGTTTCCAAATCCACTCTCTAAATTTTCACGAATTAATTTGATACTTTTGGTCTAGTAATATTCTTAATGGTTAGGAGACTTTTTATTCCACAATGTGTAAATTTTTCCTTCCTCTACGTACGTACGTATTTCGGTTCTTCGGTGTCGTATAAACTAGGAGACATCAAGGTTCCATTCCATGGATTGGGTATCCCGTCAGTCGCTAACGATTAAATCATATTTTTGTGGACGTTAATAAAAATTCGATTTATTAAATTCGCAGAAAACTTTATTGTCTACGTGTGTTTGTGTATATATAATAAAGATATAGATTATTTTTTTTGACATCAGATATATAATAAAGATTTAGATAAATGAGGTATCGAGGCAGATGTTGTTGGTCATTGACCAAGTGGAAAAAGGTGAAATCGTGATGTCTTGTTGGGTGGATAGATTCGGACAGGGCTCCACGGACCACCGGTATGTGGGACGTTCGTCACACATCACAAAAAACATATTACATATATATATATAATTATTTTTCATAAGAAATTGACTAACATTACAAAATCATATTTTTTTTTCAAAAAACATAACAAAATCTGGAAGCAAACTGGTGTAGCTTTTGGTTGGTTTTAAATTTAGTTGACTCTAGAAATACTTGAAAAGTTATATATATATATATATATGTGGCAGATTAATTGACTGATGAGATATTAAAATGATAAAATAAAATGATGGTTATTAGTATTAACTTAGAAACCGTTAACGATAGTAGAATTCAAATAACTACATATAGCCTAACAATATATTCGAACTAATATGCAAACCGACATGCGGACCCAAAAAAAAAGATTATGATAACCAAGTAAACTCCCTTTTCTCGAGAACCAAGTAAACCCTTTATTTACGATAAATAAAAAAAATAGGTTTAAAGCATAATAACAACGTGCCTTGTTAAAAACAAATTTAAGAGAAAAAAAACTTCTTGGGTGGATTAGAAAAACACCATTGAACGTCCACCGCAACAACACTGGCGTTAATGTATATACAAATGCTGCTTAAAACTGGCCGGTTTGTCAATATATATATATATAGGTACACTCTCATCACCAACAATCTCATCAAGAAGACACCTTCCTCACAACCTGGTTCGGTTCTCTCAAACAATTCAAGTTACTACCGCTTCTAATGAGTAAGCATCTCTGATGATTATCTTCTGCTTATCATATGTCTTACTCTATGTAATAGTAGAAGTCCGGTTGTAGAGAAACTTTTTAATTTCCGCAGCAATAAAATTAACCCATCAAACAGAAACAAATTAACAAAAATAATAAATGCTGCTAAAAACCATATACATAAACGGTAAAAGTAAAATTAAGTAAGTTTTTTTTCAAAAACATAAAACGTCTTGCTTAATATAGCTTTTAGTTTCAGACAAAACGTTGATACCTGAATTGCACCCATTATCAATTTTTGTATATACATTTTTTGCGTGCAAAGGAAAAAGAAAATAAACATAATACTTTGAATATAATATATAAACTATTTACTCGTTGACTATAGATCATATGATCAGAGACCTGTGGACACATGGGATATGTATATGAGCTTACATATCTTAACCTGCTAGGAAAATGAATATGCAGCCCATGTTGAAACGGGTTTAACGAGAAGGACCGTTCCGCATTAACAGACTTACCAGCTAGCACAACTGCACAATTTTAAATATACTGTAAAAATTAAGTACCTATAGTATATAGTTGTTTCATATTGGTGACCGATACTATTAATTATTGGAAATCCGGTTGTGTTGTACATTTTGGGATTAGTCTCCATAACGCCTGGTTATAAGAGAATATCATGAAATCAGATTATGTGGTTGAGGATCACGAGGCTCCCACGGTCTAACCAATCACATCGACTCAACTACATCTCGAATCTGTCGTGGTTTGCTACTATTGGAAGTTCAATTTTCTTTTTGTCCAGACAAAATAAAATGTTGTAGTATCTAATCTAGAAAACTTCCACGTTGCTACAGTTTACAATTTACCTACATTTTCTCTCTTTTTCCATCAAAACCTTAATACCAAAAGCATTGCAGCGTGAGAGATTTTTAATTTTAAAATAATGTGTGTTTCAGTCATTAATTTGCATACTTTTTAAGATATAGATGCGATATTTTAAGGAAAAATCAAATTCAACAAATTTTGAAAAGAGAAATGAATGGTGGTATGATTCCATAGTATTTAAAGAATATATAAGTAGTCCAAATAATTATAGCCACCAAGATTGGCACCACTTGGTCGCTCCTCTTTATTCCATTCTCCCCCATTCTTTGTTTTCAGATAAATAAATATATTTTCTTGATTTATTGGAGCTTCAGTATAACAGTATTCACAGTTCGTATGAATCGTATCTAATAGTAGTTTAGGGATCCAACCTATAAAATTCATTTTTCGTCTAAAGTCTAATACCAAAATCCCCCCACCTTACTAATTGATCATCAATATATTGTATATTCTAGGATTTTTGAATAACATGTAAGATACCAGATTAATGCATGCAAAAAATGTTAGTATATGATATACTAATACATTAATATTTCTTGCTTACGAGGAATTCGTTTCAATTTGGATGAAAGATATATGAAATTCCTCAATATATAAAATAAAAAATCAAAAGAAAAAACATACAAAGTACTCAGTCAAAGTGAAATTAATTACATCACTTTATTATTATTATCTAAGTCACAGAATCGTCTAGAAAAATACCATCATTCATCACCATTGTCAAATTATATATAATGTAAAACTAATACTGTCATGTTTAAACCATTAATTCGGATTCCATTTGAATATTTGAATATAACAAAACTTTATCAACTTTAAAGAGTATATATTTGACAATATCATCTCCTACTTCATGCCCCTCTCGTGTCCTTTTTCTTTCTCTTCCAGCTTCTAACCAAAAAAAAAAAAAAATACAAAGAAGAGAGAATTAATTCTCATTTTCTTCATCGTTTTATCAATGGCAGCCTATGGAAGCTTTCATCGAATATTCGAGAACCCAATACAAGACAAGACTCCAAAGTCCTTTCTTGATACTCTCACGGCCTCTTCTTCACCTTGGAACCCAAACCCAATCAAAGGTCTCCACGTCACCGACCACGACGAAACGCCGCCGTTTACAGAGATTTTCGGTGAGCTCCATTTCAGGGAATCATCCCAATCATCTTACGAAAAGACCTCAGGAGAGAACAGTAGCCTGCAGCTGTGCACGGAAGGTCTAGGGTCAGAGAGCTATTACGACTTGGAGGACGGAAAAGTCAACGTCAACGATAACGGAGAAGATGACGATGAGATATCTGAAGTGAAGGGTAAAGATAACGGAAGCAGCGACGAGGAGTGGGGACCACGGAAAAAGGAACGGAGAGAGTATCCTCCGGCGATGACGAGGATGAGCTTCAAGACGTATAGAGAAGAAGGAAGGCTTGTTTTGGAAGAAGTTAGGATTCCGAGGAGAGAGTTTCTTCGAGCTAGCCGCGAAGACGGTCGACTCCGGTTAAAGTTGGTTCAACCGGAAGATGAGGACGAGAACGAGGAGGAGGACGAACAAGAAGAGAAGAAAGATAAACCGGTCTAAATGGTAGTCCAAGGAATAATTTTGCGATTCCTTGGAATCTTTGTCCCCTCTTCCACAAGATAAATGAAAAGTATGAATGTAAAACTTGTGTAGTAGTTAAGCTTTTTATCGCTTGATCATTTCGCCGTTCCGTTCTGCTGAGTTTTTCATTCATAATTTTACGTACCTTTCTACGATTTTACCAATGACAAGGGAATTTTTTTTTCGAAAAAGCTTAGAGTTGGTTATGTGTTAAAGATTTTGGAAAATCTTCTTAGTGTAATGAGCAAAGGTTGAGAAAACATGTTTATGTGACACTGTCACAGAGAGAATATTTATAGAAATTTATTTTATAAAACATGGAAATAGCTTACAAATATTACTATATTACATTTATATCATTTATTTTTAAAAACTTGAATTGGTGTTTAACCCCAAAAAAAATGAACTGGTCAGATCATTTATTGAGTTATACGACTAAAATTTTGTTTAATATTTGTAAGTACATTTGTTTAAGTAATTAAATTTCTAAGCTATTTTAATGCCTAGTTGAAAAGTTTTTGGCTGTGGAATTCATGATAACCAAATGTAGACGTGGGGACCGGATTTAGCATCATAACACAGGCGATAGAAGGGCCTGATTTTGTAAAGCCCAAATTCTAAACGTATCAAACCCAGTAAGTGAGCGAGAATAAATGAAGAACTTGATTACTTGAGCATTGAGGTGCATGCGTCATATATGCGAACGATTCTATTTCTATCTCCCTGAATCTAAGAGAAATTTTGTGATCTTTTTTTGATTTTTATCACTCATTTGGATTTTGGATTGTTCCACCAGAAAACTAGAATTAATGTCTCGACTCCAGTCACTCCACCCCATTAACTGTTAGGTTCTACTAGGCAACTACTCAGAAATGGTAGGATCATTTGCATACTTTGCAATACTAGAAAAATTTTCTTTATTAATTTGTTGAGATATATTGTTGAATAGGAAATGTTGCAGGCGAACCATTCGCCTGTGTAAATTAGCATGAATTATACTATCTTGTGATTACTTTATTAATTGATTTGTGAGCTAAAAAATATCTCGTATATTCCTTATATACCATATAAAAGAATTGTAAACCTAATGATACCAAAAATCTTGATATCACTAACCTTTTCTTCGATATTTTATTGTTGTTAGATTTAGGGAACCAATAACCATCACTCTTGTAAATAAGTCACTGAAAAATACATGCCTATATATTAGGTTACTTAGATTTTAATTTGGTGGGGAAAAATAAATGGTTATAGTTCTAATTTGACACAATAGATGTGTATTGGCGCAAATAGCTGACATTGAACACGATGGACATACTATATAAAGATATGCTCGAGTAAAAGAAGAAGATATTGGAGATATCGAAGTGAAGACTTGGAGGCTTTCGAATCAAGCAAAGCTAACGTAACCTAGAAAGAAATATAAAAAACTCGAGTTGCCGAAGTTTTTGGAGTATAAACTTGTTCAGATCATCTCTTTTTCCAACAACAACGATCTTTCATATATTTTAGACCAAATTAAACAGCAACTCTATTTTCAAAGAGAGAAACACTCTACAATTTTCTTAAATATTTTGCATGAATGGTTTTTAACTTTTTCCAACGAAGGTGAACTTATTCAGACTCAAAAAAAATTGATTTTAAATATTACTTTTTTCACTCTTGAATATTGTCAAATGTTCGATTGCCTATCAGTTCTGTTTTCATAACCTTTCTTTTCTTGTCGCCTACTGCTCACACAACTTAGTAAACATTTTTAATGCCAATTCGTTATTGCGTAAACCAACGCGCACGCAATTATTATGGAAAGTTTTCCACTAATATAATACTCCATTACTCATTGGAATAATATGCAACAATTTCTTCTACCTCTTCTTTATTCACAACAATTTTGATTTCCTTACAGAGCAAATAATTTTTTGTGTTTATTAGCACCGAGACCGCAAGGACTAGAAAGTCCCTTGTCGTTAGGGTGTGAAATCAACGCTCGTCAATGGCTACAGTTTACTAAAGATTTTATTTGGATTTGGAGTATATAGAATATACGTGTGATCTGTCATTCTTGTGTTCACACATCTATATATCAAATTATGTTCACACATCTATATCAAATTATCAGTATATACACACACACACACCCATGTACGTACTGTATATACCCCATGATTTGACATTTGGAAAAAGGGTTTAGTACTCATAGGCTCATACAAAATCTAATTAATTATTTCAATTGATTCGTTGGATTCGTCGCGGCAACAATTGAGTTTTATCCTCCAATATAAAGGTCCATAATATTTTGGTAATCCAGTATGCAATGCTCAATTTACTGTTCTAATATCATTTGGTGCATATTATGGTAGACGATAGTACTATTTCTGTCCAGTAATATCGGAATCAAAAGACAGATCGTTGACATCCAAATTAAATAAAACATGAATTTTCCATCACCATTTATATATTGAATATATATATATATATTAATATATATATATATATATAAATATTTTTAAATCTGTATCACTTCGTAAAATCCCATATTCGTGAACGGATAAAGTATTTAAATAGGACTATAAAGTCCATAATAAATATTAGTTAATCGGAAAAAAATTCATACGAAATCATAAAAGCGTGATTATAATTAATATCAGATATTGTTTGAAAACAAATACTAATGAAAATTAAAAATTATAAAAGGGACAAATGCTATAAAAAGAAAGAGAGTAAAAACGTTACGTAATTAAAATGTATAACCCACTGGTGGGAGCGGACCGAGTCTCAAATCTATGCTAGCCACAAAATACACTCAATTGTTTAGTAAATGACAATAAGAGATAAAAATGTAGAGATTTAAGCGCGTATTTATCTGTCTCCATCAATTTGTTAATTTTTCTTTTTCTTTTTCTTTCTTGCCATGCCCTTCAGAAAGACTATAGAAGTCTATGGAATGTCGGGTTGTCAAAATATTGTTTTTGGTCTTTAAAAAGTGTATTCAACTAAAAAATTGTAAAACTTGGGACTTTAGTCGGTTATTTTTATTTTATTTTCAATATGATTTTTTAACCAAAATGGTGATATATCTTTTCGATAATAGTTTCCAGATTTGTATTCATATGTATCATATATAGTTTTGATATGGCATGGTTTTTGTTAGAACTGCTTTTGCGAAAACTAGCAATTTAAATAATTCTTCAAACTAACATGTAATTTATTTTAATCTATCGTCAACGTATATAAGTATACAAAAGCTGATTGACATCCCATAATTCTGGATAAACTGGTCATTTTGTGAGAAAAAATTTATTCCTTGATACTTTTTAAAAGTAGTTGTTTAAAATTAAGATTCTAAGTAGTTTGCCAAATAACTTATTTTAGTTGACCTTTCTAATGGCCCACAATAGGAGCCATCTCGTTTCTTTATGAAAGATTCTCGAGTGGATTCATTTCCTAAGTATATCAAGGTTAATATTATTTAAAGTCGCAACATACTTAAAACGAGTTATTGATGTGGACCACTTTCACCTAACAACCCATTACGGAGTTTAGTTTCCGTATTGGTTTATCAATCTATTTTAAATTTAATAATTTATAGACCCCTAAATCCTAATGACAGGTTAGATGACCCCTAAACTATAAACTATTTCTTATGTGCCCAATTAAAATTAATATTAGTGATGCAACTGGTCGACAAGTAATGGAGACGACGAACCTCACCCTATAGTGTCCACAAGTTTTGATCTTTAAGCACTAAATTTGTGACATCCCGACCCACCCTCCCTTTAGGAACCAGGCGCGAACCGGCGATATCAATCCTAACTTCCCCCAACCACCCTTCTCAGTGAGCCCAACGCCCTCTCTAGGCACCTGGACCCAACATCCTCTCTCTAGGTCCGTTGGCCCAACGCCCTCTTTAGGCCCGTTGGCCCACCACTGTCCGACGGTCGGGAGTCGTTAGTCCGGAAGGCTCGTAAGACTTGTCTACTGTCCCTGCAATCACCACATGATCTTTTCCCGTGCTTTATCCTCACTTGCACGGTACCACAGAGTACTTCCCGGTAGGTCACCCATCCTGAGATTACTCTAGCATCAGCACGCTTAACTCTGAAGTTCTCTCAGCACACTTGACCGGAAAAGATAAGTGCACTTTGTTGACATAGGTAGCCAAATCAATTCTTATAAGCCTTTTCACATATACCGGAAATCGGGATGTTACAATTCTCCCCGACTTCCAAGGAATTCGTCCCCGAATTCTCCCTCTACTCACAGAGTGCTCGGTTACGGGGTGAGGCCACATGACGACTCCACACACGAGGTTGGGTGTCGGCTCTGATACCACTTGTGACATCCCGACCCGCCCTCCCTTTAGGAACCAGGCGCGGACCGGCGATATCAATCCTAACTTCCCCCAACCGCCCCTCCCAGTGAGCCCAACGCCCTCTCTAGGCACGTGGGCCCAACGTCCTCTCTCTAGGCTCGTTGGCCCAATACCTTCTCTAGGCCCGTTGGCCCACCACTGTCCGACGGTCGGGAGTCGTTAGTCCGGAAGGCTCGTAAGACTTGTCTACTGTTCCTGCAATCACCACATGATCTTTTCCCGTGCTTTATCCTCACTTGCACGGTACCGCAGAGTACTTCCCGGTAGGTCACCCATCCTGAGATTACTCCAGCATCAACACGCTTAACTCTGAAGTTCTCTCAGCACACTTGACCAGAAAAGATAAGTGCACTTTGTTTACATAGGTAACCAAATCAATTCTTATAAACCTTTTCACATATACCGGAAATCGGGATGTTACAAAATTGTTATATTGTGCTTTTTAAATATGAAATATAACAAAGCTTATCAATATGGGAATTTTTGTACGTTAATTATCCCGGCCAAATGCATGCTTATATACAGTTACATGAAAAGCTTCTAATTTAGTATTACATTTTAAAATTTAAAAGATACGAAGAAAATTGTACACCTAAAAATTTGACCAAAAATGTACCGAACTCGTGTCGTCTAAGCACCTTTGTAAAAATGTCAGTGAGCTGTAGGTATGTCGAGAAATGTTTGATGAGTCGAGACATGTCGTTGTATAGTTAAAAATTTAATCGCCAGCACAATGACAATCCAGTTCGATGTGTTTCAAATGCTTGTGAAACACTAGATTCTAACTAATTTTTTTATTAACTTACTGTCACAAAAACTTGAATCAGTTGTGTATAGCCAAAATTAAAAAGATGATTATCCACCTAAATAAGTTCATTAGGCATCACACTCACACGATCCTATGTTCATGCGTAAGAGCGTGAGTCAACCTGTTTCAGCGCTTTTGAACAAAATATGAAGACCATATATAGTTGAATAAACCAACTACGTACTTAGTGATCGTCGAGTAAAATATCTAAGTAACATAACCATTTGAGATGTTGGGAATCCATATCATAAGTATGAAGGGATCGATAATGATATATAAGGAATATGAACTAATTAAGTTATTGCAGGTTTTGAGTTGGAAGTTGATAAAATTTAACATAATCTGATTATGACCATACTCATGAGTAATCTGAATATAGTTTATTTACCGTTATAATGTAGAGATCGGTTCATTATCTCAAGTTGAAAATTCTACATTGGAAATATGAAGAGACTTAATGTAAAACAAGAATAAAATAACTCTTTATCAATTGGTTTTGCGTTAAAAGTTAGATAATTGCATAGTTTAGTATGAAAATAAATAATGAGAATACTTATACATACTCATTTTATGTTACATTACATACGTGTATGGCTGTCTTACTTTATACCACCTAAGATTGATTTATTGTATTCTTTTATAGTTTTACATCATACTTTCATAATTGATACGTATTAAATAGAAATTACATATTCTTTATATACGAACCTCGTTACACAGGGAATTCCCTCTGCAACACTAGGAATTAGAAAATTAACCCTAAAAGTATGAGGATTCTAAGTTTGCTTAGAAAAAAAGAACTTATTATATTCTAAAATTGGCATGCCGAAATGAAAGATAGAGAAAAGAAAACTAAGGAAAATTAAGAGACTGAAATTTGACTCCAAGACAAGGGCTTGACTCATTCAATGGGCGTACGTGGCTCGTAAAAGCTTACTTAACAGTAAACACACCACAACTAAAGTAATTACACACACAAAAACATCCTTGTCAAACATCAGATTTTTTTTTATCTTTCCAAATATCCGTAAAAATTAACAGGTATAATAAATAATTCTATCAAATTCTAATAACGCGTCGAACTTTTCTCATTTCACTCGGAGAAACCAATCTCTACTTCAACAACCTATTTAATGCCAGTGAGTCCATGACCTCTAAATAAAAGAAAGCAAATCAATTTGTGATAATATAATTACAATCAAGAGGTTTTCTTCTGTAGAATATCTATCTATCATATACAAAAATGGAGGAGGAGCTTACGCTTGGGTTTCGCTTCTATCCCACGGAAGATGAACTGATTTCGTTCTACCTACGAAACCAGCTCGAAGGAAGAAGTGATGACTCCATGCACCGTGTCATTCCCGTTCTGGACGTCTTTGAGGTCGAGCCAAGTCATCTTCCAAGTACGTTATATCCTTACGTAAAATGTAGATCAAGATCATCATGTTACTTGAGTCATAAGGCTTAAGGGCATTTACAGTTACGAATTAGGTTTTCTAGCACGTAGACTTCTCCATTTTGGTGCTGTATATGTGTTATATACATTTCAGTTTTATATTCTTAAAAGAAAAAAATAGTTACCAAAGTGAAACCAATTCAAGATCGTTTTAGTCACTTTTGATTCGGTTTGGGTTCGATTTAATCAAATTTATCAATATTTTTCTTAAAAAAATCAACATTAATTATAGCGATATTAAGACTCAATTTGGTTTTTAGATTGGGTATTCTCGGTTTAGATCAAATCGGTTTGATTTATCCACATTGAACTCCCCTAGTATGAATAATACAAATAATTTTTAGTGTATGGAACTTCAACTTACAAATCCTCTCTTTTGCGGCTTTGTTTTTCTTCTGCAGATGTTGCGGGAGAGAGATGTCGAGGGGATGCTGAACAATGGTTCTTCTTTGTGCCAAGACAAGAACGTGAAGCAAGAGGAGGCAGACCGAGCAGAACCACTGGTTCAGGATATTGGAAAGCGACTGGATCACCTGGTCCAGTATTTTCCAAAGATAACCGAATGATTGGAGTCAAGAAAACTATGGTTTTCTACACTGGCAAAGCACCAACAGGAAGAAAAACAAAATGGAAGATGAATGAGTACAAAGCCGTGGACGAAACAGTCAACGTGTCCACAATCCCCAAGGTTGCATTTGCATATATAAAAAAGCTTTTTCTTGATCTTTTCAAAGATCCTTAATTGAACGAAGTTTTTAACTGATGATATATTTTTTTTTTTTTCTTGAACATTTAGTTGAGACATGAATTCAGTTTATGTCGTGTATACATAACATCAGGAAGCTCAAGAGCTTTTGATAGACGCCCTGTGGGAGTTTTTCAGACAGAGAGAATGCTTACAAGTGATGTTGCAGTTGCGGAGACATCATTTCGTGTGGAAAGCTCACCAGAAACTTCGATTTCAGGAGGAGAACATGTTGATCTCTTTGTGAGTACAGAGATGGTTGGTGGTTTAACAGAACCAATCTGGGAATGGGAACAGCTGAATTGGCCTTGAAGCTAGATTCATAATCAAGAAAACTTGAAGTTACTATTTTAATTAGTTGAATTTATGACCAGAAAATTTTCTTTTTGTTTTCCTTGTAACATTGAACTTTGAGCAAGAATAAATGACAAAAGGTGATATTAATTATAAGATGTATTTTTAAATTATATTTTTTGTTAACTTTCATTTGGTGTCGTTTTGTAGAGAATGTGAGGGTCATCGAGCAAGTATCAATTAGAAACTCGAAAGTCAAAGCCTAGAAATTAGCCTAATTAAGACTAAGATCAACAAAGAGGAAAAAAAGTAGTATATAATAGTCAGTTTTGATAGGCAGAAAGTTGAAAAGTGATTTACTTGAGCATTGTTTCAGCACCAAATATAAACGAAAAGAGCCAAAAGGACAAAATTGTTTTGTAATATAGAGAAAGATATATATGCGTTGTCACTATAAAGGTGAAAGTGAAAGAAGACTAAAAGGATTTTTGGTCGTCGATAGTTTTTCACTAAAGCAAAATATTCAAGTTTTATTTTTTTTTGTTAATTGCAAAGCTTCGTGAGTAGAACAGGTAAGTACGTTTTTTTGGAGAATAGTCCCTTTTAACGTGAGAATTGAACTCGGGAGGACATCCTCCTACTTATACTCACCAACAATCCAATAACAATTACATTTTTCGATGAACAATACCTAAAAAAGAAAAAAAAATGTATTGTAATATAGAGAAACAGATGTGTATACGTACCAATATGAAGTTGAAAGTGGACGAAGACTAAAAGGTTTTTTGGTCATCGATTGCTTGTCCTTGTCCCAACACACTATACATATATACATCATTAACTCAGAAAAGAATAAAAGTCTCATTTCTCTAAGCTTTGGTTCTCAGAATATCTACAATGCTCAACATACTAAAATCATCATATGATTTGGACATTATCCATGGAACCAGTAAAATTGGAGAACCTGCTTCAAATTGTTGAAAACTCTTTAAGATCCACCACCTCAATTTTCTATAACCTGAGACTAAAAAATTGAAATCAACAAAAGCAGAATCTCTATTTACAAATATAAAAGACCGTAACAAAAAATTTCGTCAGGATCACTTGATAAAAAATCTGTGATTCCATCTTACAATCCAACTTTTCTATAGTATATAAGACAGTGAAATGATATTATCCATTAAATTGGTAAAAAAAATGATGGTTCAATTGTTTAGGGTGTAAATGGTAAGAAAATAATATGTAGGTGACTATTTAAAACGTAAACAATAAACAAGGGGTTTTATACGAAACGTCTGTTCCTGACAACAATAACTTCCGTAAAGTTTTAGACTCTGCTCGGATCGCAGCAAAGCCGACGTTGAAACTTCTCCCCGGAGCGCGTGATCCACAACACTACCTGACGTCGAAAATCCATCTGATCGAAGCTTTTCTCCGATGGCGATTATCTATGCGGTTGTGGCGAGGGGTACGGTGGTGTTAGCGGAATTCAGCGCCGTCACGGGAAACTCAGGCGCCGTTGTGCGGCGGATCCTCGAGAAGCTTTCGCCGGAAAGTTCCGATGAGAGACTTTGTTTCTCCCAAGACCGTTACATCTTCCATATTCTCAGATCTGATGGGCTTACCTTTCTCTGTATGGCCAACGACACCTTTGGAAGTAAGCCCTTTTCCCCCTTTTCTCTGTATTTAAGGTCTAAATCCAGAATCCATCTTTGGCTGATGAAACAAGCCATGGATTTTGAAATGTTTGTAATTGATTCGCTATACCTTTGAAATTGTGTGGTTTTGGATTTATGGTTGGTGATGGTGATTGAATTTTTTCAGGGAGGATTCCCTTCTCGTATTTGGAGGATATTCGTATGAGGTTCATGAAAAACTACGGAAAAGTAGCACATTATGCTCCAGCTTATGCAATGAATGACGAATTCTCAAGGGTTTTGCATCAGCAGATGGAGTTCTTCTCCAGTAATACTAATGCAGATACTCTCAATCGTGTTAGAGGAGAAGTCAGTGAGGTGATTGTTTTTCTTGTTATGTTCTCTAGATGTTATATGGATTGAGAAGGTAGAAAATTTTGCGTGATACTTCTGTCTTCTTGGCTCACAGGCTTCTACTTTATAAATTCTGTCTTTGGTGTAAGTTTTTCAGTTGGTTCACTCGTTGTTGTGTTGTCGGGTTTACAGATTCGATCAGTCATGGTGGAGAACATTGAGAAAATCATGGAGAGAGGTGATAGGATTGAGCTTCTGGTTGATAAAACAGCAACAATGCAAGATAGTGCTTTTCACTTCAGGAAACAATCTAAGCGCCTCCGCCGAGCTCTTTGGATGAAGAACGCTAAGCTCTTGTAAGGATCTCTATCATTTGTTGGTTCTCTGATTTATCTTTTGTTTTCATGATGATGACTTACACCTATCTACATTCCATATGTTTCAATATTTCTCTTCAATTAGAGAGACATCGTATCTGTGGGCCTGTGGCTCAAAGTTTTTTAAAAAAAAATCATTTTGGAAATCAGATTATTTGGAAACCGTTACTATCTCCAAATACACAAGTTTCGTTTTTGTTTCATTTGATGCTTTCATCTTTTAAGGATCATTAAATTTTATATTTCCTTAAACAAATCTTCTATTATTGTTTGTGTTCGACAGGGTACTTTTGACGTGCGTGATAGTTCTTGTGCTGTACATAATAATTGCATCTTTCTGTGGAGGCATCACTCTACCGTCTTGCAGATCGTAATCTCGCAGCCTTATCAAAGGTAATGATGCTTGCAAACTTTTTCGGGGCATATAACCCGAAACAGACCACTGCTTTTGTAAATCAACCCAGTCACATCCTTAAATGTCAGTCTTCGTTTCATCATGAAAATGGCACTGAGTTTTGAGGTTACATGTATTGGTCCTCCTCGCTTTTATGTAACTCTTGTAAATGTCAAAATGATACAGAGGTTCACAAAACACTTGCCTTGTCTTGTAGATTTAGTCACTTGAGTGAGTTTGCTCTCGGTATGTCCAAAACCTTATCTCCTTTGTCTTTTATTATTCTTGCATCGCATCTACAGTGTACATCACATACTCGTAATTTATGTTGTTCACATGCCTTTGATTATTCTTTTCGGTTGGTTTCAGTTCCAGTTTCTGCTTGTTTCTTCATCATTCGTCTCTGTTTTCATTAATGTTACAAATTTATGTATGTAGTATTAACGTGTTCACTAAGAGTTTGTGAGAAAAGACATATTTTTAAAAAATTGTAACAAATATCTCTAAATTTGTCGCAAGTTTTGATACGACAAAGTTTATTGCAAAATCTGCAAAAGCTAATGTCTATCATATCAGATTGATAAGAAGAACCATTGCAGAATATCTTCGTCGAATACAGCTGTCCTCTTATCAAATCTTCGTCGAATTCAGTTAAACTATTATAATATATAGTTGATAATATTTCATATTCCTCGGAATTTTTAAAACTTGAGTAAAATTCAACGCCAAACATGTTAACAACTAAAATAGATAATAATACTGAGTCATTTCTAGCTATTTCTGTTATTTATTACCACTGACTTTTTGTTTTTTCATAAAACCCACAATTGTAAGTGCATAAAATAAAATTCATGCACTAATTAAGCTGTGGTAAAACCAAATGCTCTCGATATGTATAAAAATAAGAAAGTTGTAACAAGACTTCACAAATAGCCCATTGGATCAACCTTTTGACAACTAAATTCTAGATATTAGGCCTTGGAAACGGCCTATATATCACAGGCAAAGCTTTGCAAAAAGAGACATATATTTTCTAATAATTATTTTTGTGCAGCTTCAAGTTTAATTTGTCAATTTGTTTACCAATTTGCGTTAATAACACACCTCCTTGACAGGAGCAAAGGAAATACAATCTGACCTTTCGCAAGTTGTCAAGCACGACCTCTCTACAGAGTTGAGATCAATCCCCGAATCTCGGCGTGGTTCCTCGAGGGTTTTGATCTGATCGGATTGAAATCAGACCGGCATGAGGCCAATCCTATTGCCGGATCCGCCCAGTCTATCTACCGGCGTACCTGAGATTTTCGAACAAGGCGGAGCTCAGAACGTCGTCAGACGCGCCGTCGTCATTGGAAACGGTTTTCCTGGCTCCGAGAATCAGTGTATCGGTCTCGTTCGCGCGCTCGGCTTAGCGGAAAATCACCTACTCTACGTGAGTTTTTTGATCCAGGCTTGAGACAATTTTAGTTTCGCTACTAGCATTTCCTGCAATTTCTTCCCGACTATCCTGTTGATACTACTAGACACGAAATTTCCGTGTAACATCAGATTGCTAGGCGCATATTTGGTAATAAGATTGATGATTGCTTTCAACTAGGGGTTCTCTAGGGCCAATGGATTCATTTCTCTTACTGTGTTGTTTCATCATGTATTCTACGTTTTTAGCTTGCTAAGTCTAAATAGGACTAAAAATTCACGAATCTTAGTACTTCTTTTGTATGTATTGTGTCAATACGGTTACTGTAGAAGAAATGATGCTGTTCTGTAGGATCAAGGATGAGGTAATTTGTTTGCTAGTCTGAATTTTCAGAGAAGGAGAACGAATTATTGGAAATTTCTTGGAATCTTGGAATTAATGTCTATGTAGAGTTGCCAATATCTTAAACTTTTGGGTAAACAATTGTTTTTGGTTTATATTCAAAGTAATGTTTGGTTCACTGAGATTGTCTCTCTTTTTTTTTGTTATATTGATGCAAGCGAGTTACAAGGCCTAAAGGAGGGATAAATGAGTGGCTGCACTGGCTCCCAGTTGGTTTTCACAAGAAGTTAGACTTTATCCTCCGGCATATCTACCTCTACTCCAGATTGATGCTTAGATCCAAACAAAGTAAATACATCGCATCTGTACCCTCAGAGAATGGCGGCAATGTTGGCTTGGCCTCTATTTTAGAGGCTGACGTGAAGAAGATTGTGACTATGGCCCGTGAGACCTATGAAAAGTATGTAAAACTTTGGATTTCTTTGTGGTGCTTGTTAATTTGGACATTATGGCGTTTTTATGAGTTGCAAGTGGTAAACTAAATTGAAGCCTGAACGTATGGCTAAGCGATTTTAAGTCTTTTCTCAGGGATGGCCCGTTGGTAGTGATTGCATGTGGGAGAGATACCATTTCTATTGCTAGCTCGATAAGGCGTCTGGCTTCTGAAAACGTCTTCGTTGTTCAGGTTTATAAGATTTAACTTGATTGTTATACTACTTGGGAGACTGTAGGCTTAGCTTTAGAATATAATTCGAGAGAAATTTTGACTTAGAATCTAGAGGGAAGAATTTTGTTCCTCAGTCGTGTCGTCATCTGAAAAAGAGAGTTATGTTCCTGGATTCTCTGCATTCTAATTATTGCTCGTTTTTCTTCATTTATGTAGATACAACATCCTAGATCACACTTAAATAGGTTTGACATGGTTATCACTCCTCGTCATGACTACTATCCTCTTACCCCCGAAGCGCAAGAGCAGGTTCCTAGATTCCTGCGTAGTTGGATAACTCCACGTGAACCACCTCAGGATCATGTAGTAAGTGCCATGGCTTTGCCTAAATTCTCTTCTCCGTTTTATAACTGTAGATGAACCTTGTTTTGGAGAGTTCATTTGTAATTACCATGAGTGGGCACGCCTATTTTCAGGTCTTGACTACTGGAGCTCTACACCAGATCGATTATGCCTCACTTCGTAAATCAGCTAGTGCCTGGCATGATGAGTTTGCTGCTCTTCCAAAGCCCTTAGTTGTGGTTAACATTGGCTGGCCTAGACGTATGTTCTGTTACTCTTATGAGTTACTAGACAGTGATCTTACACTTCCATCATATAACACACGAGCACCTTTTTCTTGTGGATGCTGATGCTTAAACCTTATTGCCATTGTTTTCTTGTATTTCTGAACAGGTAACTGTCGGTATGGTGCAGATCTGGCAAAGCAGCTAACAGACGCCCTTCTTAGTGTCCTTGATAGCTGTGGAAGTCTCAGGATTGCTCTCTCATACAAAACCCCTGAAAAGGTCTCCTAAACACATGTTTCTGTTCACTGGAATAGTTATAGCTGATGTTCTTGAGTTTCACCTGGTATTTTACTATACAAGCAGGTTTCAAGAGTAATTTTCAAAGAATTAGGAGGCAACCCAAAAGTCTACATTTGGAATGGCCAAGGTACTAATGATCCACGGAAAATTCTGCTTCATCTTTGCACAAGTACAATGCAATGACAAAAGTTTCTAACGGCTGTTTTAAAATGCTAATTCAGAACCAAATCCTTACATGGGACATTTAGCTTGGGGTGACGCCTTTGTAGTGACAGCAGATTCTGTCAGTCTCATAAGCGAAGCCTGCAGCACCGGGTATATAATATACTGAGATAACCCTTTCAATTTTTTACCTACAACTTAAACTATAATCTGTATATTCCTTCCCTGCTGCAGGAAACCCGTGTACGTTATTGGAGCCGATCACTGTAAATGGAAGATTGCAGATTTCCACAAGTCTTTGAGGGAACGAGGAGTCGTCCGCTCATTTACGGGTTTCGAAGATGTAAGTATCTTTACATCTTAAATATTGTAAAGCTTTCATTTTTTCCCCATGCCAAACTGTTAAATCTGGTGAGAGTTCTGTTATATCCTGCATGTCTTGATGATCTTCTTTTTGATGCGGTCTTATAGATGTCGGAAAGTTGGAGTTATCCGCCATTGAATGACACTGCAGAGGCAGCTATGAGAGTACGGAGTGCATTAGCTGCACGTGGATGGAGTCTACGCTCTTGAAACTAATCTTTAGCTCTTGGTTGTAAAGTTTGTTTGCGGAACCACATTTCTCGGAAGCTTAGAGAAAGAAAAGCCTAAGACAATCGGATGTGCAGATAAAGGTGACTATACCAGTATACCATTTGAAAGGGTTATTTACGTTTCTTGTGCCCTAAATTTTTGCTGACATTACAAAATAGTGAATCTCTCAACTTCTTGTCAATCGGAGTGGCCTCTGTGAGATAACGAGAGAGTGGAAAGTTATTTTTTCCGTTTGTATTGCCTTGTCGGTGAGACTTGGATGTGTAGAATGAAAAATGTCTCACGCACTTGTTTTCAACTTTTCCACACATGTTCAATAATTTCGTTTTTGGTACATTGACATAGGAAATATACTGTATTTTCCCTTGAAAACTATATAAATCTGATACAAAAATTGATATACTCAGACAACTACAAATTTACAAGAAGACGACATTGAAGATGAAAAAAACGAGCACACAAATTTGCTTTGAGAAACTTTAGTCAATCTCTCCGTACAACTCACAACACACTCTACATCCTCAGGCTCAGCTACAAGTCTTAGCAAATGAGTCAAGTTTCTGTTTCCCTCTAAGATCATGTACACAAATCCGCGGTTCCCCTCCCCTGCGGTTAATTGTCTCACTCGAGAGGTTGGTTTTTTCTCGGGAACTCTGTAGTTAGTCGTCTGGGAAGATGAATTGAAGATCTTGGTTGTCTCTATACACTTGAACCAGAGCTGCGGCTTTGTATACAAACAAACCTACCATGGCTGGAACTATCTGCAAGGCAAAACATTGTGGAGAAAAAATGGTTCAAACTTGATGCTTGTCAAGAACGTGTGAGAATAAAGAGAGTATTAGAAAATAATAAGTTCAATGGCTTTAGAGTAGCTACCTGAAAATCGAACAAGTCATTTTGCAAATACTTGTGAGAGAGTAGCCACAAAGCATAAACTGCAGCTGGAATCACTAGACGTGGGGAAGAGAGAGCCATGCCGCTTCCCCTGATGGTCCTCTCTACAAAGTCTTCAAGGTCTTCACTTCTAATCCCGATTCTGAGTTCACACAATAAGAAAGCAAGTTCAGACAATACGAAAGTGACCAGGCTTATATAGACAAAAGCTTTGTCATGACTAGCAGCTTTACTTTTTAGTCTTCTTTTTCAGGAAGATGTTAGGAACAGCTTCACGAGAAACACCATCCGCGTATCCGTACAAAAGCTGAAGGTACAAGCAACTGCACTGGAAGCAGATTTAGTTAGGAATTTGCGAGTGCACGAGTGAGTTTGTTGCAGAACTTATAAATTACAATGTCAAGGTCTATTTTCCTACATCCTTTAAAGTAGAGAACTAACCTGAAAAGAACTCCAACTGCATAGCTTACGGCAGCCTGTTCAGATAAAACAATATCTCTTTCAAACACATTTTCTCATGAAAAGTTAAAACGATGGAGCAAATGAAGCCATTGCATAGATTGATTAGAGCTTTGAGAGCTGGGGAATGCCAAAACTGATCCCCTCTGACCAATTTTGTATCTCTACCATCTTCTTTGCAATATATGCATTTTTAAGGATACTTGATTAAATATTTGACCTAACAAAGAAAAAAATCACCCATGAGAGAGCTTACCTGGGGTGATAAAGCTAGTAAGCAATATCCGCTGCACCCGGTTCCAATCACAATTGACAGGTACATCAGTTCACGCTTCAGCTAGAAAAGAAAAGACACAAAAGCAATCATTCCAAGGTAACTTCTATTATTAAGGCATCCAAGTAAACCACTAGCATCACATACTGAACAGCTATTTCCCACTAATAACAGTTTTCGTAAATCATACAGCTTTGACTGGTAGACATATCAAGAAACATACTGAAAGTAAAAATCATACAGCTTCATATTTCAGAAAGTTCAGTTTCTTCCTTCGCTCGCTGTCATCCCGTAATGCCTGCAATCAAACCCAGAGGATTATGGAGGAGTAGATAATACGCAGCATACAACTGTAATGAGAAGGAGGGGTGAAACGGAGACAGAGAGCAACAACATTCAAAAAGAGATGACACACCTTCGCTAGAGCTTTCCTATTCATGGGAGCGGAATCACTTTCCCCAACAATCCATTCTTGGGTCGGTTTAAGTTTCAAGAAACCGCTTTCATCATCATCTGCGCCATACATCAAGCTCTCCTGCATATAGAATACTAAGACATGAAGTAAAGCAGCTATACCGAACAAAGCAACAGTTCCAAGCGAGAGGATTTCCGCCATGAAAAGCTATAATTTTGTGACATTTCTTTCACACATGGTATGATCGAAGCAAGCACAAGCCAGCAGTAAATTGTAACAGGATATATCATCTCTCAAACTAGTCCTGAATACATGTAAAAAGGAATTCAAATCGTCAGAAGCAAACAAAGCTCACTGTCAATTTCATGACGATGGACTGACATTTTACAACTCAGAGCCCAAAAAAAAAACTAGCTTAAAATTACTAATGAGCTTTTGAAAGAAACCAATGTAAATCATATTCATAATACAAAAAAATCAGTTTTCTTTTTACCTGATTATTATCAAGTCCAGTAGTTGAAGAGGCTCCATCAGAATTAAGATCAATAGATTCGAGAATCTCCCTGAACCAGAGCCTATCAGAAACTTTGGAAATGAAATCTCCATTTTCTTCTCTGTCTTTCAAGAACATTTGCAACACATCTTCCTCCACAAGCTCACTCACTGAATAAAACAGCAAAAAACATGAAATTCTCACAGAGCAAAGGGATAAGAGGAACTGAACAAAAACCATTGGAGCAGGAAAAATCATACAACTCAAATTTAGAATACAATACGCAGAGAGATAAAAGGAATATATTGTCACCAGAGCGAGAAGCGGCGTTTAAGGCGGGCAAGCGTGGGGCATTCCTGTTCGGCGGTTTCCGAAGGAGGTACGGCAGAGAAAGCCTCGCGTGCGGCGGATGAATGGCGCCGCCGGAAAACCACGCAGCGGCGGGAATCGAGAGAGTCTCCATGTGCGACGGCCTCTCCAGAAGAAGTTTAGTATATAGCAAAAGCTTATCCTCCGAGACTTGGTGGAAAGAAAGAAAGCTACAAAAAATAAGACCCTTTTACTATTTGTTTATTTTAGTTTCGTCCCTTATATTTTTATATATACCACAAATGCTCCTCCCTGAAGTTTGATTAGGCCAAAATAATATATTTTACATGTTTAATGTTAAGAATTTGCAACCTCTTTTTCTCTTTCAATCTCTGACTGGAAAATAAGAACCAAATCAGATATATTTTTATTTTCTTCTCAAATTCTTAGATAGCTAGTGATGATTTTGGAGAGACATTGTTTTTACACGCTTTGCTTCTGCTTCTGTGATGTTTTTTCATTTTTTCTTGGGCAAACCTGCTTATGTGATGTTAACATGTTGTATTGTTTGCTACTTTGCTTTGACTAATCCAGAAAACGGAAAAATTGTTTCCCTCCAATTTGTTTTCTTTCCATCTTTTTTTCAATCAAAAGGATGGGGTGCTTTCGTAAAAGAAAAAAGAGTAAAAGGTCCATGCTGCAATAAAGATGAACATATAAACTCTGTAGAAAAGGAAGGGTTTTGCCATTTTGGAGTAGACACACCAAACTCAGAGAGCTAAACCCCTTTACGCCGTCGTCGTCGTCGTCGAGAATACAACAAAGACCACCGATAAGGAGATGGAGAAAGTAAGGATTGAAGAGATTCAGTCCACCGCTAAGACAAAGCGTATAGCTACGCACACCCACATTAAAGGCCTTGGCCTCGAGGTTCTTCCTCTCCTCCTCCTCCCTCTCTCCACGGAATCTCCCTCTTTGAATCTAGTACATTGCAGTAGTATGCTCGTATTGCTCGAAATTCCTAGGGTTTAAAGTTTTAGGGTTTTGAAGCTATTTCCTTCGTTTTGTACGCTCAGAGACTCTTGGGGTAGTGTTTCAGTAGATTTCTGTATGGTCGTGTAGCTCAATGTTCGTTCGGGTATAGGGTTTAAAGTTTTTGGCTTATGAAGGCTTTAAAGCTAATTGCTTTGAGACTCTTTTCGGTTCTTGTACATCAAATCCCCAGATTTCATTTGCAAAGTTTCAATCTTTTGAGACCTGTAAGCCTTGCCCTTTGTGGCTAAATAGCTTTGTGGTGGTCCTCTACTAGATATGGCTCATTTACTGACTGTACTTTTTCAAGCACTAGTGTCTTCTCTTTAGATAGCTCGAATGTATATATTTACCATTCCTAATTCTGTGTCTTCTTTTTCTAGCCTACCGGAATTCCTATACCGTTGGCGGCTGGATTTGTGGGTCAACTTGAGGCTAGAGAGGCATCTGGTCTTGTAGTGGACATGATAAAGCAAAAAAAGATGGCAGGCAAAGCTCTCTTGCTTGCTGGACCGCCTGGAACCGGTAAAACAGCATTGGCTCTTGGAATATCCCAAGAGCTAGGAAGTAAGGTAATCTCGGATGCCTTCATTTGCATCATCGTTATTACATTACATGAATCCATATTCCACATGGCTTCATTAGATTTTGTGTACATGGTATGAAGGCATTTTTATTCACCTTTAGTTTATGTTATCTGGATTGTTTCTTGTTTGTAGGTTCCCTTCTGTCCAATGGTTGGATCGGAGGTTTACTCATCGGAGGTAAAGAAAACTGAGGTTCTCATGGAGAATTTTAGACGCGCTATTGGGCTACGGATCAAGGAAACCAAACAGGTCTATGAAGGAGAGGTGCGTTGCTACTTTCAGTTTCTTGAGTAGTCGTATGTCTGTTTGTCGTTATGTTCTTAACATGTTTTCCTTGAGTTCTAGGTTACGGAGTTGTCCCCTGAAGAAACTGAAAGTCTTACCGGAGGTTATGGTAAAAGCATCAGTCATGTGATCATTGGACTCAAGACAGTTAAAGGAACCAAACAACTGAAGTTGGATCCCACTATATACGATGCCTTGATTAAGGAAAAGGTTAGTTGTTTGGCTACTTGCACCTGGTATTTTTCATATGTTTGGTTTCCATTTCGAACTAATGACCTTTTGTTACAAATTACCAGGTCATTTTGTTGATTATTTTTTCAATCTGATGGCTTTCTTCTTCTATTTACTGATTGACTCCCAGGTAGCTGTCGGAGATGTTATATACATTGAAGCAACCAGTGGAGCTGTCAAACGGGTGGGTAGAAGTGATGCTTTTGCCACTGAATTCGATCTGGAAGCTGAAGAATATGTTCCACTACCGAAAGGAGAGGTTAATAAGAAGAAAGAGATCGTTCAGGTATCTTCTATAACCTTTGATTATCCCTTCTCTGTAGCAGTAATTATCATCATTGTCACTATTACGTTTCGTTGATTTATGTACTGTATATGTGTTTTAATCTTACGATGTTCCTGGGTTTCTTATGACTACTTGTTACTCAATTAGGGTGTATACTTTTGACTTGAACAACACTTTTTTATGGTCTTCTAAAAAGTTTCTTCACTATCGCTAGGATGTCACTCTCCAAGATCTGGATGCAGCAAATGCTCGACCTCAAGGCGGTCAGGATATACTTTCTTTGATGGGACAAATGATGAAACCTCGGAAGACCGAGATCACTGATAAGTTGCGGCAAGAAATTAACAAGGTAACCTTCACTTAACTTGGATGATTTTTGTTTAAATCTTGCGAAGGTCTAATTTTATGTGGTATTTATGAATATTGCAGGTCGTGAACCGTTATATTGATGAAGGTATTGCAGAGCTTGTTCCGGGAGTTCTATTTATCGATGAGGTATTTTCCTAAGAAGTTTTGTCATTCCACCATGTTGATCTTACTTAGTAGCAGCTGTAATAACTTTTTTAAACTTCAAAATTTCAGGTTCATATGCTTGATATGGAGTGCTTTTCGTACTTGAACCGTGCTCTTGAGAGCTCATTATCTCCAATAGTGATATTTGCAACAAATAGAGGTGTTTGCAACGTAAGGTGAGGAGAAGCGCTAGACCTTATCAATTTTCTTCTTTGAAAATTTATTGAGTTTGGTTAACTTGTTACCGTGATTTGCTTTGTTTGCAGAGGGACTGATATGCCAAGTCCCCATGGTGTTCCTATTGACTTACTGGATCGGTTGGTCATTATCCGGACCCAAGTCTATAATCCATCTGAAATGATACAGGTTACTCAATTGTCATTTAGTTTTTTTTTTCGATTTCAGTTAGTTAACAACATTCTAATAGATTTGTTGTGTGGCCAGATCATTGCCATTCGGGCGCAAGTAGAAGAGCTAACAGTGGATGAAGAATGCTTGGTCCTACTTGGGGACATTGGGCAAAGAACATCCCTCAGGTTTAAGACTAAACTGTCATTATTGCGTTTTGCAAGATCTTTTTTCCTCTTTATTCTCTAAAACCATTTTTGTGCTCTCAACTTTCAGACATGCGGTTCAGCTTTTGTCTCCTGCCAGCGTCGTGGCCAAAATGAACGGACGTGACAATATTTGCAAGGTACTTACTTGTGAACTTCGGATAATATGAGAAAGCAATCCAAAAAATGAATGTTATGTTCAATCTTCCATTTTTAATTCTTGGTATTTTCGACTTTTGACAGGCTGATATAGAGGAAATAACATCACTCTACCTGGATGCCAAATCTTCAGCAAAGCTTTTGCATGAGCAACAAGAAAAGTACATCTCATGAGAGAACACTAATCGAAATGTTTTGTTAATAGATTCTCATATTTATTTCTCCGGTTTCTTCTCTTGACCATTTTTGTAATACCGAGACTTAAAATCTGTGATAACGTTTCACTTTGAGCCAAACTTGGTTTGGTCTTGAGCTTTTATATCAAGTCCCTAAGTTTCATAGTAGTTTTGGAACAATTCTTCAAGAGCAAACAAAACTTGTGAAGTCCATCATCATCTTATTACTTATTACAAACAACTAGTGAAGTCTATCATCAACGTTGTTAGTTGTTACTTATTGCAAACAACTTGTGAAGTCTATCTTAGAGGGTATTCCTGATTTATACACTTATATGTGGGTGAAATTTATAAACAATAGAAAACATTGGGGTTTCTCAGTAAAAAGCTGGCACGGTCGGGAACAGAGACAATCTATCACTACGGGTTTCTTTAGGAGTTTAGGGTGTGAGACTGGAACCAAAAGGCTAGGGTTTTGTTACAAGGAAGAAGACGAAGATGGCAGCGAATTCGTTGACCGTTGAACAAGTACTAAAAGAGAAGAAGACCCATGACCTCGATTCCGTCAAGGAACTTAATCTTAGCTGCAGAGCTCTCAGCGACGTGAGTTTCGTCTCTGTAAACTCTGTTCCTCATGAGAAACTGAAACGAAGCTCTAATTTTGTAATTGATATTCAGGTGTCTTGTTTGAGCAAGTTCAGAAACCTGGAGAAGCTCGATCTTCGTTTCAACAATCTCACTGATCTTCAGGTTATTACTACCTCAATGTGCGAAGCAGAGAGATTATATTTATAAAAACCGCACCTTGTCTCAACCAACTTGATTTATGATAGTATCCGAAATTTGAAGATTAGTTGTTGTTTTTTTATGAGCTTATATGTTCATGTTCCATTGGTGTTAGGGACTGAAATCTTGTGAGAATTTGAAGTGGCTATCGGTTGTGGACAATAAATTGCAGAGCTTGAATGGAGTTGAAGGATTAATTAAGCTTACAGTAAGTTCCAAACTGACATTTTTTTTTTTTTTGTTCTCAGTGATTTTCTCTCTTTCTAATATGTTTAGTACTTCCTGCGTTAAAAAAATTTGATGTTCTTCAGGACTAAGCTTTCCTTTTGCTAGAAAATGAGTAAATATATCTGCTTGATTTGATTGTGCGGTGTGGTGTTCAATTAGGTGCTAAATGCTGGAAAGAACAAGCTCAAATCCATGAATGAGATCTCTTCTCTTGTCAATTTGCGAGCCTTGATTTTGAACGGTGAGTTATACCACACAATCAAAGGTTTTGTCTTTGCATCCAGAAGCTGCTATTGATGATTAGCCTTTACTGTTTTACTTGTTTCACTTCTTGCAGACAACAAAATATCCTCCATTTGCAAGCTGGATCGACTGAAAGACTTGAACAGTCTCGGTATGTTCTTCCATCAGATCAACATGCTACATTTTAAACGTTTACGTTACACAATTTCAGCTACTTAAGATTTGCTGCTTTCGTTATGGATTTGATGCAGTGCTTTCTAGGAACCCGATCAGTGAAATCGGTGACTCGCTTTCCAAGTTGAAGAACCTCTCGAAAGTAGGTTCGAGTTTTCTCCTGTTTCGGAGTCAAAACTGAAAATGATCCTTTTGCCTAATCCCCAGTTTCAGATTTCTTTGTCTGAATGCAGAATAAAAGCTATTGGGTCTTCTCTCAAGTCATGCTCTGATTTGAAAGAACTAAGACTCGCCCACAACGAAATTAAGGTGATCTTTCTTCCACAGATAGTTATAATCTACAGATCACACTGGCTCGTTCCACAATCTTTTGCTTAATGCTTATACATTGCTAATGGCTATTTCCTTTACGCTTAATGTTCAGGCTCTCCCTGCAGAACTTGTGCTCAACAAGAGGCTACTGAATTTGGATGTGGGAAACAATATGATCACGAGTCTCTCTGGTTTAGAGGTATAATGCATCCATATAAGTTGAAAGCAGGCTTTTAGCCTTATCTAACTCGTGACAAGTTTTTGCGTTGATCGGATAATAACTTGTCGAAATTGCGTGTTCCCAAATGATAGGTTTTGGGTACACTATCTTGCTTGCGTAACTTGAATATTCGAGGAAACCCGGTCTCTGATAACGAGAAGTCAGCTAAGAAGGTAAAACCAGTTTTTTGTACTCCTCTTTCCATTGTGATTAATGTAACTAGGTGGGGAAGAATGTGAATATCTGTTTTATGGCGCAGGTGAGAAAGTTGCTCCTCCCTTCAGTGAATGTGTTCAACGCTAAACCCTTGGATAAAAGCTCGAAGAATGCAAAGCATGCCCGTTTTGATACCGACAATGAAACCTTTGATACTCGTGACAACAAACCAGCAGAAGAAGAACTATCCAAAGATCGAAAAAGCAAGAAGACCTCCAAGAGAAACAAGTCGGAGGAAGAAGAAGATGCCATTAATGAGGACAACAAGAGAAAGAAGAAGAAGTCTAAGAGCAACGCAAATATAGATCAAATTCAAACAGAAAAGAAGGAAGAACGTAAGCAGAAGAAATCTCAGGGTAACAACGATGATGATGCTGCTGAGAAGAAACAGAAAAAGGCTAGTCCAAAGAAGGAACTCGATGCCATTGATGATGCTGAAACCTCTTTCGCTCAAATCTTTTCCCGGGACACTGTGTCAAAGGGTTCTGGAGATGCTACTGAGAAGAAGAGAAGCACCGTGCAAGAGACGGGTTTGGTGAGAGTGATGGATACTCAAGATAACAAGAAGAAGAAGAAAATGGGAAAGAACCAGAGCAAGAGTGCAGTGGTTGAGCTTCCTGGGGAGGTTGAAATCGGGTTGGGAGGAGAATCAAAGTGGGAGTAAACCGGAAAACTTAAAACTCGGATGGTGCAACACTTTGGTGAGAAGGGATAGTTATACAAGAGGAAGAGAAACAAATGTTTCAGTGATTTTTAAAAATGGTTTTGCAGCGTTGAGAAGGTTTTTTTTTTACCAGTAATCTGGTAGAATTCTGAATTTTCTTGTGAAATGCACTTGGTTTTAACTTTTAACATCTTCATACAGCTTTTTTTTATGAAATGATTGTACTGTTTCTGGCCAATTTTGTGTATTACTGAAGTGATGAACAATTGAAGTCTTGTATTTTCTTTAAAACTGGAGACGACTGATAGCACCATTTGTTGCCAGAAAAGAGACCATTCTCCTGAGAAATGTGGGAACGAAAGGGCCCAACCCAAAACAGTAAAATTCTTCAAAATTTAAAAGAGAGAGGATGAAGTAAGGTCTCACCAACTTGAACTCGGGTTACTGGATTCAGAGTCCAATGTCCTGACCACTAGACCATGGGACCATTTTGCTGACAGAAGTTATTCAACAGAATTATCTATATTTTAATAATATATAACAAAGTAAAATGAAAGAGTAAGAATTTTATTTTTCCTGCAAAAAGAAAGCGGATAAAATTTTGTATAATATTGTGTCGAAGGTTGTTCTGTTTAGAGCATAAACAAATGCTAGTCGTCTCTCGTTTAACAATTGATGTTGTTGATGGTTAATTGTAACGATTTTGGAGGCCTCAGAGGGAATCAGATTAGACAATAAGATCGCAGAGAAAATTCTGATTTGCTGCATAGATAAAATTAAGAATATAGGAATGCTAAACTATTTGGATAAATAATTAGAGTTATACAAAAGATTACGGTTAATTGTTGTAAGAGTTGTTGGTAATTTTGAATAATTGGGAAAGTATATAGTATGAGTCTATGGCACTTTGTCAATTTCTGCATGTGATTTGCGAGTATTAGTCAAAGACTCAAAAAGTTAAAGAGAGCAACAAAGTAGGACCTATTTGAATCAGAGCCGTTCATCTATCTCTCATTTTCTTGTATAATCGTGGGACCTTCTTCAGCCTCTAAAAATTTATAATTATTTACTCGTTATAATTTGTTTTTAAATCGGTATATCAAAAATTTTATACCATAAGATATAGAGAGTAAAAGGATCTGGAGGAGGGATTTGATTTGACTGACAGAGAAGGCATCTCTTGGGATGTTCCATAAGTATTTATTATTATTGTACTCAGCATGTGCCTGTCTTTCATATGCCAAACACAAAAATACGAATTTATATTTAATTTCTTATAAATCCTAATAATTCATCTCATTGCATTGGTTTTGAGTTGTGGATTTTGATTGGATAGTTAAAGGGACAAATCATTTAAGTTTTGAAACAACAAGCTTCTAACATTTTTAATAAAAATTAAGAACCTTATAACACTAAAAAACACGCTTAAATGTTAGAATGTTGATCTTATTGACATTAATCTGAGGAAAAAAATCCTAAATTTAGTAATTCCTTTTTTGTGTTAATTTTAAAAATTATAACAATATTACACTCTCCAACTTCGTAAAATCCTCACTTTAACAATCATTAGCTAAAAATGGGTTTTATAAAAAAAAAAAAAAAATCACTAGCTAATATGCTTGTTTGGCATGTGTATTTTTGTCCATGCATTTTTTTTTATCATTTTAACGAAATTTGTCAATATATAAATGTTTGTCTAAAATAATGTTAATTTTTTTGTCACAGCCTGGTGGCTGATGGCTAGTTTTGAGAATATATCATGAAAGCCTCTGATCAAACCCTATGTACAGTTCCATTTTTCTTTATTCCCCAATAAAAGAGAATGAATTGCAATCCGGTCTGATTCAGCCAAACCAGGTTAAGCTGTGATGTAAACTCCTGTTTGGTTGGATTTTTGGCAAGTCCTTATGTCCTCTTATAGAGACTGCTTTAGAAAGTACTAACTTGGATTGATAGATTTCATAATACCTTTTTGCAAGTCATTTTTTTTTTTGTAACAATTTGCAAGTCCTTGTTGCGTTAAGCAACAAGATTTAACTGTTTATTGATTACGAATTGTTTTTTAATAAATTAATAAAATTGACAAAAGTGGAAAACATTTGTTAATGTGTGTATACACAATGAACCCTGCAAAATATTGACAATTAGACAACGCACACAAACAAAACACCACTCTCTCTTTCTCTCTCTCCTCCCATCCTTCGTCTTCCTCCACATTTCTCTCTCTCTCTTCTCCCAAGAAATAACACAATTTCCCAGATTCAAAGTTCTCTTTTTTCAACGTCTTCAAAGGGATTAAGAATCTAAGCAACCATCTCTTATCTTGCTTTGCTCTTTTTCTTCTTCTGGAATAGAATTTACACTAATAAACTTCAGAGAAAAGCAAAAGAAGAAACACACTAAAAACAACATCAATTTTAACTTTCTCTTTGTTGTATTTGATCTATCTCTCTTTCACTCACTTTAAAGTCTCCTCAGAGATTCAAAAACAAATCTTCCAGAAACTGCTCAAGTTTCTACTCTTTCAAAAGATGAGAATCCACTTCTCATAAAAAGCGCCAACCAATTTTAATTTTCAACTCTCTTTCTCATTCTTTTCTTAAATTTCCGGCAAAGATTTGATACACTTTTTGTTTAACAAATAAAAATATGGACCGGAAGAGAGGGTGCAAGATCAGGAAGAGAGGTGGTTCTTCCTCATCGTCATCTTCTCTTGCTCGTCGAAACCGCTTCAAACGCGCAATTTTCGCCGGGAAAAGAGCCGCTCAAGACGACGGTGGCTCAGGAACTCCGGTTAAGTCCATCTCCGCCGCGAAAACCCCTGTACTCTTATCTTTATCGCCGGAAAAACCTTTTTCAAATCAATTTCATAAACGCTGCGTGTCGGCGAGAAAGCTAGCGGCGACGCTGTGGGAGATCAGCGACGGCACAGACCCTCCAGTCAATTCCGACAGAGATTGCTTGAGAAGCAAGAAACCTTTGAGAAACAGAGCGAAGAAACTAGCAGAGATCTCTTCCAATGAGTTTCCGCAAAAATCATCCGATCCGAAATCCCATCTCGGATCAGAGGTTAGGGTTTGCTTCCGTTTCAAATTTACACTTTTTCTTTCTCCTGTTCTCAAAATTCTTAGTCTTGATAATCAAAAATTTCACAGAGAATGATTCTCCGAGAAGATATAGTTCGTAGAAGATCAAAAATTCCTCAGAAACTACAACTAATCGAATACAAAACCACTGGCACAAACTCGGTATGATATTCTTTTCTTAACCCCAAAAAAAAAAAAAAACTCTTTCTTGCGGAAGAAGAAACCTCTGAATTAGTTAAATCCGAAACACAGCAGGTGAAAACTCGTTTCAAGAATGTCAGTGATGGTCTGAAAACGTCTAAAGAACTCGTGAAGGTTTTAAAACGGATCGGTGAGCTCGGAGATGATCACAAGACAGCAACCAATCGCTTGATCTCTGCTCTGATATGCGAACTGGACAGAGCGAGATCTTCTCTAAAGCATCTGATGAGTGAATTTGATGCGGAGGAGGAGGAGAAACAGAGGTTAATAGAGAAGCTTCAAGAAGAGGCAGTGGTTGAGAGAAAGCTCCGGAAACGAACGGAGAAGATGAACAGAAGATTAGGGAGAGAGCTCGCGGAGGCTAAGGAAACAGAGAAGAAGATGAGTGAGGAGATGGAGAGAGAGAAGAGAGCAAAGGATGTTCTTGAGGAGGTTTGTGATGAGCTCGCTAGAGGAATCGGAGATGATAAGAAGGAGATGGAGAAAGAGAGAGAGATGATGCATATAGCTGATGTCTTGAGGGAAGAGAGAGTTCAGATGAAGCTTACGGAGGCAAAATTCGAGTTCGAGGAAAAACACGCCGCCGTGGAGAGGCTGAAGAAGGAGCTCCGGCGAGTTGTGGATGGTCAGGAGGGAAAAGGGTCGTCGGAGATTCGTCGGATCTTGGAGATAATCGATGGTTCTGATGATGACGAGGAAAGTGAACTTAAGTCGATTGAGTTGAATATGGAGAGTGGAAGTAAGTGGGGTTATGTTGAAAGCCGGAGAGATGGCGGGAAAGAATCGAGATTTGTTGGCTCCGGCGATGATGATGATGATAATGATTCTGATGATCCTGTGGTGAAGAGATCGGTGATTGTTGAGAATGGAGAGAGAGATGAATCTTTGAAGACTCTAAGAGATTACATTGTTTCGAATGTGAGATTAATGGGTTCCTCGTCGTCGGAGCAGTGGAATCATCGGCATGTACCTAGCTCAGAGTTTGTGTAATCACCGGAGCTAGCGCTGGCAAGTTTTTTTTTCTTTTAAGTATATAATATATTATATTCTTTATTTGTAACTTTTTATTTAAATTTTTGAATTCAATTTTGGAAACACAAATTAATATTGACCGCCATAAACTTGAATTATGCAATGGTATAATTCTCGGTCAAATCATTGATATATTTTATTTTTGGTTCTGTTTGTGTTATTTTAAAGGGTAATTTGATTACATAACCGTTCTATTTCCACCCTGATAAATATGTAGCTTGTATGATCAGAATTTATAATCTACTATTAGTCTATTAGTATGTACAGTATTAATGTAGATGTTTGTGTCATAATTCAAATTCAAACATGAAGGTGTGTGTTTTTTTTAGAGACAAGTCATTAGATGTGAGTCTTTATGGTGATAACTAATTCGAATATAATTTTAGAAGTGGAGAATATGGCGATATTCATGTTTGGATTGAATTGGAGGATAAGGTTACATTGTATACTTCTTTTGAGTTTTTGAATATTTATATCACTATTTATATTTGTATTGGCATACTGTAATTATCTCAATCGCGGAGGCTAAGGAAACGGAGAAGTACTATACACATATGGAAACGTCGGTTCAATGTAATAATAATAACAACAATAATTAGAATAAGAACAACGAACAATAATGAGATATAATTGATACAAGAAAGGATTAGTTTAAGATTTTGAATCAAAGATGAAACAACGAGGTTTTCTCTATTATTGTGTGGGCATATTGAACAGCGTCGCTACATCTTCCCATGTGATTTTGTCTCAACTATCCGTTACGTTTCACCTTATTTGTTTTGTAAGAAAGTCAAGAATCAAACAGAAAATGGCTCTTCATTTTCCATAGATATTGACTAGTTAATCCATGAAAGTTACCCTAGTGAAGTGAATATCTTGATTTTTTTTGTGTGATGGCATTGCAAAAAAAAAAAAAAAGACGGCTAAAGTTAAATCCTAGTAGAGTGAAAGCATTATTGGGTGCCACTAGGCTTACCATTGAAAGCAATGGGGAGAAAGAGGTCAAATGCTAAGGAACATTTGGCTTAAAACAGGTAGAGATTTTTGTCAGCGTGATCTTATCAAGTGTATGTGTGGTCTATCTCTTTGTCTCCTTTTGTCTTTATAAACACTTTCAAAAGTTCAATGAACCTATCAATCACTATTGTTTAGACTAGGTAGACATTGATGTTAGTAATAGCAACTGTCAGTGGGCAGAAGATCGTTATAAACATGGGTCAACATTTCAGATTACAATTTGATTTTTTGATTCGATTTTTGATGGTTTTAATTACAATGGTTTTATAAATTTTTAAAACCAAATAGAACTGAACTTGGTTTCGTTTTTTTTTTTCTTTTTCTTTTTTGGGTTCCGTTCAGCTTACTTCATTTACATTACAATCAACTTCCGTTTTTTAGTTTGAAAACAATGAAACCAACCAGTAGGTTTACAAAAATATGGTTCAATCTCCGTTTTAAGTATATCGGTTCGACTTGGTACGGTTTTCTGGTGATGATTTCTCTGCTCAGCTCTAGCTTTAAGCCATACTTAAAAACAAACTCAGTCAAACAAGTGGCTGAATCACCAATTTTTTATGTTCAAATTTGAAGATGGAATAAACAGAAACAACAATATAGACGATGAAAGACAAACTCAATATAAAGGATTGGATCTGATAATGATTTCAATCCAGAGTCTTGACGTTGGAAGTTGATAATTTACATAAATTCCAACAAGTCTTGACGTTGAAAAGTTTGGGTAGTAATGTTCAGTTTTTAACGGTCTCATCTTTGGTTACCTTCGAAGTGAAGCTGACCGCTTTTCTTGGATGCTCCCTTATGTTCAAGCTAAAAACTTCAGGCCTCGAGTAGTGACCGACCACGTCGAAGTCAAACTTGGCTCGTGCTATATCCCCAAGATCTGTCGGAGATTTTTATGCTTATGATTGGTTTCTATTTTTTTTCTCTTTTGTGAGAATAAAAGATAAACAAGTGTTAACAATACCTAGATCAGCTGAGATAAGAGCCTCTCCTTCATAGTTTGGTCCAGCAAGAACAACTCCCAAAGGTGAAATGATAGAGCTGCCACCGGCGCAGACAACAGAATCCGGTGTGAGGCTCTCTTCCGAACCGGAAAACAGGTAATCCGGTGGAGGAGGATAATCTTTCCGGCGACAGAATTGGTTAGCCGACAAAACAAAACATCCACCTTCAAGAGCTATGTGAGTCATCGATGATTGCCAAGTTTCTCTAGCATCAGCAGTAGGTGCACAATATATCTCAATCCCTACAAAAATCACAACAGATAAACGTTAAGCTGAACTAGTATGTAGTAAAATACATTGTCCCTATCTGCTGAAGAAGTACTCATACTGATCATATCCTAAGAAAGAAAGAGAGAGACTTTAACCTTTGGCATACATTGCGGTTCTCAAAGAAGGCATCCTATTTTCCCAACAAATAGCAGCGCCGATTTTCCCAATGGGAGTATCGAAAACAGGGATCGTTGATCCATCTCCGAATCCCCAGATGCAGCGTTCAAGAGCTGTAGGCATGAGTTTCCGGTGCTTACCCAAGAACTGACCTTGTGAATCAAAGAACAGGACGGTGCAGTATAGCGTATAGCCTTCCTTCTCAATCACACCCATAACCAAGAACACTTTGTACTTCTTCGCCATTTCCGCCAATCTTTCCACTTCAGGGCCTAATTTTTTTTGCACAAGGGTTTAGTTCAAAAACAAGATGACTAAATTGAATGTCTTTTACAGTTTACACACACACACTCTTGGTAGTTCAGGAAACGGAAGCTGAAGCTCGTTTAAAAGATTACATCTTTTATCTCATGGACAGTGTCTGATTTCTTAGTTTATTCTCTGATGATGAAATCAACAAGCACCTGAATTTAGTGTTGCTGAGGTGCTTCAATCACTAAAAGAAAACACTAAAAATGAAAAAGCTTCTGCCGAAAAATTCAATCGAAGAACTCTCTAAGAAACTCAGATAACTGAAATCTCCTCAAAAACAAATCCAAGAAATTGAAGATGGAGGGAGTAAAAAGGTTTCAACTTTACCAGGAACATCAATGGCAGATGCAAGGTACTTGCGAAAATCGTCCCTTCCTTTGGCCGTTCGAGCACCAATCGACAGCTCGAAGCTAGAGCCACGAGGATATCCGCCGATAAAAGCCTCCGGGAACACCACGAGCTGGGACCCGAGTTCCGCCGCCTCGGCGAGCAACCTCTCCGCCTTATCTGCAAATCCGAGGATGATTTTTCATCGCATCAATCAACCCAAGTAAACAAAAACTATACGAAGGAAAGGGAACCTAGCGTGGCGGGAGTATCGTAGAAGACGGTAGAGGCCTGGACGACGGTAGCTCGGACGATTGGAGAGGAGTCGCCGCCGGTCATGTCAACCTCGGCGAAGATTTGATCGACGTTGACCGGAGGATTCGCCGTGACGAGAGACATTTCTTGCTGACTGGACATCGGACTCGAAACTCTGTGGAACTGTGGAAGCTGATGTAGCAAGGGAGAGGAGGAAACGGGTGATTCTAGTTTGCTCTTTAGTGCTTTGGTTGGTATAAATGGTTTTTGATTGCATTAAAACATGACATTTCTTGCATTTTATTGGCTTTTTATTTTTTATAATTAAAAAAAACAGTCAATTAAATATGGTTCGAAAATAAAATTTGCAACGATAAAGTTAGCATAAAAACCTTTCAAGTATCGTCATTATCCCTTTAAATTCATTCTATACTTTTTTGGGTTGTAAGAAATCATTTACGAATTCGGAAAAGGTTTTTTGTTAAAAAAAAATCAGAAATAATGATGGATAGAGAATATACTCCCCCCGTCCACGTTACTCCCAGACCAAATATGTTTAGAAAACTGAATCCAAATCAGAAAGTTCCTCGAAAGATATTTCATATTTGAGCAAATATGTTATTAGACGTCGAAAAGGAAAATCCTTTACCAAGTGGAATTAGAAATTAGAATTTTTGAGATTATAAATACAAGATCTCGAGTCGTAATAGTTATTCACATAATAATTAACAAAAGCCCTAAACAGATTATTTGCTTTCTTCATCACAACAATATTCAAACAAAGTAAAACCAAATATGTTGGCCGACTCTTCGTCACACAGTCTCGTCGGAAAATTCTTCACAAACAAAACTCCGCCGTCTTTGGCAAAAACAGAAGAATCGGTCCGGAAACAACTGGTTCTCTCCGGCAACATGATTGTCCAAAAGCTAAACGACGGCGATATGTTCTTGTTCGAATTCACACAGGAGAAAGACAAACAGAAATTTCAAAGACTTGGACATTGCTACGTCAAAGGAGTTATCCTAGTAATCAAGGATCTAAACTCTTCAGACAAGAATATTGATTTCACTGTGGCTTCCTTCATTGTCGGTGTCATGTGTTTACCAACGTATCTTTGCACCAAGGAGTTCCTCCCGACTCTCAAATCTGAAGTCGGCGACAACAATCCCGTTTTACGCGGAAAGCTCGACGACGCTTGTACCTTTTTCAAAGTGGACGTTGACCTAAAGAAGCCACTCAGACCAGGATTCTACATAGACGACGAAAAGCAAAACCGGTTCGTGCAGTTCAAGTATAGGAACTTGGGCGATTTCTGCTTCAACTGTGGAATGATTGGTCACGTCAAAAGTAATTGCGTCCAGGTTGAATTCCCTAAGGAACGTGCCTTGAATGCCACGTCAAGAACGCACGTCTATGGCCCTTGGTTAAGACTCTCTGACTTTGAACCCTCTTACGACTCTTACGATATTGTTCTGATGAAATCACCGAACGATGATGTTGGTGATTGCGACATGACTCTCTCGTATCCTCAATTCTTCATAGAAGTTGAGTTTGTGAATCTCTTTTCCTGCAACACTATGAGTTTCTCGGATAATCCGTCCATAACAACAAAGCTCACTCACAGATTCCGTTTCCCCTGTTCCTACCTCGACGAAGAAACAGAGTCATCCACAGATTTTATTATTACTTCGAAAGCGTACGAGGTTATACGGAATGAGATCGACGAGAATATGCCTTTGGATTTTAAGTCACCGAACATGCCTGACGTTACCGCAAGTCTTGTGGAGCAGCTCAAAGCCATCAAGAATGATTGTGACGATAAGTGGTTGAATCTTAAACTCCAAATCACCCTGAAAAATCCGATCACGCATGTTGATTACGAGACAGCGCTCGCGATGAGGCGCGAAGACTTTATTGAGAGTAAGATATCGAAATTGATCAACAAGAGATTGGAGGAGAAGAACGAGGATCTGCTTTCTTTGTCTTCTTGGGAAGACCAAATCAGAGAAGTGATATCTGAGATGGGTTTCACTCATTACATGCATCACTCTTATGTGTCTAGAAGAGCGGATCAGGCGATGATGAAGGCTGTTGAGATGGAGGATTCATCAAGTAGCTGCACGATACCTGCAGATAGATCTACGGTTTGCGAGCTAGAGCGTTTTAAAGTGCTTGGACCCGACATGGATCAGCTCGACCCGTGTCCGATTTGCCTCGGAGAGATGTTTCTTGGGGAAGAAGCAACCGTTTTGCCTTGCTGTCATGTCTTCCACAGCTCTTGTATTGAAAAATGGCTCCAAACTAGTCACAAGTGTCCGATTTGTGGTTTCGAGTTACCTTCACAACAAAAGTGAACAATTTTTTCTTCATTATGGCCATGAATGTTTCATTGGTTTTTAGATTTTAGGGTTTGGTTTTTGGTTTCAGGTTTTTGATTTTTGTTTGCAAATTGGAAGTTATTTGAAAAACTTTTTTTTCCCTCAAAAATAGGGAATCAATTTTTATTTGTAAATTCTAGATTATCCACTTCAATATATCACGTTTTCGTTTATTTATAGCATACTACTATACTTTGACAAGAAGAAGAAAAAGGTATGTGATTGTGATATGAATCTATGATCACTGACTTAAGTCAAGGGCTTTATAGTAGTAAACTAAATCAAAAGTCTTAAATTGAGACTAGGTAAAAACATCAAGGGGCTAACTGAAATAAAGCCTACATTTTAAGTAGGCGCGGTGACGTGGCATTCATAGGTGAATTATGCAATAACAGCACAACACCTGGGAAAATCCATATGTGTGCATCGTTTAAATGAAAAACTTAAAGCTTAAGTGAGCACTGAGAACAAGCAATACGGTGGCGAGTGTCATGTACGCGAACGCCTTCATGGAGGCGGAGGCGGAGGCGGTGGGAATTTCTAAAGATAAGGCGGCGTCAGTGGAAGCGTCGACGGTGTTTCCGGGGTTCAAGTTCTCGCCGACGGACGTGGAGCTAATCTCGTATTACCTGAAGCGGAAGATGGCCGGCTTGGAGAGGTCCGTCGAGGTTATACCGGACGCTGATATATACAATTTCGAGCCCTGGGATTTACCCGGTTCGTCTTCGATTCGATTCTTTTGTCTCTTTCTTCTACTTCCAATTTCGCTCTTGCTGTTCCTCTGATTACTCTCAGTAGTCAGTACTCAGGGGAAAAATAAATGAACACATAACTTACTATTTTGGGTGCCCAGAGATCTCTCGTTATCAAATACTATTTTGGGAAGTTAAGGCTCAGTCGTTATCTATGTCCATGAATCCAGATGATTATATACTAGAAAGTTAGGCAAAGAGAATGTTTGAGATTTGGGAATCCTTTGAAATTAGGGTAACAGGAGACAGAATTTTTGAAGCTTAAAGCAACCTTTGGATCAATCTGAAGCTACGAGTATGGTTTCAGTTTGCTCTGACTGACTCGGTTGATCCTTTGTATACAGTTTGGGAAATTTTGGCCTATGACATGCTCTTGTTGTCTTTTGTTCATGTTTTTTCTCCTTTTTGAATTTGAATATGTAAGAATTGCCATTTCTTTGTGTGATTGTATTTTCAATGTCATTATCCATTTGGTGGAGATGGTTGGCTACTACGATTACGAATGACTTCTAATTGCTACTTTTTTGTTCCTTTCTTAAACGTCTTTTGTGTTTTGATTTTCCAGATAAGTCGATTGTTAAATCTGATACGGAATGGTTCTTCTTCTGTGCACGTGGCAAAAAGTATCCACATGGTTCACAGAACAGGAGAGCAACAAAGATGGGATACTGGAAAGCCACTGGGAAAGAACGTGATGTGAAGTCGAGCTCTGAAGTAATTGGAACAAAGAGGACGCTTGTCTTCCATATTGGTCGAGCACCAAAAGGCGAAAGAACAGAATGGATTATGCACGAGTACTGCATGAAAGGAGTTTCTCTGGTAAACTGTTGTTAAGACTTTTGTTTGTCTTACATTTTTTATTTAATTTTTGGGTTCTAACCATTACAACATTTTAGAGGTAACTTTGGCTACATGAGCTATTTTCGTTTGTTTGCAAGGATAGTAAATCACATACTTTAGTACTGTTTGTAATCTTTCACAGTTTCCAGGCCATTTAGGTGAGGAATTCATTGATTCTCTTCCTGTAAATTCTAGGATGATGCTTTGGTTGTTTGCCGGCTTAGGAGGAACAAAGAATTTAATAGTTGGACAAGTCAAAAGCCACCAGAGCCAAATTCAGCAGCCGAGAATCACATGGTCTTGCAAAATGGTGCTACTACTAGTTCAGGGAGCCCGTTTGCTAATGGTGCTACTACTAGTTCAGGTAGCCCGGCCGATTGGGACAACATGGTTGATTTTTATCTTGCGGATGAATCAGGGGAGAAACTGCTCACTGATATGGCAGAAACAGCAAAAAATCTACAGGTTTGTCCCATTCTTTTTTGGTTCCACTTGCTGTTGATGAATATGGATCTATCATTCATATAGTTGTTTTTAGCTGAGGATATATACTAAAGTTTCACATACCACATACACAATTGTATGCTTTGCATCTACTTTTTGGCCTAGACGCTGCGCAGATGTAAACTAAAAATATCTTGATTCTCATGATCGTTGATGAAATTGTGTGTGTGTGTTTTTAGGTGCATACTGAAGAGGATTTCTTTGCGGATATCCTGAGGGACGAAATCATCAAACTTGATGAAGCGGTGATGGCGGGGAACACACCAAACGAAGTGCCAACACTTGAATCAGCATCAATGGCTATAAGGGTACTTCCATTACCGAACATGATAGACAAACAAATGGTTTCACTGTTAGAGGAAAGGCCATCACAGGAGAAGAAAGGAAAAGAGAGCAATGGCACGGAATCATTGTCGAGCTGCTTCGTAGGTCTATACTCGATCAAAACGGTGAACCGAGCACGGTGGGATGTTATTATAGGTGTAGTGGCTCTGATTGTAATGTTGTTTTATCTAGAGTAAGGCTATGGAAGTTGGAACCAGCGTCTTGTCTTCTTCTTTCTCGGCATTTGCTTCTTCTTCTCGATGTTACCCAAGTGTTTAGGATGTATGGGTGTGGTCAGTTTTCTTTGTACCTTAGGATGATTAAAAAAAAAAAAAAAATCTGAGGTGTTGTATTACTCGTGGATTTAACCCATTGGATGGGTTTTTTTTTTAAAATCGAAATTTTGATACCCATAACGATGCCGTTTCAGTTAAACTTCAAAACTATCGATTAAAAATTTAAAAAAAAAAAAAAAAAACTCGCAATCACTCTCGAAATCCTAAACCAAACCGATGTTATATCCAAATTTGTTGTTTTACTCATTTTAAAATTAGGAGCTTAGGTGTGTTTAATCGGAATTGACAAATTACTGGGGTAATTAAGTAAAATAAAATAAATTAGTCATCTTTGTCTTAAAACTTGGTACTCTTCTCCGTCTCTTCAAGACGGTTGCACTAAGATTGTGGATTTCTCTTCTCTCCGCCGTTAAACCTCTGATTTGCATTTCTTTCTCTCTTCTTTACAAGAAGAACCCATTTTGGGGAAAACAAGTAGTCTTGCTACTCCGTTAAACATTTTTTGTTTAAAGATCTCGATTCAATAATATTGCTCCCCGCCGGGGAAAAAAAGATCTAAGGAAGAACTAGGATTGGAGAATGAAATTTGCCTTCAGTGTTCAATTTGGATCTGTAAGTTGAAAGATATCGTAAATCGTCTCCTTATATCTTCTTTGATGCGCTTTAATTTTGTTTGTGGTGCTGTTAGGTTGGTAGGTGTTGTTAGCTTATTCTTACTAGTTACAGATGAAGGAGTCACAACATTGAATAGATTGTTCTACTTTTGGTTTTGTTTAGAAAAATTGAATTGGGTGGTGAATTATCTCTTCAATTTTTGAACTTTCAGTCTCATATTTCACAATTCGATTAGGCATGGTCTTGGAGATGTGGTGTAATGAAATGGGTATTTTTGAACAGACTTTGTAGGAGCTAAAAAAAGGAAAATGTCGAGGCCTATCATGCTCGTTTTTCTTCTGGTCATACTTATAGTCACCTCTCAATTTGAATGGAGGCAACCGCTTCTTGAGCTTGATGCAGCTCCTAGCTTGTCTCAGAAACATCAGCAAATTGCAAAGAGGGAAGATGCTGTCAAGGAGAAGGTACTGATTCTTACTCTTTTCATTGGAAATTCTGTGTGTTTTACATCACAAGTTGTGCGTTCAGTTGTACATTTGTAAACAAAGTACCTGAAAGGGTCTAGGGGTTGCTACTCATGGACTAGTGTAACATTAGAAGAGATATGCATAAATGGCATAGAGTTGGTTACCTTATAAGGGTTCTTCTGATGCTAGAGATTCATCATATATCTGCATTGAGATGCATCAATCAGTTTCTACACTTTGAATGTTGTCTTTCTGGCTTTATTCTTTGGCATTTGAGATGCTTTTAGTTTCATAATAATTTGGCACTGAGAAGGGATCGGATTTCATTTCTTTATAGTTCTTCTTCTTTAGAATGTCCGTGGAATCCTTCAGTGACTGATCAGAATTCTTAATGTTGCATAGAAATAATGGTTTGAGCCTTTTATTGAGTTTTTCCCTGATTACATCAAATAGTTGAGCTTAGTGGTATAATAACATCTTTGGCTTGTAACCTTAAGTTCCATTTGTATACATGAATAACATCGTAATTTTGAGCCTTAATATACACATTACACATTGTCCTGTTTTGAACCTTAAAATAGAAGACCTGTCAATTCTAATAGATATTTTTTTTTCATATTTTGTTAATCATTACAGATCATATTGTCACAAGAGAGACATATCCAGAGGCTAAATGAACTTGTACGAAGTCTTGAAATGCAGATCCTGCGATGCAAAGGAGAGAGCGAGGCACGTAACGCCACTGAAACCTTCCTTCTCAATAAAGAGTTCATTGAGCTCGAGAGGAAACACATTGTGGAAGACTAACACTCCCCTCCCCTCTACAACAAATCTCTAATGAATAAGTAAACACAAATGGTACGTAACAGCTTTGGAGAAAACGAAGCAGAGAATTCATGTTTAATCATCTAAGCTCCAACTGTTGTATTTTATTTCTGTTGCGGGAAAACCTTGCTGATGATTTGATTAGGAGGATTGCCTTACTTATGAAGAAGGTTGAGATATTTAAGTGTAATGAAATTTGAGAATTAGGATATTATCCTTGGTTATTGATTCTGTTATGATCTGACAATCACACATCTATATGTATGTGTGTGGTCGTATACTCGTATAGTCAAACTTTGTTTTGTTGTTTGATTTTACTTTGAAATTAGTGTAACGCAAGTCTTAGATGACGGTAGCAATCTTATGTCATATGAATCTCCCATTCTATTTGCAATTTTGTTTTTACGTTTAAAATCTCACCAACCACACTTCTTAATTTTTTCTAAGTCAAACAAAACCAAATCCCAAGGAATATCAAATTTTATCCACTCGTAATATTTATACACTTTCTAAAGTCAAAAATTTTAACAATTGAAAACCGCCTCATCTAATCATCTTTTTGGTCAATCTATACATCATTGTGTTGCCCGTGCGTCTAGCTGTTCAAATACATATTCACCAATATTATTCAATTTTCAACAATTGTTCGATGCTACTTTGAAATGTTTTTGAAAAGTTTATCATAGAAGATTTTATTTATTTCTAGTCTAATTAAATATTATTATGACCGCTAATATAATTAGTATGTTTTTGTTGAAAAATAAAAACACTAAGTTTTTTTTTTCATTTGTGGGACTTGAAAACATTTCTCCTCTTCATTTCTAATGCCACGATAAAATCTAATTAATTTCACCACCCAAACATTACAACCTTAGAAGTTCGAAACAAATGGTACTACATTACTACTTTTCTCTCTTTCTCTTAATTTTAATTTCAGTTTTTATGATAAAAATATGAGAAAGGACAAAGTATCTCGTTTGTATTTATCCAAATACTATTTGGTAATAAATGCAATTTCAAAGCTCAAGTCATATACTCAATCTTATGCATATTATTTTCAAATCACATTTATTGTTACAAACACCTCATTTTTATAATTATTTTCTCAACGAGAATTTATTTTGAAAGCTAGATAAAACTAATCCTACTAATTAATTAATATACATTCAATGAAACTCTCGCTCATCTTCTGTGTGTACCTGCCTATATATAACCGCAGCCGATAACATGAAGACGTCAAACTTTCTTTCTTTAAATCTCAAGAACAAGAACAATACTAGTCTTCACCAAGGTAAGCTAATTTCGAAACCAATAGTTTGTTGAACTATTGTTAACTTCGTCTTCGCTTTTTGATTGATAGACAAATTAATCATTCGATTGATCAATACTACCATTTTTCCTTTTCATGATATAAATACATGTTTTATAAACCACATCAAGCTTCGTCGAAATCTTTCTCACGCAAACCCTGGTTTTGATTTTATTGTGTTTCTTATTCAGATTCCTAGAGAATAATATATCAGCATACATACTCTTCTTGGAAGGCAAGAAACATGAGTCAACAAGAAGCTGCGACTGCGAGGAATCTTGAACTTGATCTGAAACTAAATTTATTGGATTCATCTTTGCCCACTGAGAGCTCATCTTCGTCGTTATGCTCGGAGGAAGCTGAAGGTGGAGGAGGAGGAGGAGGAGGAGGAGGAGGAGGAGGAGGAGGAGGAGGAGGAGGAGGAGGAGGAGGAGAGGCTAAATCAATGGTGGTCGTTGGTTGCCCTAATTGCATCATGTACATCATCATGTCTTTGGAGAGTAACCCTAGATGCCCTAGATGCAACAGCCAAGTTTTGCTTGATTTTCTCACAGGAAACAGTAGCAAGAAAAGTAATTAGGATAATATCTAATTAAGATTATTCTTATAGTAATCTGTTACCACATATATATTGATAGTTTGAATTATTCGATGAACGGATGTGTGTTTATAAAACCAAAATCTATATACTTTTGTTTTGCAAGAACATCATTAGCGATGAATATTAAGGTAAGCGGTTACAAAAAGACTAGATTATGTCGTTAATCCATCACAAAACTGTTTTAGCGGTGGATTTATGGCTATTAATGACGGATGTGTCCTCTTCAAACCAATTATGGTATTCCGCTTTGGATACTAGATATTTCTTGACTATTGCGATATATTTAATTTCATAAGTGGAAAATTGGTTGTTGTTGACTTGTTGTAAGTTCAATGTATATGTACGTGACATAGCTACGTGTTTAACATGAAAAATGTGGAACAATGACTTTTTCTTTTCCATTTCTTGCACTAAGTAATACTAGCTTTAAATGAGAAGTATATATGTACATACAGTCATATATATATATATATATACACACACATCATACATCAAATAATAAATAGGTTTGGTTTACTTGTTACCAAAGTTGTTGAACTAACAAATTAAATGTCTAAAAAAAATCATGAAGAAGAGTTGTTCTTATTATAAATGTGAAAAATCTTCACCTAAACTTACTATAAAAAAAATGCATGTTGGCTTTCACATTAATGTCGGATTCAACATTACGTGTGTTTCGTTCCTTTCCCAACTATCAAAAGAAACAACACGTATCGCTTACGTTTATTTTTCGCATTTTTGTCATTATAAATTTACCACAACTACCTAATTTCAATGCCATAAACCGAAAAAAAAAACTGATTTTCATAAATTATTTTCTACAAAACCAGGCCGAATCAAAATGTGGTTCCAGTCTACTTCACGTATTTCTTCCATTCAGAAAGTTCAACCAAACTAAAATTAAAAGTTTCCGATAAGACACCCATAAAGTGTTCTATTCTCTCTGATTATGAGTTTGCAGTGGTTTCTGTATATTGTTCTTTTATTCATATTGTTAATTTTTTTGGTGGTCACCAATCAAAAAGTTAAAGGGAAAAACTTGATGAGCCTCTTCAGCTGTATAATCATCCCACAGTTTTAATAGGCTTTCATGGATTTCTAAGGCCCAATAAAAAATATCATGTGAATCAAGAGGCTATGCTATATTATATGATTTCAAATAGCCAACAATCAATGATTAGCAACCAACGATCGAATTATGTTTATTTGATAAACTAAAACACTATGCAGTGCCGTGCTTAAACTTATAGAGGTCTAAGACAAATTTTAAATATTTATAAATTTTTTTTTTAAAAACTTTTGTTTTAATAATTTTATATATCATTATAAATTAAATTCTATTTTAAAAGTAAGAATTTAGTCATTTATTCCATTTTATGTATGTATTAGTATAATGATATAAGTATATAGATGTAAGTATATGATATTTTGTTTGAAATTCTAAAATTTAATCATACAATCTATACTTATAATAGGTAAAACCACATATAAAAGTTAATTCAACTTACTAATTAAACTACTTGTTACAAAGATGTGACCTTTAATTTTGAAATTTTGTTTGTGGCCTAAGGCAAATACCCTTTTTGAATAAGGGAAGGCACGGCTCTGACACTATGAATAAAGAAAATGACTGATTGCTAGTCCAAATTTGTATAAACTAAAACACTATGATATTCAGTGTTTGAAGTCTTTAGCTTTTAACTCTAAGAGCAATCAGTGTTTGTAGTCTTTAGGTTTGAACTCTAAGTGCAATCATTAAAGGTGCAATTATATTTTGTATGTAATATTTTAACCAAAATTTTAGATAGTTAAACACTTTTTTGGGCAAACGGTACCCTTGAAATTAGAAAGAACGAAAAAATTGTTACAAGTAGATGTGTGTTTTCGTAAATATGTATATATAAATATATAATAGATGCATATATAGATACAGGTGCAGGACCACTGCAGGTAGCTCATGACAGAAATTGACGGAACACAGAGTTAATCTGATTCTTTAAAAAAGTGGGAAGCTCAAATGCATGTCTTCATTATTTTATTATATTTTCTTCTCATGTTCCCAAGTCACGTGACATTCCTCACCCTCGATCTTTTTGCATGCCATTGCCCACATTTACACACATATATACCTATACTATAAACAATGGCGGATATATACTTGTTAAATTATCAGTCCTTTCGTATTATTTTTTTATGAGATAGATTTGGGATTCAGTGGGGTTCGAATGGTTTTTTTTTTTTTTTTTGAAATTAGTTATTCTGTCTAAGAAAGAAAAGTTGTTAGTGTTTGTAAAATTACAAGAGTCATGCACATGTCAAGACCTAACATCCGATCCAATAGTAACATTTGTTAAATCACAGTTTAATTATCTTTTCTCTTTCTCTCACTCACTTTTCCTTTTCACCACAAAGCACTAATCGTGTGATCATCATCTTAATGACTACTATATCTCTAAACCCTTCACACACACTTCCTCAACACTTCTCGGCCTCTTCTTAATTACAACACCAAAAAAAAAACCATGATATAAATCCAAACCGACCATTTTCCTCTTGTCAAGATCAAACCAAAGTTCGAATCAATGTCGAATCTGATACGAACAGATCTTCCAAAGAAGAGAAAAAGAGGAGAAAGTAGGGTTTTCAGGCTCAAGACTTTCGGAGAGACAGGACATCCAGCTGAGATGAACGAGTTGTCTTTTCTAGACAATCTCGGGAAGCTACTTGAGTTTGGTCACTTTGAGAGCTCCGGTCTCATGGGAAGTTGGTCTTTTCAGCTCGAGGTTCATCGTCACCCAAATCCTCTCTATGTGCTTCTCTTTGTCGTCGAAGAACCCATTGAAGCCTCTATTAACCTTCGTTGCAACCATTGCCAATATGTTGGTGACGTCCTCTCTCCCTTTCTCTATGTATTATTATTATTTTTTTTTTTGCATATGTATATGCATGCTCATACATTCGTAAACATTTTTCTTTACATATCTATGCATGTTAGTACTTGTGTATATGGATGGAACAAGAGAGACTTATAATAACACACGTGGTCTAGTTTCCGTCTCGATATTGTTTGCTTATTACGCATTGCTATATGGATGGAACCTTGCAGGCTGGGGAAACCAAATGATATGCAACAAGAAGTACCATTTCGTGATCCCTTCAAAGGAAACAATGGCCGCCTTTCTAAAATTAGAAGGCGGAAGCTGTGCTTTCCCCGAAAAGGAAAGTCTCTCCCATCTCGTGGAGCTTCAAGGCCATGTCCTTCACGGCTTCTTTCACTCCAACGGATTTGGTCACTTGCTCTCTCTCAATGGCATCGAATCCGGTTCCGACTTAACCGGTCATCAAGTCATGGAGTTGTGGGATCGGCTCTGCACCGGTTTAAAGGCCAGGTTTACTAAGATTTTTAATTACATATCTTTATTTTTTGTGTATATCTGAAATGATATATACCTGGTATAAAGACCACTGAACACAATTTTCTAATGGTTTCCTAATTACATGTCATTAAATATTTAGTCAATGCATCTTGATAATTATTAAAATGTTGAATATAGGAAAATAGGTTTGAACGATGCATCACACAAGAAAGGAATGGAGCTGAGGCTGCTGCATGGTGTAGCAAAAGGAGAGCCGTGGTTCGGTCGTTGGGGCTACCGGTTCGGTTCAGGGACATACGGAGTGACTCAAAAGATTTACGAGAAGGCACTTGAATCGGTCCGTAACGTACCTTTGTGCTTGCTTAACCATCATCTAACAAGCCTTAACCGTGAAACTCCAATCCTCTTTTCAAAGTATCAAACTTTATCAACGGAGCCATTGATCACTCTCAGTGACCTCTTCATGTTCATGCTTCACCTCCATTCACGTCTTCCAAAAGATAACTACATGAACAACTCCAGAAACCAAATCATCTCCATTGATAGCACTAACTGCAGATGGTCTCAAAAACGGATTCAAATGGCTATCAAAGTGGTTATAGAGTCATTGAAGAGAGTTGAATACCGATGGATATCGAGACAAGAAGTGAGGGATGCGGCTAGAAACTTCATCGGGGACACGGGTTTGCTTGATTTCGTGTTGAAGTCGCTTGGAAACCAAGTTGTTGGGAATTATCTGGTCCGACGTAGTCTAAATCCGGTTAAGAAAGTGCTCGAGTATTGCTTGGAGGACATATCAAATTTGTTACCAAGTAGTAACCAAGAACTCATAGCCCTTCAAAATCAGAATCCAATGGGGAAGATGACCACTACGACGACGAAGATCACAAGAGGTCAAGTGATGAAAGACATGGTTTATTTTTACAAACACATTTTAATGGACTACAAGGGAGTGTTAGGCCCCATAAGCATATTGAACCAAATCGGAATGGCTTCAAGAGCAATCCTCGACGCTAAATACTTCATCAAAGAGTATCACTACATCAGAGATACATCGACCAAAACAATCCACTCAGATCGAGGGGACAAGTTAGGAATATTCTGCACGATCGCGAGGAAATGTCATCATCATCATAACAACGAGATGAAGATGCCTCCACAAGAGTGCATAGTGGTAAACAAAGATGCAACAATGAGCGAAGTGTATGGAGAGGCGGAGAGAGTGTTTAGAGAGATCTATTGGGAACTAAGAGACGTCGTGGTGGAGTCAATGGCTGATGGTCAGAGGGAAATCAACACAAGGGTCGATGATATGGCCTTGAATGGGAATAATAAAGGATTGGTGTTACAAGGGAATGTGGGAATGATGATGAACATTGAAGTGATGAAGTGTTACGACGATGATAGTAAGAAGAAGGATAAGAGAATTGAGTGTGAGTGTGGAGCAAAGGAAGAAGACGGAGAGAGGATGGTGTGTTGTGATATTTGTGAAGTATGGCAACACACAAGGTGTGTCGGTGTTCAACACAATGAGGAAGTTCCTCGTATTTTTCTTTGTCAAAGTTGTGATCAACATCTTATTCCTCTCTCTTTTTTACCTTAAAAAATCGTTCATGTTATTATAAACCTTGATTTCTGTAATCCTGCCAAACGTTACTTTTTCTACACAATATAATTTTTAATGCTTTCCAAAAAAAAAGACTTTAATGCGTTGGGTGTATTATGAGATACATTCCTCGCAAGTTCACTGGAAGTAAGTCGTAACGATGATTATTCAAATAAATTAAGTAGTAGTAATAGAAAATGAAATGTAATTTGGTTTAATAGCAATTATTGGATACACAAATATGAGAGAGAAGCCAAGTTGGACTGAGTCTAGACACAGAAGTTGCGTTTGTAACAACCTCGAGTCAAAGCGTCTCCACGACGCGTTTCTCACACTCGCTACAAACACTTCTCCTCTCATCACGTCTCCTCACTTACACCACCTCTATGCCCATATATATATAACTAAAAATCTGCAGATACCAAAATTAGAAAATCACATATACCTTTTCAAAGACGAAGAACAAACAGAAGATCGGGATTTCGATTGATTCAATTTCCGATTCGAAAAAAAACGAAACGATGATCAATGATGCAGATCTCTCCGATCGGATGCTCAAACCTAGCGGCGGATCAATCGTGATTCGCGATGTCTGGGCTGATAATCTAGAGTCCGAGTTTGAGCTGATCAGCGCGATCGTCGAGGATTATCCATTCATCTCCATGGACACGGAGTTTCCCGGTGTGATTTTCAAGGCGGAGCCAGCCGTTCTCCGCCGTGGAAACCCTGGTTATCTCTACAGGCTTCTCAAATCGAACGTCGACGCTCTCAGCCTCATCCAGGTCGGTCTCACTCTCTCCGACGCCAACGGAAACCTACCGGATCTCGGCGGCGGGAGCGATGGCCGTCGCTTCATCTGGGAATTCAATTTCCGCGACTTCGACGTGGAGCGTGACGCACACGCGGCGGACTCGATCGAGCTACTCCGTCGTCACGGGATCGATTTCGAGCGTAACCGTCGCGACGGTGTTGAGTCGGAGAGGTTCGCGGAGCTGATGATGTCGTCGGGGCTGATCTGCAACGGATCGGTGAGTTGGGTGACGTTTCACAGCGCGTACGATTTCGGTTACCTGGTGAAGATCCTCACGCGCCGGGAGCTTCCGAGCTCGTTGCGAGAGTTTCTCCGGCTGCTCAGAGCGTTCTTCGGGGAGCGAGTGTACGACGTGAAACACATGATGAGGTTCTGCGAGCAGAGATTGTACGGTGGTTTGGACCGGTTGGCTCGGTCTCTTGAGGTTAACCGAGCGGTTGGGAAATGTCATCAGGCCGGTTCTGATAGCTTGCTGACGTGGCAAGCGTTTCAGAGGATGAGGGACTTGTACTTCGTTGAGGATGGGCCGGAGAAACACGCCGGCGTTTTGTACGGTTTAGAGGCTTTTTGATTAATCATGTCTATTCGGAATTTCAATCAATTAACTCAATTGATCATTTGTAGGTTGATGGTACCGGGAAAAGTAGAAATCGAAATTCATTTTATTCGTTCTCGTTTTCTTCTTATATGCGCAAAACTTTTTCACATGAACCTACCAATCACAACTGAGCAGATATTTCAACTATATAGTGATCTTCTATTTAACTGAAATCTACCGATTTGACGCAAAAAAAGGAAAAAAAAAAACTGAAATCTACCGAACCAAATGAAACTTTAAGGTTGGTTTTCTAAGTTGCAGCTATCCTAAGTTGGTTTGAAAATACGTCAAATTCAAAATTTTGTGAAAACAAATCATGTAAAAACTATGTGAGCCGCACTACTAGATAGAGTTTTTAAGTGAAAAAAAAATTAAAGTTAAAAACCCAATCGAAACCAAACCAAATGGAAGCTGTGTTTGACACCCAAAACCAAACGTGAATTATAAATTAACCTAAAAAATCCTTCTTTATCGTAACTGACACGTACAATCTATGAAATTTTTCAACTGAAAGTGAAAACATAATGCATATCTTTGAAATTGTATTTGTTTGATGCATAGTCTTGGAATCATTATAACATATATAGACAACTCTAATATAAGATCAAATTATTCACAATGATTTTTTTGGACCAACATTTGTTCACAATATTGTAACATATACATATTCATGAAGAGGATCAGTTTCTCATCTTAAATGAAGAGGTTTGGTGTGAATCATCATCATTATTATCAAGAGGATTCACATAAAGACGAAGCAACCTCCCAAGTGTCTTTCCGCGGCGATCGTGTGGTGGCCGAAGATGTGAACAGACGTCCACAAAAGCCCTGACGATCAGATTGTGTTGAGGAGGAGGGTTTATGTCCAAGAAACACCTAAGAAGCTCCTTGAGATCATCTTCTGTCTCGATATCTCTCTCGTCGATCATCTGATTCATTGACTTCTTGTAATCTTCGAATGGATTGAGTGATTCCTTAGCCATCGCGACGCTCTCATCAATCTTGGGACATGGGCTGCGTAACACCGTGGGAGAAACCGGTGGTCCCGGCGTGTAGTGGCTGTGAGTTGAGGGCGGAACGGTCGAGCCGCAACAGCAAGCCATAAACATGGGTTTTAATATGGTTTTGAGTGTATACTTCCTCTTCTTCTTCAAAGGCATTTTTATTTTTATTTTTACTGAGAGGGAAGAGAAAAGAAGTTGAGATTATTGAGTGAGGGTGTTGGTGTGGGAAAGTTTGTTAAAAGAGGAACCTTTCTTGTTGTTTTTAACTTAGCTTGAAGATTCAGCATTGCTCTTTGCTTGGGAGATGCACAATTTTGATGGATATCTCTCTTTTTTTAAAGAAAAATAATTATATATGATTCAGTGAAATCAAAAGTTATTTTGTACGTCATGCTATCATTTGGAAGAAACTACCTCTAGTGTTATCGTGTTTCCTTTTACTTTTTCATAATTAGGGATGGACAGTTACCAATATTAACTGATGTAATTTGGTTTCGGCAACCTTTTAGTAAACTCGAAATGGAACATTTGAAAGCTTAGTAAGCACCCGATTAACTCTAAAATGTTTGGCACCGTCACTTCTCACTTGAATAAAGACCAATCTTATGAAAGAAATGGGTTAAGACTTAAGACTATTCTATATAAGCCGAGAAGCTAATAACTAAAAAGAAAGAAAAAGAAAATACAACGAAAGGTTGGTTTGTTATGCAATGTCTAATTCTATGGTAACGCATGCAGCTACTATACAAGTACAACATAACTCTGGAATCAAATTCTATGTACAGATGTATGGTGGTGCTTGTAATGTGGCAAGGTAACTTCAGCTACCTGTAGATTTCGTAGGAGTGGAATGTTCGGGTGTTGGGCTCGATGGACTTTGTGGCTGTTCAAGGCTTGTGTTACTGGGTCCTGCGTCTTGATCAAATGAAACCATCTGGTCCCAGTCCGGTTTAGCTAATGATAATAAGTCAAGGAGCTCTAAAGATGTTTTAATATTTGGGGACGAAAAAACTCAAAAAGTTCAGAGAGAGACTAGATTTATATCAAAGCCAAAAAAAAAAAAAAAAAGAGAGTGACAATCAAGGATACATTCGTTTGGCCATAAGTCTGTGATGCTCACTTCGCCTACCTCTGATCGAAGCCAGTAATCTACATCCATCTGTACATATAATGTAACCATTCAGCTTTAAAAATCTGACTTGCAGCTTTCCTCATCACAAGAGCATTTTCTAGATATGATCATTGTTGATTACTTTTCCTGGCTATATGTTTGCTTTCTGGAATTTCCAGATTGTGATTATGCATGTGGTGAAATAACTTAACGTTGAATTTTAAAGTTGGGACTTACATCCAAATCTGGAGGAACAATCTTCATGATGCCATCAACAAAGTCATGAGATTCGATGTCGGAGTAAACTCTTTGTGTGTCATCAACTTCCTCTGTTTCCAAGTTTTTGTCGGTGCTGTCCTCCTCCATTGGCATGGCTACATTTTGGTTCTCAGGGAGACCAGACGTTGATGGAACATTTGAAGGCTCATCAGCCTGAGGAATTTCCTCAAACCTCTCTTCGAATTGACTAAAAAAAAACACTATAAATGTCAGTCTCAGTTCCATATTACAAATTTATCATTCGCAAGCATAGCGCTTGAGGACAGTATTTACCTGACTAGATACACGTCTATTGGTCCCATTGTGCTTCTCAAGATTATTCTATATCTCCTCTGAGGATAACCACCAGCCTGATTAAGGGAAGGACAAGAGATATAAATTACTATAGACAGTGCTTCGCTCATTTAGTTTTGTATGCTCTTCAAGCTTACCTCATCAGGATCTGGCACCTCAAGAGTCGTTCCATGCGGTGCCTTGACCGCTATCAGCGTTTTATTCTAAGAGACGCATGAGAGACGCCACGTAATCAATTTCCCAGTTGGGCAGAATGCAAAGGAAAGAGAAACACGTAATTACTAGAAGGAGACCAAACCTGGAAGCATGGTAGGTTCTTAATGTCGTCTTCAGTAACAAACAGATACCTAAAAAGTGGAGAGTCAGAACAAACAAATATGTTTTATTGTACCTTGATCCAGGAGAAATGGCAGAGAAGCTCACCTTTTATTGTTCTCATCCTCGCTCAAGCTTGTTAATCTTTCTTGCGATTCTCTGAAACCAGGTCGATTCACAACAAGATACAACAATCGCAGAAAAGGAAAACAAAACGATTAACGGAAAATACCTGATTTGGTCATCTAATTTGGCCTCCTCAGCTGTGAGGTTTTGTATTTCATCCTGTATAGGATCAAGGGATAACTAGATGTCAAACTAAAACTGGTAATGGCAACTTTAATAACCCACATAGTTTTTCCAACAGAAACTCAAAACAAAATGCAAGTGACAGAGATCAATGAGAAAGTGCAGTAACTAATTATTGACTTAGTCAACATCTGTGTAATTAGACTGTATGAGAAACATAAAACAGAATCCCATGGTTACACATTGTCGATGTTTGTGTTTGTTGTATATTTTCAAGTCATATCCCCCCTAACGCGTTTAGGTCTCAAAAAAAATGTTATAAGAATAACCATACTAATGCAGATTCATGCGATGCTGAAGAAGACAATGTTTGTTAACATAAACAATTCGAAATAATCAATAAAACTGGTGATACTACTTGCGGTGGGACATATCATTGACCGGTAAAGGAAGACATATGCATGTTCTATACCTGTAGGTTAGCTATGCTTTCGATTGTTTCCCCTGGTTTTGAGACATCGAGACCCCTAAGACAGACAAAAGAAAACTCAGAAAACTGTGACTCACACATGAGGCATCAAATCAAAGAAATCCAAGATTTGATACTCAGATGAAATGCTTACTTCCACTGAATCCTGTTCTTGAGCGTCTTCTCTATCAAACCTATTCCTTCTAACACATTGGTTATATCGTATATCCGTCTCTTTTGTACCTGCATCAACAGGAACGCGCAGTTATGGCTTGATAGAGAGTAATGCATCAAGAAGTCAGCTTAGAGATTGAGTATGTCACCTCTAAAGTATCAGCTGCTTTATTTAGATCAAGGATACCATCCTCTGCTTGTTTTATCAAATTGATGAATTTCTTTGTCAAAAGACCTAAAGCAGATTAGATCATTAAATAAGCTTATTATCCAAAAGTACTTTCCGCCAAACATAAGTTTGTGCAATAAGTTATTACCTAGAGAACTATCATACCGACAAGTACCAGCCTGCGCAAAGTTATTTCCAGGAGAACCTGCCAACACAAAAGATCCTTCTCACTACATTGGAAGGGTCCCATCTCTTAAATGAAATTGTTAGACAAAGATTAGATGGAAACAATAGAGAGGGTTTAGCTCAGATGAGCACATAAGCAGTATCTATCATTGGCCTATTAATAGTTGCCTGTGTCGATAGGGAGGAAACGCAGAGCATTCAGACCAAACTCACCTGCATTAGAACCAGAAGCTTGCGTTCCAGTTTTATTAGACTTCACTGACCTAGATGATTTTTTGGCCTTCCCTCCTTTTCCTGATACAGGTGTTTGGAGAACACCGGTATTCAATTCATTGGGCTCATCTATCTGGTTTACCATATCTGTCTTGCGCTTCAGCTGCCAATAAAGACACCAGAATTGTACAGTCAAATACATCAAAGTGGAAAACCAAGCTTTAAGAGATGATTAACAGAAGCTGACACCACTTAATAATACTGAATTAGTAGAAAATCTCCACGCTTGATTTCTTTAATCTTAACCTATCAGCATCATACTGTAACTTAGCTGAATCTAAAAGCAGAGGCAAACCATAAATTCCAAGGCCAACATAGCAATATTCAGACAGTAAAGTAACTCGGGATAAACAAAAAAATAAAACATAAATCTGCTCAAAATAGCAAGTACAAGAACATCAAAAACCCTAGTCAAGCAACTAAAGCACTCGAAAGACAACAATAACTTGCAATGCTAAATCTATATACTGGAAACCAGCCCAATCAAGAAGGCCAAACGCAATTACACCGCCGGAAGCAGATCCCAGGACAATTCTCATCAGAATTTCACAAATTGATATCATCGTTTATATAATCAAGCCTCAAAATCGAAACACGAGGATTGTAACGAACACTCAATAATTCACAGCCAAAATTGAGACTAGACTTACAGCAGATTTAAGAACAATCGCCTCAGAAACCTGATCAGGAGCTACACCTCCGCGAGTCTCCGCCGCGTCAAACCGGTGATACTCGCCGGGAGCAACTAACGGAGGCTTCATAGAAGACAAAGAAGGATGATGCTGCCGCTTAGAAGGTGGATATTGCTGAGAATCCTGATGAGACTCCGACATGGGAACGAATCTCGATAATTCACCCTGAAAACCCCCAAAAGAAACGGCAAGAAAGCAACCGAAAATTGTCGAAAATAATCTCCGGAAATTCGGATCTCCGGCAAACAGAGATCAGATCCGCGGGGGAAATTGCGGAGATTCCGGGAAGAGAATGTGAGCAGATCGGCGAAACGAAAAAAAAGCGGGAGAGGAGGAGAACAAAAAAAAAAAAGAGACGGTGGAAGAGAAGAAGAAAACGAGGGAATGAGTTGCGTTTGGTTCAGATACTGATGTGGAGGGAAGCGCACTTGTACACAATCTTTTTTACTACTAACCAAAATCCCAACAAATAATCCTCTCTTTTTTTTTTTATTTATAACAAAAAAAAAATACTATACCCGGTTTACAAATAATAAAGGTTTCTTTTTTGTCAACCAAATTATTGAAGCTATGTATGTAATCTAAGTTGAGACTACTAAAAAATGTTTAGAATAGTATTAATTTGTGTTCAACGCAGTAAGAATCTATTTTACATCTCTGACAAAAAAATCTACAGATGGGTTGTCAGTAGAAATGCTATTGGATTTATTCATATTAAAATTGAAGCTGAATTTATTCAAACTGTTGCATCCGTTACACGCGTTAAGCGTGAACAAATTATCGCCAAATCTGTCAAACATATACGTTTTTCTTTTTTTTTGAACAATTATATTCATACAAGAACCAAAATATATATAGAGCTATTAGCGACCCGTAAATCTTGTTCTTTGCTTAATTTTGTGAGCATGTGCTAAGATTAGTAGCAGGATTATGTTGTTATTGCAGATACTATTAAGCAGCTTCCTTCTGGACAGCCAAATCATATTTGTGGTGAAGCTGATATTTGGGCTGACATTGGAAGTAGCAGCGAGGTGTTTTGTCAATCCACTATCGACAAGCTTCCTTGTAGTCAAAGGTAACTAACGACGAATGTTTTTTTAGTAACTTGTTCATTTATGCTCTAATCAGCTAAACTAATCCTGTGCTTGCTCCAGAGATACCTGAAGCACTTAATCTTGAGATTGGTGATAAAAAATATTTTAACAACATGCTTCAAAAGGCAAGATCTTGCATACGCAGAGCCAGAACGCTTATGGCCAGATCGAATAGGAGAAAGCAATGCAGGAGCAGAACAAGAATTTGACTTTCTCTAAAGTCATCTCCAAAGGCTAATGATATCGATATAAGAAAGAGACCTACGATTGAAGTTGCTTTTAAAGACCTTTCGATAACATTGTCAACAAATATAGTATTGTTGTTGCCACAGTATTTATCTTCTACAAACAAGCATTTAAAAGCGATACTAAAACTCTGAAAGCTTCATACAAAACAAACACAGACACCAAAAGAGACTTTTGTTTACTTGAACAAATGTGCAAGATCAGGGTCATCCAAATCCACATCAAGAGATCCATTCAACCGCATAAACTCGATGTAGTTATCTGGAGGAGTGATCGCACGAGTGTTGCTCTTCGGTTTGAATCCATGAACTCTCTGGAGATCTCTTGCAAGCCGACGCATAAAAGCCCTGTCCAATGGAGGTACAATCTTCAGGTGGATCTCTTCGCGCTCTTCTTTCACCGTTGTTGCTTTGTTTCCCATCTTGCAAAACCCGATAAAATACCTGCATGCATACATGTAGTATAGAAACAACAATGAAAGATCACAACCTTTTAGCATATGCATTTTGGGGTTTAACACAGTCTACAATCTCTCCATCACTTTAAGAAACATTCACACTAATATTGCTAAGTGTGCAACCTTTACAGTCTCGGATACAAACACTCGAATTGTTTCATCACTAACACAAGGTCATAAACATCTCCGTAAGGAACCAGTCTAAGAAGTTGTACATAAGCTATATATGGACATTAAAAGTTTTATCAACAACGCAATCTATATACATCAATCAAATTATCATATTCCGCATCCATCTACAATGAAATAAGCATCATTGGCTATCTTGTTCCACTACGTCGAAAAATCACAAGATTCTCAAGTAAATGCTTTTAACAAGATCACACATCCATGACCCACGAATTCAAGGAAGTTCTTTGAGATGATGATATCATCAAAATAATATAGTTTTAGAGAAAGCCCCGTCTTCTGAAAACCCCTAGTGTCTATTTTTGAAAACGACTCATCCATGAAAACTAAATCCATTAAAAAAAAAGAAACTTTAAATTATTAGCTGGAAAAAATGGAGAATTTACTTCAATTTATATCACTATGTACGAAAAACGGTGTTAACCAAGCGAATCAGTGATAATCGAGAGAGCGTTGATAAATCTGGAGATTTAACCTTTCAATCAGAGAGAAAAAATCCAGAAATCGATAAAGAGTTGAAAAATTCCTGACCAGACAGCTTGCAGAGAGTCTTGTCCGTTCCACCAGCTGAGAGCCTTGCGTCTCCAGACTCCAGAGAAGAGGAGTTAACACACGGCGTCGTATTAATTCATCAAGATGTATGGGCTTTATACATAATTTATACGTCTTTGGTGGGATAAGCCCAGTGAGTTAAAGGCCCATTATCTTTGAGGTTTTGTTTGTTAATTGCAATCGTCATTAAAGCAACAGGAGCACGCGGCAAGTAAGATTCGCTAATGTTATCAAAACTTTTTTTTTGCTTTAAGAATCTTCTGTAAACTAAACTTTTTATAAAAACATAGAAATTCCAAAAGTTGGGAAAAAGTTATTTTTACTCTCTCACCCACTCACTCACTTGTTTTCTGTGTCAACGTAATTTCACGTAATCAAGTTTAAATTAGTTCTATTTATGTTAAAAAAAAATGAAAATAAGAGGATTAAAGATTATTGTGCTAGTTGACGCCACATATACCTTAAGGCGTGGAAATGTCACCAACATGACGATGATTTCACAACTCACATGTATCTATACATACATAACTATGAATCTATTGTGTAGCTCACTTGCTTTTATGGAATTTTTTTTGTGGAGTTTCTGTGTTGTCCATCAAATTATTGGTTAGGCACAGTCTGATACTCAACATAGATTTTTTCTAATAATGATGAATAGAAAACAAAATCCCAGCTATCGACAATGACTCAAACATTGGAAGAAACGAAAAAGTCATGTCCTGCATTCCAAAAATAACCAAAGAGCACCCTTGTAAGCTTTGCCTAATCCATTCCCTGACCATTTCGTGTGCAGGCTGCAGAGTAAAAATGTGGTACCTAATTATAAATACGATAAAGCCCGTGTAAATTGTAAATTTTGAAGTGGGTATTTTAAAAGGATTTCGTTTTCAATTATCAAAATTTACTTAATTTATGTTTGTCTAACAGAAAGACCATTTATTCTCAATTCGAGCTTATAATTGAAAATTGAAACTGTTAGAGGAAAATAAAAAGAATACATGTGGACTTGATATATACTGCTTAAGCACTATGGGCAAGGAAAAGGCTTACTAATTAACAGTCATTAGTTTTCTTTTTTTCTTTGAACAATATATGATGAACTAATTAACAACCAAAATCAACAATAAATTGCTCTAACATACCTTTTTTTTTTTTTTTGGCACAAATTGCTTTAACATACATACCTTTATATCCTTTATTCCTCTAGAAAAACATTCCTCTTTTAGTTTTTTCATACGTCAACAGCACACCCCTGAGCAACCTGGTACTTAATCGCCAGACCGGCGCCGGAGAAATGACCGGAGAAGGTAATGTACGCCGGACAGTTGACGAGGAGACGATAACATTCAGATACCCACGAGCCAACTTTCCACTTAACGCAACCGTCGACCTTGATGTTTAGAAGCACCATCCCGGCGATTAGGTCTTCCCTTAATGCCTGAGACAGGTAAGCCTCAACCGGCACGGCGGTGCCAATCAGAACCGGCGACCACACCGTCACGTCCAGATGTCCTTGATACGTTGCCGGCAATAGATTCGCTACCGTCACCTAATCAATTAATAGGAAGAGTAAAGGTGGTTCAAAACATTATAACGAAAATGCTTAGAAAATAAAATATTTAAGGAATACGTTTTGCTATTCCCTTCTCTTTCTCTCAATTTTTTAGGCCCCTCTTTTTCTTCTTTTGTGTTTAACTTTGAAGTTGGCTCTGCCACATTTCTATTTCCCTAAAAAATTAGAGCCTTCTATTCTTGTAAGTATTCTATCATTATTTGTGAAGTGACATTTCAACAAAACTAATTTGATTAGTTTATAATACCTTTCTCTGTGTAAGTAGTAGATGCATTTGCAGATTTTCGCATTAGAAATCCAAAATCATAAAAATATAATTTAACAAAAAGAATGTAAAATCGAATTGATTCTAAAATATTCTTACACAAACGTTAAGATGGGTCATGTTTTGCGGTTTAACGTTAAACCATACTAAATTTTGTTGTTCCATAAACATTGCACCAACCAATAGTTGGATAATACACACACACACACAAAAATTGCATTAAAACGCAAAACGCTACCTCTTGGTTGCGGTATGAGGCATAGATGTCGAGGTGGTCATAGAAAATTCCGATCTTATCGTTTGGGTTGCGAGAAGAGAGAGTGACTTGGAGATTCGAAGTGAGCAAATTTGGCTGTGAGATGTTGAAGTCGTAAATGGTAACGTCTTGTAGGACAAAACGCGGTCTGTGCGGGTGAAGTATGGCCCAGACCAAGAAAACCACAAACGCAACCGTGGCGATCAGACCCAGCAATGCCCATACTATGCGTCTCCTCGCCGCCCTCCTCTCATATTCGAGGTGGTCGCATACGCAATCTTTTTCCGTCATTATATACAGACAGAGATGTTTATTTCAATTTTTTGTTTTGTGGGTGAAGAGATAAGAATAACCACTAATGGAGTTTTGAGGGATATTTATGTAGTGGAGCCTAAGAGCCTTGTGGTTAAATGTACCGTAATTACTAATTGTTTATTATTTTTAATTAATTTGGACGAAACTATTTATTATTTTATCAAATGGTTCTATTTGTAACCATATTATTAGGTTATCAAATGGCTTTCTTAACTTTTTTCTTCTAAGGCGAACTTTTAACTTTATGAGAAAAAACTGTTTTTAAGTCCTTATTTATCAATTCTGAGCAAGAAAGACAATTTTCCCACAATGGTTGAGTAACAATTACCACGAAAAGCACTTTGGAGATGAGAGACGAATCTTCTTTAAGCAGCGAGCCAGCGATACATATCGTTTCTCTTATGTTTTTTTGGTAAGGAATAATCTGACGTATCATAAAATGTACTGTTTGGCTATATTTGATTGAAATGTTAATATCCTCCATAATATAAATCTAAATCCTCCATAAATTATTCATAAATTGGATGGGAGTAATATCCTCAATAAAGGGTGTGTAAATCAACAAAATGATTACAGGTTTTTACGGGAGTAGTTTAGGGAATAGGTGCTATCTAATTATATACACATCCTTTATTGCCATGCATATACAAATTTACCAAATATTTGCTCCATTAGATTTAAATGTTCTAAAATTAAAGAATTTTTTTTTTCTAACATCACTAAAATATCTAGAATGGTTATGAAATCCAAATCTGATACACAGTTCAAAAGGTATCAAAGTAAATTCAAAAATCCAAATCTGTCTAATAAAAAGAAATCACATAACCCTGAAGAAAGGTAGGAGAGAAATTCTAAAATGATGTGTCCGTATAATTCTTCCGGAATAAATACTCACACGGCCTCATATATCCGAGCAACGATCCCTTCACATTCCACGCCGCATAACTCACCGGTATATCGGCACAGTTCACGTTCACCGGTATTAATTAGGCGGCCGCTTCTTTCATATTAAGATAATCACTAACATTCAGTGTAGCAGTGTAGCAACTTCGTTAGTGAACGTTCGCTTCCCGCACTGAATATTAGTGAACGTCTTAATATGAAAGAAGCCGGCCGCTAAATCCCGTTCAGCCACATGGCTGAGTTGGTTATGGATGCCGCAGGGCCGACCCAAGGTTAAATGACATCTAAAGCATCCATAATAAAAAAATGATGTCCTTAATGGGCCAGAATTTTTTTTGTACTGAGAGAAGAAAGATTCTTATTTATAAATGCAGTTTTTACTTTTAAAATTATGTCTGTTTGTCGATGTGGGACAAAAGAGAGACATAATTTTTAAAAAAATCTTGATGAGTTTTAATTAAATACGGGCTTTAGTTAAAAAAAACTAATCATATTTGCTGCCTTTAAAAATTGTGTTTATGTAGGCACCCAAAACCCTTGCTTTACCGACTTTAGCTTTGGGCCGGCCTTGGATGCCGCCGAGGAAGCCGCAGTTTCACAGAGAAAGAGAAAGATGGATCAAACGGTTGATGCGATTGTTGACGATACCAAAAACACAAAGTTAGGTCGTCGGCCCACGAAGGATGAATTGGATGATGAGGCTGGATTGATGGAGAAGTTGTCAAAATTAATGGCGAAGAAGTCCATGTACAGACCACAACCGGGAAGACGGTAAGTTGTCTATCCTCCTGCGATGCTTTTGCATTTAATTTTCCTTTTGAGAAAGAATATCACTGGATAGGGTGTTTCTACGTAGGTTGTCTGTTTTCCTTGGAGAAAAATATCACTACTCCGATAACCTCTTTCCCTGCTCCGTAATTTAATGACAATCATAGACACTACTACTATTATATATGGGACATATTCGTGGTATGAGATGTGAGTGTTGATTGAGTTACTATTAACAAAATGATTACAGGTTTCCATGGGAGTAATTTAGGGGATATGTGCTATCAAATTAGATACACATCCTTTCTTGCCGTATTATAAAATCGACCAAATATTTGTTCCATTATATTTAAATGTTATAAAGCTAAAAGAAAATTGCTAACATCACTATACTATCTAGAATGGTTGAGAAATCCAAATCGGATACAGAATTCAAAAACCCAAATCAGGCTTTAAAAAAAAAATCACATAACCCTTAATTAATTAAGAGAGGTCGGAGAGAGATTCTAAAAGGATGTGCCCGTATAATTCTTCCGGAACAAATACTCACACGGCCTCATATATCCGAGCAACGATCCCTTCACATGTCCGGCAGGATCCACCGTGAAACTCACCGGTATATCGACGCAGTTCAAGTTCAAGAAACCATTTGTAATATCGGAACCATCGTTTACCTGAACGCTAGATACGGCCTGGACACGTAGATCCCAAACCACGCCACCGATACTTTCGGGCGTCGAAACCGTTTTGAAAACGGCATAAGGAAGCGGTTCGTAGATTTTTCCGGTGACTAGTCTCCCGAAAATATCCGGCGTGGATGACTCGGAGATAACCTTGTCTCCACGGAAGAGACGCGATTTGATTGTATGTAGAGAGGTTTTACATCCGTTGTTCTTCGCCAAAAACCGGACGTTCCAATCAACGGTTGCGTTTGCGTTTGCGGTCGATGCATTAGAGACGGATAAAGAGTCGACAAAGACCTCCAAGTAACAAACGTTTGGGGAGTTGATCAGAGAGCCTAGAGTCAAAGGTAAGATGATAAAGAATCCTGTGAATGCGAAAACGGTAGTGAGGTAGCAAACGCAGAAGGTGGCTGGAGTAAGCTTGAACGCTCTGTCTCCGTCGTTACCGTTTGCGTTTGCGTTTCCGGTGGTTGAAAGTTGCTGGTCACATTGGCAGTTTCGGCTTCTGAGACCACAAGAGTTACAAAGAGACCTTGGCATTTTGGAAGGAACGAAAAGATACTGAAATTATTTAAGGTTAAGTATAAGCTAACTAGAGATTTGTGATAAAGATTAGCTTTTAACAAAAAATTAATAAATATTTATGTTACGTATGTATATATCTCAAGTATCCTAACAATACTTTTAAGTGATTTTGTTTGAATATATTCGGTTTAGGTACGTAAATTTGCCAAATCTTTAAACTTTTTTTGCAACGATAATAAATGTTTTTCAAGTAATGTTTTGCAACAGTAAGGGCTAGAGCCTAATAACATTCATAATTTTGTGATCAATTAATTCAACTTTTTTTGCAACGGTAATAATCCCCAGATATCATAACAAACTTGCGTATCCACACATAAAATGCAACAAATGAAATTAAGAAAGGAGAAGGAAGAAAAACCCAATTTTAAAAATATTAAAATTCTTACCATCTGAATTTGCCTATATATCCAATATAATTTTTAATTTCGTGATTGAGACGAACATATCAAAATCATTCTTACTTGCCTACCCTACAACACAAAGAATAAAACAAAATGGACACAGATCCTCCTCTTCCTCCTCCTTCAAGGTGGTGGACACAACTACACTCACTATTCTTTCGTCGGGAGAAGAAACTTACGAAAGAAGAAACCTCGGCTCTTATGAAACCCTTTTGGCTTGGCATCTTGACATACTTCGCCGTTTCGGCCATCGTCCTCACCTACTTCTACCTCGACAGGCCTCCTTGCAACGTCAGCTTCTCGGTCGAATCCGTCTCCGTTTCTCCCTATCCCACCACGTGGCACGTAGATTTCCTCGTGAAAGACCCTAGCTCGCGTTGTCCTATCAACTACGACGGCGATGACGTGTACGCCAAGATTGGTCCTACAAACGCCGCCGTTTTGAGGACATTTCACACGCATCGTTCCCGTGGCCAGACGAGTTTCTCGGTTGACCTAGCTACGAGTAATCAAAGCGACGTTGTTGCAGCTTCTCCTAGGGTTTTCGAACTGCAACTGAAACTTGGTGCTAGAAAGATTCAGGACGATCAAATTGGACGTTTCGACATCAGATGTCAGATGATTGGTCATGAAAATATTAAATGCCTTTCGTCTTTCAAAGAATTGAAGAGTTGTTGTTAAGTTATTGAATCATGAGGCTTCATGCTTTTCACTATTGATTGTTTTCAATTTTTCAAATTTGGTTTTACTTTTCAATTGTCTTCCTCTTATTTGAATTTCTGTTATTGTAAGTGTTTTTTTTCCACATTCAGTAAAATCACATCATCTATAGTTGCATTCTTTCTATTTATACCTAATTACTCAAGAAAGCGTTAGGGAAAAAAATAGATATACTTATTATACTCTTGGTTAATGAACGTTTTTATCAAGTTTTTATATCTACGTACATTACTTATTCGGCTAATCGCATCTTTTTTAATCAATTATGACTTAAAAAATACAAATAAAAGAAATAAAATAATTAACCTAATGCCAAGAAGAACTCGTAAACATAGATATCATAATGATCGGAGAGATTAATTTAAAATCTAAACGGAAAGATTCAAGTAATCCCGGAGTAAATAGTCACATCGTCGCATTCTTCCGAGCAAAGATCCAACCATATTTCCCGCCGCATCCGCCGTGAATTTCACCGGAATACCGCCGCAAAACATCATCAAGAAACCATGTGCAGATTTCCCCTTGAATCCGGCGACAATCTCAACCCGATAATCCCAAACCACGCCGCCGATAACACCCGGCGTAACGACCGTATTGAAATGGACAGTTGTAACCGGCTCATCCGTTCTGTCGGAGGTAACAAGTTGTCCGAAACCATCCAACGACGGAGACAGCTCGGAGATAACCTCGTGGCCACGAAGGAGACGCGATTTGATTGTATGGAGAGAGATTTTACATCCGGTGACTGGACTCTTGGCGATCAAACCGATTCTCCAATCAGCTGTTGAAACGTTTGCGTTTGCGTTTGAGACGGAGACAGAGTGAGCAAAGATGTCCAAGAAACAAATTAGTTCGCGGTTGAAGATAGCTACAAAACCTCCAGCGATGAGAAGGAAAAGGAAGATGATAATAGTCGTGCAGTAGTAGTAATAGCAGCAAGTAGCCGGAGTCATCTCCAAGGGCCCAACGTTTGCGTTGCCGGATACGGTGGTCGATGCTTCCCCTCTAGGCCTTGCCATGTTGCAAAGTTTTAACACTTTAGAAATGATTAATTAACGTAGTTTAGGTTTTCTATTATGAATGTAGAGAGTTGATTTTCTTATAATGCTTTTAGTATAGTAATCATTTTTTGGTTGTTGATAAAGATCCGCATGGAAATCTAATTAAGGGGATACTTGTCTGGTTTATTTATTATCAATTATTAATAAAAAGAAATATACAATAGTTCATATTTAAAAGTAAATAAAGGTTTGTTGGTTCATGGATTTTAATGGATTTAGAAATTCAAACCTAATCCATGTTTAAATCTTGTGTTAGGGTACTTTTCACGTGGATATCAGAATAGTTCAAAGCATCTAAACTTATATAAGGTATCTCAACTATCAACATTGATATAAGTAAATTAGAACAATGTCATTTATTCAAAAAAAAAAAAAAACTTCATGGCCTAATAACAGAATTTAAAGCAACAAGATAAGAAAACTAGTTTTAATCTTGTTCAAACAAACATCAAACTAGTAAAAGAGGATTGGCAAATAATCTTCTCACGAGGCCTTCGGGTCAGATTTTGGCATCGTATATTAAAGTGTCCAGCTTCATTAAAATCCGTGTAGCGCTTATGCTTCGCCCTGAGTTTGATGTCAAGCTCTTCCGATACGACGTCGTTGCTGCTATTACCTTTCTCAGCAAGGAAAGCCAACGAGAAAGCCGCTTGGTCTCTAGAATCACGTTTACGAGTGATGTTTAAAACGGCGGCGTTTAGAGGACCGAGATTCACGGTAGTATCATCCTCGTCGTAGTAGATTGAATACCTCGAGCTAGGGTTTTTCATGAGGAAATCGATCTGCCACGTGGCGGAGGAGACGGCGACGGATTGGATGGAGATTTTGGCGTGAGGGTGAGCTTTGTCGATGGATAAAAGGATTAAGATTGGGACACAGTCACTATTGGTCGTGACCACCACCCACGAGGAGTGGCGGAGGACGGTGCCGTTGAGTAAGAATTGGTTTGGTAAGTCATTTCTTTGGGTCTTTTGAGAAGAGAATGATATTTGATGCTATCTCTTAAGTTAACTATAGACTACTGGAAAATAAATATCTCACTTTTTTATTATTTTTTTTTAAAATATTTTGGTGCGTAGATATTGAAAGTTTGTTACTATATTTCTGTTGAACATTCATCATATATTAGATTTATTGTACATATTATTGTCAATTTAGAAATCAGTATATGTTAGAATTTTATTCGCAGAACTCTAATCTTTTGTACATATGTTATTTTTGTTAGATTGCAGTAAAAACGATAAATTAATAACGTTAGAACTCTTAAATTTTAGGAAACTAGAGAGCTATTAATTTATAAAGAGACTAATTATGTTTAAACTTAAATTTAGGGAAAAAAAACTATTCAAATATTAATCTGTAAAAAAATTACTGTATTTATATATATATATTTTTTTAATACAGCATTGACACTACGAAGAGCTTACAAAGTCATTGTGCAACACATTTGTGATTGCATTTGGTACATATTAATGATTAAATTGAAAAAAAAAATCGGAGAAATAGATTGTTAATAAAAACAACATTTAGATTAAACAAAGGAAAACAGCTAATTCATAGCTTCAACTTTTTCGAATGATATCCATCAGGTCTTCAACAAATTAAGTGTCTGAATTCATACAGAAATCTTTGTAATTTGGAACATTCATATATCGAACAACTTACTTAATCCCAATTCATACCCAATCCGTGTACTAACTTAATCCCATCTTATTCAATCAAGAATGACTAAAAAAAAAATACAAATAAAAGAAATAAAACAGAGAACATAAAGCCAAGAATTAAGAAGTCGTAAAATAGAGATATCACAAAGATCGGAGAGGATATCTAAACAGGAAGATTCAGGTTATATATCCAGGAGTAAATAGTCACATCGTCGCATACTTCCAAGCAACGATCCAACCATATTTCCCGCCGGATCCGCCGTGAATTTCACCGGAATATCGCCGCAGAACACCGTCAAGAAACCACGTGCAGATTCTGCCTTCAATCCGGCGACAATCTCCACCCGATAATCCCAAACCACGCCGCCGATAACACCCGGCGTAACCACCTTATTGAAATGGACAGTTGTAACCGGCTCATCCGTTCTGTCGGAGGTAACAAGTTCCTCGAAACCGTCAAACGGTGGAGACACCTCGGAGATAACCTCGTGGCCACGAAGGAGACGCGATTTGATTGGATGGAGAGAGGTTTTGCATTCGGTGGCTGGACTCTTGGCAACCAAACCGATCCTCCAATCAGCTGTTGAAGCGTTTGCGTTTGAGAAGGAGAAGGAGACGGAGTTAGCAAAGAGCTCCAAGTAACAAGCATCTTTGCTCCTGTAGGGATGTACAATGACGACAGAGAGAAAGAGGCCTAAAAGAATACAAACGGAGTAGGCACAGCAGCAAGAAGCCAGAGTAATCTCGTCAGGCTCATAGTTTGCACCGCCGGATATGGTGGTGGATGCTTCCCGACTAGGCGTTGCCATGTTGCAAGTTTTAACCACTCTAGAAAATATTCACTTATGTGGTTTAGGTTAATTTTTTAGTATGAATATAGAAAGATGATTTTCTTATATTTTTTGTTATTTTTTTCTCTATCATCGTAATAACTGATTAATAATCGGTTAATATATAAAAAATTGAAAACTTAAAAGTTCAGAAATAACATATTAATTAATAATCGGTTAATATTAATATATAAGATTTTCTGTATCAAAATGGTTTTTTTAGAGCATTCCAATGGTAGTCTCTCATAGAAGTTTTCATAATTAAAAAAATAGAAAAATAAAAAAGGAAGAGAGAGAATGAGAACCCGACATCCATAATCTCTTTTTTGATAACCTCTAAAAAAAATTTGAAAGATTTTTGTGAGATGTGTCACTATTTTATTGGTGGAATTTGTTTTTATAATTTAAAATTTAATTAATTAATTAAATTACATAAAAATAACAATATTATATTAGATGATATAATCTTAAAAGCTTTTCACCATTGAAAGTAGTATTAGACCATCATTATCCCAAGCTTTTATGGAGTTTCTTAACTGTTTTAATTTTTTTGATTAAAATAAAGATAAAATGATAATTATGCTGAAAACCGTGTCTTAGTTAATTCAATTTTGATAAATATATGTTTCTTATAAGCCCCGAAATATCGTAACAAACTTTCTCGATCCACGCACAGAATTTCAATAAAATATACTCTATAAATATTATAAGTTAACATCGATTCCATTTTCCTCTCCATAAGTCCAAATTACCCCAAAAAAATGACTTCCCAAACCAATACCTACTTAACGCCACCGTCCTCCGCCACTCCTCGTGGGTGGTGGTCACGACCAATAGTGACTGTGCCGGCAAGTAATGATCGTGAAGCCACTTTCAAGGAATCTGCAGCTCAGGCGACACCATATTGTGCCGGCTTTTTAACCTTTTTCGTCCCATGCTTCATCCTTTTATCCATCGACAATGTTCAATTCCATGCCAAAATCTCCATCCAATCCATCTCCGCATCCTCCGCCACGTGGCAGATCGATTTCCTCATGCAAAAACCGAGCTCGAGGTATTCAATCTACTACGACGTCGATGATACTACCGTGAATCTCGGTCCTCTAAACGCCGCCGTTTTAAACGTCACTCGTAAACGTGATTCTAGAGATCACACGGCTTTCTCGTTGGCTTTCCTTGCTGAGGAAGGTAATAGAAGCGACGTCGTTTCAGAGGAGCTTGACATCAACCTCAGGGCGAAGCATAAGCGTTACATAGCTGATAATGATGAAGCTGGACACTTCAATATACGATGCCAAAATCTGACCCGAAGCCGTGAGAAGATTACTTGTCAATCCTCTTTTACACGTTTGAAGATCTTGTTTTTAACATATGATAGAACAAAAGGGTTTGAATTAAATTAGTCATCTAGTTTTTTTAAAAAAAATTATATTAATCGGTTCTAGATTAGATCCAAGGAGAAGCTTCATATGGTAATAGTTATTCAATTATTTTGATTTCTTTTATTTGATTTCCAATTAAATTTTATTACATGTTTTCAAATATGTAGCAGTTTTTCCTATTTGAATTATGTTTATATATTATTGTTAATATATAAACAATAATAACATAGGAAATAATTCAATTGTGCTTAATGTTTTTAAGCAATAATAACATAGGAAGGGATTAGTCACTAGTTTCTGTAAATTGATAGCTTGTACTCGGCCCAGTATTCTGAACTCAAAGGCCCAAACGTTTTATTCACGAAAGAAATTAAAGTGGCGTTCTTCCGCCATTGACGTATCCGATGATGTAAGCGCAGGGGAAGCTTCAAAATGATTCTTCAGGTATCTCAAGTCTCTAAACACGTCAATCACAAATTCCTTCTCCTCTCTGACAATCTTTCTACACTTCTTCGTATATATTGACTCTTTGATTTCGATTTGAAAGATTAAAACCTAACCAAGAACAAGAAGAAGAAGAAGAAGAAGAAGAAGAAGAAGAAGAAGAAGAAGAAGAAGAAGAACATTATTCGGTAAAAACCTTGATTGTTTCAGTTTATCCGGAACCTCAATCGCTAAAATGGAAGGGATAGCCGCGTCTAGACAAGGAAGGAGGGTGGTGGTGATCGGCGGCGGAATCGCCGGCTCCCTCGCCGCGAAATTGCTTCAGCTCGATGCTGACGTCACCCTCATCGATCCGTAAGTTATATTTTTTCTTCTGCAAATACTGAAAAAAAAAAACCATTTTTGATCTCACGAGCTCACATTTTGTTGACATGATCAAAATCAGGAAGGAGTACTTTGAGATTACATGGGCAAGCTTGAGATCCATGGTGGAGCCTTCGTTTGCAGAGAGAACAGTTATCGACCACACGAGCTACTTGAAAAACGGCCGTGTTGTTACTTCTCCGGCGATCAATATCTCTGAGACTGATGTAATGACTGCAGATGGATCTGTGATTGGATATGATTTTCTAGTTATTGCTACAGGTCACAACGACTTGTTGCCCAAAACCAGACAAGAGAAGCTCTCACTATACCAAGCAGGTATGATCTCTGTTGGTTTTTGATATCATCGATCACTTAGGCAATGCTTGTAAGAAATTTGAAGATTTTGACTGGTTTGTATCACGTTTTGAGGATATAGGTATTGAGATTGTGAGTGAAGATATTTGGCAGGATCTAAGACTGAACTTATCTTATGTGGTTGCAGACTATGAGAAGATCAAATCTTCTGGATCAGTGCTGATTGTTGGTGGAGGACCCTCTGGTGTGGAGCTAGCTGCAGAAATCGCAGTTGATTTTCCGGAGAAGAAGGTTACTCTAGTGCACAAAGGACCAAGATTGCTTGAGTTTGTTGGGGAAAAAGCTGCTGACAAAGCATTCGACTGGTTAAAATCAAAGAAAGTGGAAGTGATATTGAACCAATCCGTGGATTTGAATTCAGCTTCAGACGGAAACAAAACTTACCGGACCTCAGGAGGAGAAAATATACACGCAGATTGCCATTTCCTCTGCGTCGGGAAGCCTTTGTCTTCTCAATGGCTCAGTGGAACTACTCTGAAAGACAGCTTGGATGGTAAAGGAAGGGTTATGGTCGATGAGTACTTGCGGATTAGGGGTCGAACGAATGTATTTGCCATTGGAGACATCACTAATATCCCTGTAAGTGCATGATCTCATGAACATGATGAGATACCAGTCTTTTACGTGGTTTCTTTGGTTAGCATCTTGTTTTGATTAAATGATTTTCTAATGACAGGAGATGAAACAAGGATATATAGCGGAGAGTCATGCAAGTGTGGCTGTGAAGAACATAAAGGTAATGATGTTGGGTGGGAAACAGAAGAAGATGTCGACATACAAGCCCGGATCAGAGATTGCCATTGTATCTTTGGGAAGAAAGGACTCGGTGGCTCAGTTTCCATTTGTAACAGTCGTTGGTTGCCTCCCTGGTTTGATCAAGTCCAGGGATCTATTCGTGGGGAAGACGAGGAAGGCAAGAGGGCTAAATCCTAAACTTGTACAAGGTTGAGACCTTTTGTCTGTTTTCAGGTTTCATATTGAGAGATATGCTTTTGTGCACAGATGTAATCATGTTTGTGTTGTGTGTTTGTTATTTGTTTTTGTGTTGATTTCATTGTATCAGTGTGGAGTGAGTGTTGGTTTGCTTATGTTGTAACATTGTGTATAATAGTGGGGTAATTTATTTGAGTTCCAGTTTTCAGTTGTCTCGTGCACTCCAAATTTTCTTCCCAATAAACTTACCGGAAAAACCGATCTGGGAACTGAAATAAGAAAAGAATCTAAAATTAAAGTTAAAAGATAGTACTAAAATATTCATCAAAACAGGAACCCTAATTTCCGAAAATGAACAATTTTTATTGATCTTCAAACATGTCGATTCCTTACATTGGTCTACAAACGGTGATCGCTCGTCGTTGAAGAACACCTACCATCATCAAATTCCCGACCCAGTTCCTCGTCGGCCAACACAATTTGACTTCTTGTTGGGTCATTGCTTCTTACGGAGACAAAGGTACACACTTTTACCAAGAAATTTGATTCTATTCACTTCCTGGGTTTAGATTCAGTCTTCTCTGTAGTATATTCACTTTATGGGTTTTTGATTCAGTCTTCTCTGTAGTCTCTGTTTTTCGAGTTTTATCAATCGCATCTGCTAGCTTTAAGAACAGAACACTTATATCTATGTTTATTCGGAGTTTTATCAATGGCATTTCAAATTTTTAGAGTATAAATTTGGGCGTTGGAAATTCTTATTTTCTAGGGGATGAAGCTAATGAGTTTCCGTTCTCTGCTCGTCTCCTCCATGCTTTTGCGTGTGTTTCTGATTGTCTATGGAGAATGGCAAGATGCTCACATGGAGGTCCGGTACACTGATGTTGATTACGTGGTTTTCTCCGATGCTGCGGCGTTGATGGCATCCGGCGAATCTCCTTACAAGAGGACCACTTACCGTTATTCACCTTTGCTCGCGCTACTTCTGATTCCTAACTCCATCTTTCATCGCTCATGGGGAAAGATTCTTTTCTCTGCTTCTGGTATGAATCTCTTATTTTATCATCTCAGCCTTCTTTTGTTAATTATGTCATAACAGAAGAGAATTTGTAGAAAGTTGAACTTTTTTTTCTTTTTCTGGGCTAACTATCAGCTTCAAAATACTGTTTTAGCTGATGATTTGCTCCACGGTCGTTCTGAATCTACTTTCTATGTTTCAGATTTGCTTGTTGGCTATTTTATCCGTATGATTTTGAAACAACGTAAGGTGCCTGAGAACATATGTACATATTCTGTAATGGTATGGCTTCTAAATCCGTTTACATTCACAATCGGAACCAGAGGGAATTGTGAACCTATCGTTTGTGCCATGATATTATGGATCATTGTCTCCCTAATGAAAGGTACACATCTATCAAGTTTGCAGCTTTTTTATGCTTTGGTACCCTGAATTGAGTTCCAAAAACGAATTTACACCAACTCAGTTTAGATATACACAACAACAACAACAACAACAACATATATTTTGCTGTGTAGGTAATGTGTCACAAGCTGCATTTTGGTACGGGCTTGTTGTGCATTTCAGGGTCTATCCTATTATCTATTCGTTACCAATCATCCTGGTTCTCGATCCCCAGGTATTTAGATCAGGTCAAAAACCCATTCTTGAGGATTGGAATACAGGTCAGGGAAAGACACCTGGTAGCAACACAGAGAAGAAAGCATTTCACCTCAACCTCATGGCCATGTTAAAAAGTTTATTTTCTAGGGAGAGAATCATGTTTGCTTTGATATCAGGGGGCGTGTTTCTAGCTTGCAATGCTGTTTCCTTCTATTTTTATGGACACGAGTTCCTGCACGAGGCTCTCTTATATCACCTCACTCGTACGGATCCAAGGCACAACTTCTCCATCTACTTCTATCACATATATCTTCACTATGAGCGCCAGTTTTCAGCTGTGGAAAAGCTTATCTCGTTTCTACCTCAGTTCACAGTACAGTTTTCTCTAGTCTTCTGCTTCTCTCAGGACCTAGTTTTTTGCATCTTTCTCCAAACCGTTGCGTTCGTGGCTTTCAATAAGGTATATAAAATGCATCACTCTATTCTCATTTGTATCTAAAAAGGTCTTGGATTGTTCATTTTCTTATGTATTCCTCAAGTGAGTTAAGACCATTTCTTCTGGTTTTGTTTTAATGTTTAATCGGTCCATTTGCCTCTTAGGTGATAACCGCGCAGTACTTTGTGTGGTTCTATTGCCTGCTACCTCTGATTCTACCATGGAGCCGTATGAAGCTGAAATGGGAAGGCTTGTTATGCATCATCCTGTGGATTGGAGCTCAGACACATTGGCTCTTATGGGGATACATGCTCGAGTTCAAAGGCTTTAACGTCTTCTTACAGCTATGGATGGCGAGTTTGGTGTTTTTGGCTGCGAACACATTCGTCCTCGTCAAAATCATACAGCGCCATCGGTTCTCTCCTCTCTTCAGACGGTATGAAATCTCCTCTGATCCAAAGAATGTTACGAAACTTGACTGATACTAATCCAAAAGTTGTTTGCTTTCTTTGTTTGTTGGGTCATTTCATATATTGAGACCTTCGTGTTATGGTTTTTGTATATGATTCATGATCTTCAAATTTTGTTGGGGTCTATGTCTTCTAATGTTTGTTTTAGGATTTTTTTTTTTTCCTTAAAGTTTATTGAGGAATTTAAATGGCGATTTGTTTATTAGAATATGAAACATTCTATTGGCACCAAAACACTTACTCATTTGGGAAATGGGTTGGTTTGAGTTAGAATGATGTAAGTTACCTAACCAAAAAATGACATTTCAAGCATCTTTGTTTGTGTCTGGAACTAAAAACCTAAATGGCTTCATGTCAATTGAGAGTCACTTGAGAGTTTTCTTTGGCATACGTTACTGTAGTAGCTGCACATCTACAATAACCTGTAGAAAAGCATAATAATACAGGCCACACAACACAGTTCAAGACAAGCATAAGCATATCAATTTACAAAAATTAATAATTATAACAAAGACTGGTTTGGTTTGGGTGGAAATTGAAAATAACTAATCAAGACCAGCTCATATCAGAAAAAAAAGACTGGTTTTGTTTTTTTATTGTTCTTAATTCTTTAATTCTACTTCGTAATGCTATGATTAGAGATGTTAATTTGTCCGAAAACAAAAAGTTCAATTGTTTTTAAGGATACACGTGAAACGACGTCGTGAGAAAAAGAAACGAACGACGGTGGGTTCTGCAAACGAACCCTTAGCCGCAGATTCCCCCTCTCTGCGTTTTCTCCTTGTCTGAATCTATAAGCGCTACTCTCTGGCTCCGCTCGTTTTTCTTCTGGCAACGTCAGCTCTCTGTCTCTCTTCTTCTGTCTCGTGCCTGCTCGAGGTACAAAGCTCTAGCTCATAGCTCTCTTCTCTCTCTCGAGACTCACTTAACTCTGCTTTGTATTCCATCGTTAGTTTTTATGTATCTCTGGAACCTTTCCAATACCAGATTGGTGTTTATGTGACGAACGAACCAAATTTTCATAGGAAAAATGCTGGAAATTTTATGACTAAATTTGCATGCTTTTCCAGGAAATTTATGAAAAACCATCAACGAATTATTCTGATGCTACTTTAGCTGAAGCCTTTTGTGGGAATCTCCTGAAGTTTTCAAGACCCTAATTGCATGTATGTTGAGGTATATAAATGGATGCAGTTTGGAAGTTATTCTCTTTATATTGTCTTCTTAACTCGAAGATTTATTATGTCCTGATTTTTACCTGTTCAGACTGGTTCCGGTCTGCAAAGGTGGGCGCTTTACAGGATTTTTGCAGCCTCTCGGAGCATTTCTTAGAGAATTTTCAGCACCTGCAAATGCATTGCAAGATTGTTGGAAAGATGGGAATGAAATTAAGTATGGTAGAGAGATTGATGTTCACATGCTTTTCAGATGTTGCACTAAATTGCAATCAGCAAAATGCCTTCACGCGCGTCTCATTGTGTCCAACGCAATCCAAAACGTATGCATCTCTGCTAAGCTTGTTAATCTCTATTGTTATCTTGGGAATGTTGTGTTGGCTAGGCATGCTTTTGACCATATCCAGAACAGAGATGTTTATGCTTGGAATGCGATGATCTCCGGTTATGTCCGTCTGGGAAGTTCCTCAGAAGCTATTAGGTGTTTTAGCCTCTTCATGCAGACTTCTGGATTACAACCTGATTACCGCACTTTCCCTTCGGTCTTGAAAGCTTGTAGAAATCTGCTTGATGGGATGAAGATTCATTGCACGGCTTTGAAGTTTGGTTTTTTGTGGGACGTCTTTGTTGCTGCGTCACTGATCCATTTGTATTGCCGGTATGGACCGGTGACGAATGCACGCAGACTGTTTAATGAAATGCCCTTTCGAGACATGGGTTCTTGGAATGCAATGATTTCTGGGTATTGTCAAAGTGGGAATGCTAAAGAGGCGCTAACTCTATCTAAAGACCTGAAAGTCATGGATGCAGTTACTATTGTAAGCCTCCTTGCGGCTTGCACAGAGGCCGGTGATTTCAGTAGAGGAGTTATGATTCATTTATACTCGATTAAACATGGGCTGGACTCTGAATTGTTTGTTTCCAACAAGCTGATTGATTTGTATGCTGAATCTGGTGACCTTAGGGGTTGCCAAAAGGTTTTTGACAGGATGATTGTGAGGGATTTGATTTCTTGGAATTCTATGATTAAGGCTTACGAGTTGAATGAGCAGCCGCTTAGAGCGCTTTGGCTGTTTGAAGAGATGAGGTTAAACAGAATTCAACCAGATTGCCTTACTTTGATTAGTTTGGCTTCTATACTTGCGCAGTTAGGGGACATTCGAGCTAGTAGATCTGTGCAGGGTTTCACTTTGAGGAAAGGATGGTTCTTGGAAGATATTACCATCGGAAACACAGTTGTGGATATGTATGCAAAACTAGGCCTTGTAGATTCAGCAAGAGCAGTGTTTAATTGGCTCCCGAGTAAAGATGTGATCTCGTGGAATACCATAATATCTGGTTATGCTCAAAACGGTTATGCTAGTGAAGCGATTGAAATGTATAACAAAATGGAAGAAGAAGGTGGAGAGATAACCGCTAACCAAGGGACTTGGGTGAGCGTTTTGCCCGCTTGTTCTCAGACTGGAGCATTGCGTCAAGGTATGAAAATCCATGGCCGTCTCTTGAAGAATGGCCTTTATTTTGATGTTTTTATTGGAACAAGCCTTGCTGATATGTATGGAAAATGTGGACGGCTAGACGATGCACTCTCTTTGTTTTATCAAATTCCTAGAGTCAACTCGGTGCCATGGAACACCTTAATAGCTTGTCATGGGCTCCACGGTCATGGCAAGAAAGCAGTGATGCTGTTTAGAGAGATGCTTGATGAAGGAGTGAAGCCAGATCACATTACATTTGTGACTCTGTTATCAGCTTGTAGCCATTCTGGACTAGTAGACGAGGGTCAATGGTGCTTTGAGATGATGCAAACGGATTATGGCATAGCACCGAGCTTGAAACATTACGGTTGTATGGTAGATTTGTTTGGTCGAGCTGGTCAGTTAGAAACCGCTTTTAACTTTATAAAAAGCATGCCGCTTCAGCCTGATGCATCTATTTGGGGAGCTCTTCTCAGCGCTTGTAGAGTCCATGGAAACGTTGATTTGGGCAAGATTGCATCTGAACATTTATTCGAGGTTGAACCTGAGCATGTTGGGTATCATGTTTTACTGTCAAACATGTATGCTAGTGCTGGAAAATGGGAAGGAGTTGATGAGATACGGTCCATTGCTCGAGGCAAAGGTTTGAGGAAGATACCTGGTTGGAGCTCAATGGAAGTAAACAACAAAGTCGAAGTCTTTTACACGGGAAACCAAACGCATCCCATGTATGAAGAGATCTACAGTGAACTAACGACGTTACACGCGAAAATGAAGATGATTGGGTACGTACCGGACCATAGATTTGTGTTGCAGGACGTGGAAGACGATGAGAAAGAGCACATCCTTATGAGTCATAGTGAAAGATTGGCTATTGCGTATGGACTTATTGCCACTCCACCAAAGACAACGATTCAGATTTTTAAGAATCTGAGGGTATGCAGTGATTGCCATAGCGTTACCAAGCTCATATCGAGAATCACTGAGAGAGAGATCATTGTGAGAGATTCAAACCGGTTTCATCATTTCAAGGATGGTGTCTGCTCTTGTGGTGATTACTGGTGATTCTAAACCGAATATGATACATTTGGTGGAGCTAGCTTGTCCTCAGATTCTTTGTGCAATAAAGAGTTGCAAAGAGCTGTTTTAACACAACAGAGCTCTTATTTTAAATTTTCGGTTTGGAATCAGCAAGTAATAAAAGTGTCATCATTTGATGCGTATGATTTAAAATAAAGCATAGATTGATTGCTGCTTTACGGTTGTACAAATGTGAGAATACAAACTACCACTTTTTTCAATCATAACATGCTGCAAAATGTAATTTGGGTAATTTCATGATCTCAAATTTATACCTAAATTCACAAAACTATTAGGACAACTTTGAGTTGGGTTGAGTAATGCAGCTTTGTTTAATTATACTTTCTTCGAAAGAGTAATATTTTTACCTCTTTTAAAATTTCAATTTGATTTCGATGATATAAATAAGAAGCACATAACCATCGCTTTATTTGGTGCGTGTGGCTACGTGTGAAAATCTCTGAAAGCATCATCACTCTCGCAGAGACCTAAACCTATGGAGAACAAACGGGCAAACGAAGAAGATGAAATCTCGGAACAAGGAAGAATAAGTGAACCAAATTGGAGGGAGCGTGTGAAGGATCTCGTCGCAGCGGGAGACTTCACGGCGGCGATCTCGATTCTCGAGCCTTTGGTGACCAATCTTAACTCGCAGTTCAGTTCTTCTTCCTCCTCCGACGATAACCTCGGCGGCAAGAGAACGGAGTTTGGGCTTGATCTAGCAGCCGCTTTCAACCTATTGGCAGATCACTACTCTTTTCAGGGACTCTCCCTCAAATCCGATGAGTTTCGCACTCGTTCTTCCCTCATCAAGCAACATGCGCTGGATTTCGATCTTGCCTCTTCAAGGTACTACTGCTTTTTGGTTAATCGAACAATTAGGGGAGATGATTGGTGAAATGTGTTACTGAAAGTGAAAGCCAGAAATCGTATGCTTCATCGATCTGAGGGTTCATATGCGGCTTATGATTGCAGAGATTCCGGCGATGCAGAGAATCAAGCCGTTTCGAGAACGATTGATTCCAACGGCTTCAACTCTAACCCAAATGTCTCTCCTACTGATGATGGTTGTTCATCTATTGCCCCTTGTTTTCTATCTGATTTCAACGATTTTTAGGCATTTTATTGATCGAGTTTCATGGATTTGTAAAGGGAAAACGGAGAATTCCACAAAAGCCTCCAGCGATAATACGCCTGCTCATGATTCTTCAGATGATGGTATGTCTCATAAACAGCTGTACGTTTGTTGTGAGTTAAAGGATGCAGTAACTTGTTGTATCAGATTGTGTATTATCATGTGATCATGTATGTGTGTGTATGTTTACAGACTTTGATTTTTGTTGCAGATTGGGAAGCCCTTGCAGATCGTGAACCGAGTAAATTAATCTCTGTAGAAGATTTGCCTGAAATATCAAAGCTTTCGGTTGAAGAACCTAATGTTCAAGGACCCAAGAGGCGTGGAAGGGGAACATTTACTTATAAGAGTGATGTGATGTACGGTGATCGAGACTTCTGCAAGTCGAAGATTGAAGATTCAGAAGATAAAAATTTGTCTCGTGGTTCAGAGAAGACTGATGAAGCACTGAAATGTAAGTCGTTACTGTCAATGTTTCCACTCTATTTTGCGATTGTAGTGTCTGTGACAAGCAGAATTAGTCTGTTAGGTTAAGTTGGTCAGGATTTCAATGCTGCTTGTTCTAAGCACAAGACCTGGATTTCTTTTCCGCTATAAATGCAGCCAGGTATGGCACGCGACATGTCCTCGTACTTACTGGATTTTCTCCAAGTTTGAGGACTACTGATTTGGAGAAGCTTTTTGAGGACTTCAAAGACAGCGGATTTATCATTCGTTGGGTCAATGATACAACAGCACTTGCAGTCTTTAAAACCCCTTCAACAGGTATTTTTTATATGTAATTTGATTTTCTTCATACATGAGGAAGAATTTGGGTTTAAACCCACGAAAGAATTTAAAATTTATGGCTTATTTCAGTAGGTTCAGTATCTTGACAGTTAAAGCTCAAATAACTTAGATTATAAATCAGATTAGTGCTTATTCTAAAACGCTAACTCGCTGTGGTTTTGATCATTGACACAGCTCTAGAGGCTTGCAAAAATGTTCAATGTTCATTCACCATACGAGTTCTGGATGATCACGATTCTCTTTTGAGCTCAATATCAGGAAAAGGTAATCTACTCTTCTTTATCTTCCATGGTTTTGCAGAATTATTCCCTCTTTTAACACGAATTAAGCTTCCTCACCAAAACCCATTCTAGTTTCTTTCGCTTCTATATGTCATCAAGTTACGAGCTTTAACACATCACTCTTCCTTAATCCGCTTGGTCAATCTGTCTTACTAATGAAACAGCCAAAGACATAGATTGGGTCAAATGTAGTTACTTGTGTTTCGTATGCGTGACCATGTGTTATGTTCAATCTACTTCAGATTTAGAACCGCCGTCTCAAAGACCAAAGATGTCATGCGAGAACAGCTCAACGGCTGATTGCTCACAGCATGGGATTAAAACTTCCAGCTTCTGGATTTGGGTCTAAAGAGCTACGAGACCAAGAAGCTGCCCGGAAAAATCGGATTGTCTCCAGGCAGAAACAACGGGAGGATGCTTGGGGAGATGACTGACATTGTTTGCCCAATCCAATCGTGTGATCTTTACTTGAGCATTGTTAATGTTCTTTTGTCTATGTTTTGTCAGGGCTGTGTCTAACTGTAATAAAATATTTTTAAAAGCTAATTTTTTACAAAATTATATTATACTATAATTTGAAGTTCGCATTTTATTTGTTTTCATATTAAAAAATTAGAATGGAAATGAAATATTGAAACAACCAGGTTAAAAAAAATGGTGGGCATTTCGGTTTAATTTGGGGTTTGCTTTGAGTTCAGTTCGTTTTGGTTAATTTGGGTTGAATAAAACTCTAACTGAATTCAGCAAGATAAAAAATCTTTAGATAATAATTGCATAAAATTGACTGTGTAAGAATACACATCCATTCAAATTATAAAAAAGCTTTTTCCATCAGACAAAACTGTAAAGCTGACTGTGTAAACAAACATAACAATTGTGAGAAATTAAGACAACTTCCTAGCGAGGTTTACCAAGCCGCTTCCAACGCAGGTGAGTATGACGGTTCCTGTCAATGGATCAGGTCTGATTCCAAAAGTAACTCCCAAAAACTCCTTTATGTTCCTCAACGTCTCCACTCCATAAGGAGACAACGTTCCCACTCGAACCTTTGACACGTCTTGTTGGCATAACGCACATAGTATAAACAACAATCCCTGTAAGAAAACCAGAGAATCAAGAACACACACTTAAAGAGTCTCACTTTCAAAACGATCGATTTTGGTGTCTTATGGTAATACTAAACGCACCTGGTGTGTTGAATCAACAACTCCGCCTTTCTCAATCTCCTGAAGAAGCCATGAAGCAATGTCAGCTCCTGTGTCTTCTGCTGGTTTTCTCTCTTGCTTCTCTCCATCGAGCTCTCCAGTTTCGTCTGTTCTTCCACAAGACACTGTTGTGTCTGCAGAGATGTAACATCCTGAAGTTGTTTCTGCTACCAATGATATTCCGTATCCAGGTGATCTGCAATCAAGTGTTTTTTCAAGAAGTTGAGCTCTTATCAATCAAGTATCACTCTTGAAACCTGTTTCTGCTTTTTTTTTCTAAAAAAGTTGAAATCTTCTTACTTTCCAGCCTGAGGGCCAGCTTTGTGATCGCTAAAAATGTGAACATCAGGCAAGAGGTTGTTAAAGATTCCACGAGCTGTGAATCTCATGGAATGTTCAAAGTCAGAAGAAACTCTTGCAGAGAAAGTCCAACCTCGTATCCTCTTCACCATTCCTTCATCTAGCCATTGGACCGCCTGAAGCAGCGATTTAAAACAGATAAGACATCTCGGTGAAGGTTGCAGTGAATAAGAAAAAAAAGGAAATGAAGAAGTACATACAGTTAGGGCCTGAACATTTGGAACTGTCAAGAGAACTTCTCCACCTCCGTCTGGAGCTACTCCACGGGCTTCAATTCTAAGGTCTAACCCTTCTGCTGGGACTCCAAAACGTTTTAAGATATTTAAGGTAGTGTTACGAATTGTGTCAACGCTTGGGTCCTTTGGATCATTTGTAATTCCTGCAAAAGTAATTTGCTTGCTCGATCATAATGAATCCCCATGCATTTGAAGCTGTAACCTTTTACTTTTTCAATACTACTATACAGAAGAAGCTGGATTAAGGATTCATGCCTACAACCGGAGCTTCATTTGGTCAAACCAAGTGCGTTACATGATACAGTACCTAAGAACATTCAATTTCCTCATCTAGGTTTATAATTACTATAAGCTTTTATCTTCTTTAAGCCGACACCGGAGAGGAAAGTAACAGGAAGACAGGTTTTTGCAGATGAACAAGCATTATCTGAAGCAGAAAACAACTTACCTTTGAGCCTAATCGAAAGGGGCTTCTTTCCAAATAATCCTAAAACAAGCAATGGCTCCAGATAATAGCCAATGGATCGAGTCAGGGCACAGTTGTGAACCAAATTCTTCCCTCCCATTATTATTCCAGGCTTGTATTTCACTTGAGTCCCTGCCAAAGAGATATTGCACCATATTAAAACCAGTGGCCAATTCGGATAGAAAAATGTATTTTTCTTGAGGTTTCACATTGAGTGTTTTCAAAAATTCTTTCCCTCTCAGAAAAAAAAATAGCTTGAGCTCAATATCACAAGGGGAAGTATCCTAAGAACTTAACATGCGACTCAATCCTAAAATCGATCAACCTAAAATCGATCAATTTAACTTCCGAAGAAATCAACATCCTTCAAAACTGTAAAACGTACTTACCGGTCTCGTTAATCTGGATGCGACAGTCATCGGAGACAGTTTCGAAGAGGCGGAGAAGAGAAATCTCGTGAAGTTGGAGGCCAGGAATCGTTTCGTCGGCACGAATCTCATCAATGATGATAGGCTTCGATGAAAGGGTCGCGAGAAGCAGCCTTTGCCTTAAGCTTTGGCTTCCCTTTTTCCGCTGGCACGTCGTCGTCTTCCCCATTTCTTCTCTCTAATCTCTCTCCCTTCTCAGAAGCTTTTCTTAAACCCTAAATCCCACCGACCTTAACCAATCAGTGCAATCACCCTATGAGGCTTTTTTCAGATTCAATTTCGGGCTTTTCACTGCTTTGTTACCTCAGGCCCTTTAGAATTTTGACTTTCGTTTTTCTTTAAATGTTTTTCAGTTTTTTTGGTTCCTCCAACTCTTTTTTTCTTATATCAAGTTTTTTTTTTTTGTCGGTACATCAAGTTTTTACTCTACTGTTGTATAACAGTAACAAATATTTATCATTCCGTTTTTTCTCCTTTTAATAATCAGTCCTTTTATACTTGTAAGCAATTAAACCGAGATACATCCAGACATACAGTACATAAAACTTATTTTGGAGCCGTGGAAGATTCGGTTTTTTACTAAATATAACATTCTAAAATTATATTTTTAAAAAATATCATGATACACCTCTTATAACATTGTCCCAAATTGATTGTATAACGTAAAAATAAGATTGTGTGGGCTTCTCTAAATTATCAACCAAGAAATAGCATCATTCATTGCTCCAACTTTTTAGATTTGGTGATCACCCACCAGTTTCTTGTCTGTCGATTTTATGTTAGCTCCAAAAAGTATTCACCAGTCGGATTTCGACAGCTAGAAGAACACTTCAGTGTAATACAAATAAGAAACTATTTAGAAAGGACTTTGATAAGTTGAAAAATGTGAGAAAAGTTGAAAGCGAAAAGAAATATGTGTGATAAAAAAATAATAATTTAAATACCAACCTCTTATAATTAAGAAACTCAAGCATTTATGAATATTTATTTACTTTTAAGTCTGATATTCAAAGTCTAATTATAATTTTTTTTATACGTGTTGAAATAGGAGAAGTGACTAATAAACCAATGATAAAAGATTCAACAGTCAAAAAATCCAACAGAGTAAGAACTAAGAAGGCGTCATATATCATTTAACCGTAACTTTGTCTTTCATTCTCTATTTTATGTAAAAATAAAATGAATAAAAGCAAATTAATATTTGTTTTGAAGTCTTTTTTTTGTTAAATAATTTATCAATTGGGTTGAACGTCTAAATGGCACTGATTTTCAACGGAATGGATGTTGGGTTATCCCATTGTAATTAGTTCTTACGAATATACAATTTAAAAAAAAAAAAAAAAAACAAGAAAACATCGGTGTGACCGATCACCAAACATTAACAAGAAAAGAGATGTCTTGTCAACAAAAGATCAAAGGACATCACAACCTCCTTAATTACAATTAAACCCTCAATTGATTGTACGGACAATCAGTTCTACCGCATATTTTATCCGTACTTGCTAAACTCTGCGTCACCTCTTCAGTCTCTTGCAGGAAAATTGGCTTTTTCAGACACGAACTTTCCGAAGATGTTAAATGTATACTTAAACTTATGTATGGTGCTTGATCATACTTAATCTATATTAATATTTGAAATTCATACTTAATCTTCATTTTAATGGCACAAACCAACTTTTTAGTAAATGCTGTTAACTCTCCGTTAAACAATGTCTACGTGGATGCCACATAAGGGACGACGTTGTATTGGGTTTTCTCGGTTTAAAAAAAAAATACGAAACGACGTCGTTACTCTTATAATTATGTGGGAAAAAAGCAAAACCACGCCGTTTTGACTGATCTTCGTCTTCAACCCCTCACTTAACTCAGAGACGAATTAGGGATTTGTAAATCCAGACCTTCAACCTGTCGATTCTTGTTCGAGACCGATATCTTCTTCTAGCAGTTTGGGTAATTTTTTATATGTTTTTCTATATTATGTGTTCGTGAGTGTGATATAGAGCCTGCATCTTTATCTGAGTTAACCAGCTCTGTATGTATAATCAATCTTGTTCCTCTGACATTAGGTAATATTAGCTGTATGGCTCTTTGCTTACACGACACCGTACAAGCCAGGGAGATACTCTCACACTTGCAAAGAAACTCTCTGATATCCCAACTCAGCTATAGATTCTCTCTATCTTCACAGGTTTATTATTAACAGAGTTTTGTCGAAAACAGGAGTTGAGTTTTTAGAAAAAATGAGTCCAAAGCACAATTTTATTGGTGAAAATGCAGCTATGTATCAGCAGTTGGGTGAGAAAGGGAGCGAGATGGAGAACGAAGAACACAGGAAGAAGAAGTGGGACGAGTTGCAGAGTAGACTTGATGAAACACGTGGATCAATTCATCACATTGAACTAGTGAGAAGACCAAAAATGATCTTTTTTTTTTTCTGTTTTTTGCAATAAGTAAAAAGATCTGTCAGGCTTAACACACACTCTCTGCTTGTTACAGGTCGGAAAAGCGAGGTTAGAAATTATTCAAACGACATCCTTTGCATTTTTTTTTATCTGAAACCGAAGAAACCGAAAACAACATCGTCTCTTATGTGGACGACACATAAACAAAACTTGACAGAACAATTAACAGCGTCTGGTTAGTAATTGTTTTACGCACAAAAAATAAAGTTTAGAGACGAAATTCAAATAAAAACGAAGATTAAGTATGCATTTCAAATGTTAATATAGATTAAGTATGATCAAGCACTGTACATAAGTTTAAGTATACATTTAACATTTTCCAAAAGTTCAAGCCTGAAAAAACCAATTTTCCGTCTCTTGCATAGACGAAGTTAAAGAAAGTAGTTAATCTAATTAAGGGCATGTACATTAGTGAATCAGAATATAATAATATTTTTTTTTGGTTTTAGTTTTTCTTTTTTTTTTAATTCGAAAATTATAATTTTTAAATAATTAGGATGTTCCATTTCGGATGATACCGTCTATTCGTCGGGATAATACTATTTCTTCAATATTAAATTTTTTTATCTCAAAAACTGTGTCATAAACCCATGCTTTTACAACCAAAATGTAACTAAACCGGTCAATAACGAGAACCTAATTCGTTCACAACTGGGTATCCGAAGACTATTATAAGCATCAATTTGTATATTATCGTCAAACTTCATTTCTGTATAACATTATCCAAAAAGCTGATGTCCAACTACTTGTTTGTTTTTTTTTTTTTCAAAAGAAAAACACAAGAACTACTTGCTTGCTGCTACTTGCGTTGCGTGTGGTAAGGCGTTATTTGATCCTTGCTTCTTTATTCTCAAAATTAAATGTTTTAAATCGAAATAAGTTGTAACCATATATATAAAATATATTTATAACAATGAAAGCTACTTTTTCCATCTATCTTTTGTTCTTATGCCTAGTCTCATGAATCGCTGCCTTCTGAATCCTCCTTATATGTTGTCGGCCACCTTTATACTTCATATTAGTTTCACTACGCAACATCTTAATAACTGTAATTCAGCATTTCAGTTACAAGCTTGATTTTCTATAAATCAGTGTCTATATATTCAGTAACGTGGAAAACTACATAAATGTTATCATTTTGTTTTAAAAGATTTAGCACGATGAATTTTGGGTTTCCATCTAATTTTCCAACTGATTTTGACGGTGAGTAGATGTCCCTTGACACACACACACACACACAAACAAACAAACAAAAAACACAACTATTCCTTATACTCACCACCGATATAATTAAAAACATCCGAGTAGGATTGAACAAACTGAATCTGAATCAAAACCAAACTATAAAATATCTGAATGAAATAAAGATTTTTGTACTGAAAAATCCGATCTCAAACCGAACCAAATCCAAATCGTATGAAATTGAATAGAATTAACTGAACTAACGAAAATCAACACACAAAACTCGGTTTTCCTAACCAAAATCAACAACAAAAATCGCAAATCGCAAATCTCTGTTTCATACTTCAGTTATCAAGCCAACATCTTAACGTATATATCAAGGATATTCAGCTTTGCGTTAGTGCCAAGCTAGCGGAGCGGCCGTATGGATCAGATGGAAGTTCATGACCTTAATATATCACGTTGCTGCTCCCTTACCATCACATTATGAAAGCTTCATCTCCACCAGCTGGTATCGTTTCATACAATGGTGACCTTATATTTGCTACTTCACTGTATCTCTTTCTAATTTGTGGCTCACATGAGTTTCAAAATGTTGTACTTCCTTCCTTCTGTTTGCTTTGATTTTTGTGCTTCAATTTAGCACAATCTTGAGAATTTAATGCTCAAGAATTATAATATACAAAATTTACAATTCTTAGTGACTATGAATGCAAATGAACTCTAAGCTAACAACAAATTTAGCGCCTAGTGTACACTGTATACAATGCAATCTAATCCTTGAAGGTTAGCAAGATTAATTCTCAAGAAGCTAATTTTTAAGAATTTAGCTCGTAGTGTATACAATCCACTCCAATTAATCCACAACACGTGACATACAAAAATGGCAAATGGCTGGATCCACAAAACTCACGTGGGAATATATCATAAACGTTACCGTACGAATTTTGCATGCGATCATATCCTTGTTTTAATTGGATGGTTGAGAGACATGATAAAGTGATAATATCATCTCTCTAATTTTAATTTCTTCTCAAAGAGATAATAAAGAATATGATGAAAAAGATGAAATTCCTTCAGGTTGTACACCATTTAGCATATCTTTGTGGCTACTAACGTTGCGTTCGGTCCTTTCACTTCACTTCCCATGATTCCTCCAATCAATCAAGATCAATTTGAGTCGTTGATCTCACCGCCATTGGAACGGTGGCTCAAAAGGCTTAGACCATATTGGTTCATATCACTTTTCACATTGCGCGTTGACGTTAGGTTAATAATTAGAGGCTCTTTTCTGTATAGTGTATACCAAAATGCATTATAGATTTTATTAGTTTACATTACAACCATTTATGTATTAATTAGCTTTATTCTACGCTAACCTAGACGTGCTTGGTCATTTCATTTGACACACGTGGCACCCTCCCATTTGTCAAATTTGCGTTGAAGTGGACAACACGATATGGAAAAATTCCACCCAAAAGAAGCAAAATTCTCCCCAATCTTCTTTGCTTTTTCATTTCCACCTTTGCATTTTTTTTTCCATTTCTACTCCAAAAAATATTGTCAGTTTAATAAAGGAAAAATGCGTT